ATTTTTTTAATTAAAAAGGATATGAATAATAATGAAAATAACAAAAATATTAAAATTGATTGACGTCGGGATACAATTTCCTCGTAAAACCAAGTTTGCCACGGAGAAGAGAATATTCGAATATTTTAATTTTGTTTACATCTTTCGAATACTAAGATTAAAGATAAAATTAAATGTCCCTTAAAACGTTTTTTTGATCATTATTTTTGAACATTGTAAAATTAAAATTTGGTCTATTTACTTTTAGGCTGTCCTGAACACGAATCTGTTGTGATTTTCATTTCGAAAAAGTCTCTAAAAGTACTTCTAGATGTTCCGCTTCAAGAAATGGTGTCAGCCATGACTTTCGTCGATGCTATACGAAAAAATCGTTTCAATTCCCTTTAGTAAGATCTATCCAACAAAAAAGAATTATCAAAATTGAGTCATAAGCAAACATTTTATACGAGTATTCGAACTTCATGGAAATTGGTACAGTTAGGTATTATTATTAGAATAAGAATTCGTTGACACTTAATTCTTAAAGAAATCCCTAATAACCTTTCCCCAGTGAGAAATACCAATTTAATAACCAAACAAGGTTTTAGTGCATTTTTCCAAGGCCAATCCAACAACAAAATTATCTAAATCGAACCATAAACAACGATTTTACAAGGATGTACAGTGTACAGGAACATCACTTTTTTTAAATTTTATTTCAAAAACCTGTCCAAAATTGTGTGAGCGTTATTTGAGTACGGTTTATGGTGATATCCAATATATAATTGGAGGATGATCTTGACGAGCCGCTTTCCTCATCTCTATGGAGACACAAAAATTCTTCGTTAGCGGTGGTAGAAAAAAAAGTTATAAACGCAAGATTAGCGATGCTACGCTCCATGGGATCGTTTGGCTGATCGTCATCTTCACGGCGCGACGAGGAACACAGTTACTTCAGTTCCGCGGTACCTACGTAACCTATCGTTTAATGACATAACTAATCGTACGGGCGTTCTTTTATTTTCAACACAACGTTCAACAAACATCTCATTACTTTAAACGAGAAGGAAGAGGCAATAAACTGCGAAAAGCTCACCACAGATACAACACATTATTCGCGATAGATAACAGGGGTCGCGCTCGGCACTTCGCCCCGCCCCCCTCGCCGAAACAATATTAAATACTGCGAGAAAATCGCCGAATCTGATCGCGGGGGGGATTTTCGAGGCAGCTGGCCGCACGATTTTACCGTTTTGTGAACACATATATATCTATATAATATGCGAGAGAGTAAACCGGCCAGCATAACAAGGGAAAGATGTAAGGTCCAGATGAAGTGAAAAAGATCCAGATCGAATATATGCCAGGCCCCCTTCATTACACGGTGGGTAGCGATAGTCACGACTCGGTAATGTGTGTACACATACCGACTCGGATAATAACTTTTATTATGAACCATCCCGGAGAGTATTGTACGTCTTCTTTTGCCGAGGCTTCGCACTTTTTCTGATTTATTTTCTTAGGTATATATGGCCCGGGGCGACTCGATTCCCGTCATAATTTATTGCAATATGAGGCGGCAATACTTAATGGCGCGCGCGCCTTTTTTTTTTTCAAATTTGAGCGAGACCAAAAAAAAGTCGTAGATGTCTCGGGGTCAAACGATCTCGGGTTCTTTTTTAAGGGCTTATAATGCGCTTGCGATGGGTGTATCGGTTTTACGCCTCGTTCGCAGGAAAATCGACGCGTCGACGCTTATCTCTTGATATAATTGCTTATGAGTAATTGTGTGTCTTCGCGGTATACGCATTAGAAGCAGGAAGGTATAATGTGTAACCGCCATATGCCATATGTGCTAAAAATGAAATGCACTAAGGCTACGTTTAACTCTTTTAGACATCTAAGATTAATTAACAACGAAAATACTGAATCACAACTTAAACTTTTAAACATTTAAAAAGCATACATTAAATAGCAGTTTAACCCTCACTTTTAATGAGATTAGCCAGACTGATATTAAAAAATGTTCGACTTCTATAAGAACAAAATGTGAGCAATATTCCCAATTTTTTTTGAAAACTGCCTGCCTCAATTTAAACTAACCAAAAATTTCAATTCAAGATATACTAGAAAAAAATTTCTTCACCTCATGTCAGTGAACATATTATCTAGGCCACAAAACGGATAAACTACGTAAAAAATTAACGAACCAAAAAACCTGGGACCATGGATTGATATTAACTAATTCCCAAACATGTCAATGGGCTGTGTTAATACTCCTATTGATTGCTCAGGAAGCTCTATTCAAATGGTAAAATAATGGGTCTTAACCTTAAATTATTGCTGTGCTCAATTTCATTAACGACGAGGGATAGTGCCAGATTTCAGAATTTCAGATCGTTTGCTTCCGATTTTCTTGCATAAGGCAAACAAACAAACTGAATTTAATATCTTGCACCGCCTCAATCTTACTTGCAAAACGTTAAAAAACTATCAGCAGTCTTACTTATTTGTATTTTTTTAGGGAACTTTTTCGTATAAAATGATCAACAAATTATGATTAGATTTTTACGCCACTTATTAATTAATAAAACTACAAAAAAGGCTAAAAACATATTTTTTTGATGATAGGGAGGATTTTTTATTATAATGATATGTATATGCCCATGGATGTTTGGTTTTGTTGTTGTTGAGTGGTTTTATTTTTAGCAGGTTATTTTCTTAAAATATCCATGTGCCTTTTCTCTTGAAAACATTTAATTATTTGGATAATGAAGAAATATAAAAAAGTTCAATAGGTTCCAGTTTTCGAATATCTGTGGATATGCAGGTGGTTCCGAACGTTTGTTGTTACTTTTTCCCACGAACTACGTTTAGTTTGCAATTCCGAAATTGGAAATACACCACAAAGTGGTACCTGGTTAAATATATTTAAAATCTTTTAGAAATAATAGCTCCAGTGAGAGAACTTTGGAAACATACAGTTTTTTTTATTTGGCAACTGAGCAGCAATCCATCATGAGTTAACTTATAACTTTCCATCTATTTTTAGTGCCTCTGGTTACAACCTATAATACTATAGATCTTCTATGAATTAACGGTACCATTTTCTCTCAGCCGTTCTCCTTTTCGTCCATATCGAAGATGCCACCTTTGTTAAGTCTCCTCATTAAAACAAGCCAGTCAAAGTAATAACAGTTTTTATTTGGAATTGCGTTTTTACAATTTCAATAAAAAACTCATCCTATCTATCTATCAGAATATTGTGTAAGAACCGAAACTGCTATCGGGTGTGTTTGACTTCAAAATTCACTATTGCCATAAATTTTTGATTTACTTTGAAATACAGTCATCTATTTGCCAAGAGTGAGGGACAATTCATCTATTGCACCAGAACACAAAATAACAGTTACTCTAGTTATAAACGTTCAGTGGAGCCATATGGTAATAGTCATAAATCTTCAGTTTTGACTGACAGAAGATGAATCTTAATAAAATACATCACAGCATTAATGGTGATTATCCAGTACGATCATATTTTAAAATTTGTCAAGAAATAAATATAAGCTACGCTTGTCATAAAATAAAACTATCGTTACCCACTACAAGAATCTCGAATTCGCAAACGATTCTGCATGTTTCGAACAAAATCGATTGCATTCTCGGACTCATATATTAACCATCAGAAAATGTCACCCAAGTTTTATCCCAGGTAATATTTCCAGTGGCGTATATCTGTTTTCCTTTTTGACTGAGTTATAAACAATAATCTAATTAACAAGATCCAAATTGATTTTAAAATAATTTTGAAAAGCCACATACATTTGATCCTCGAATTATTCCAAGCAATTACAGAAAGGAATATTCTCAAAATAAATAAGAACTAACAGTTCAGATTTTCAAGAAATTATATATTTTGACATGACAATTGTTTCGACAACACCCTGTCTTTATTAAATTTGATAAAGACACGGTGTGTATAATTTCGTGAACATCTGAACTTTTAGTTGTTATTTATTTTGATAAATGAATTTTCATCAAGAAAAAGCCGTTTCGATCGCAAGTAAGTTTAAGAACGCTAACTCTGGTAAAACCCAACATTTTTTCCAGGTGATCGTGAATCTCTAGGTGATTTTACCGTTCTAAGAGCAAGCCTTGAAATCGGAATGCATCAACCCTTTAATCCAACGTCTATGTTCCTATTTAAATTTCTTAACCTTTGCAAATAGTTAACAGTACGAGCTAAATCCAGTACACGGTTGATCAGAAATAAATCTGCTTATTTGTGCTAATCAATCTTGAACTTGCTCACGTTCAACCGCTCTAAACATTATGCGACCAGTATGTGGATACGCTACTGATAACCGACCCTGGGTTGTTATAGGCTCTCACGACTCCCCAGGTGACTTATAACGATTGTTTCTTGTTTTCTATATACACAAACAATTGCAAGCACGCTCCTTGGTATTGTTTATTTTGGCAGATTTTATTTATACACAGGTTCCACCATTGTTCAAACTAATTGTATGTTTTACGTATAGGTACGTTATCGGTTCTATATTATCGACGTGTGATTTTGGTAGTGACAATTTGTAGGAAAAATATTACTCTAACGGTTGAATAAACATCAGCTTATTAGCATTGAACTTGTACTTGAAGCAAATTCCGTGAAACCACAAGGCGAAATGATACTAGTTCATCTTGATAAAATTTTGTTCCAGGGGATTTAAAAAGTATCATGTTTCTTTTAAAACCCGTTTGTTTTTTAGAAAAATAGGATATGCGAAACAATATTCTTTTCTAACGGCCGATATTTTTCATTTTTATTTTATTTTCTTACAAAAACTCACGCCGTATATCAATATATTATATTGAAGGTTTTGGCGTTTTATTTGATTATTTTACCAAGTGATACCAATTTTTACCAACTTCTTCAAGGAACTTCAATTTTACGATCAACTCAAATTTAATATGTAATAAGCAGAAGACGAATTATATCAAGAAACGTAAATATTTAATTACTAAATATTTGACATTTGAAATAAATAAGCTGCTATTAATTTGGTCCCCTCATAAAAATTCCTGCTCGAAATATTCTCGTTGGGTTCACCAGGGTTGGAGCCTCTACATGACAAAGGCAACATCACAATGTTTTTCTCTAAAACTCTGTCGAAAATTGTAACAGCTTGTCTGGCTCTAGCTTCTCGAATCATATTTGGATCTTCTTTGTAAATCTGAAAGTTGGTAAAAAAAAATATTTTAGCATATAGAGCGCCATCCAGTGTGAAGTAGTCAAACTTGGTTAAGCTTGGGAGTCAGGATAAACACTCTAATATATGATTCACCTGCACGCTTTAAATAGTTCGCGTCGTTACTACTAGATGGATGGTTTACCAGAACTAGGAATGGTTTTACATGTTTCTTTTATTTTATTTCACAGAGCCAAATAAATTGTCAAAACAAATAACCAATAATTATATAATATAATAATATAATTTAAAAAAATATTTACATTTATATTGACCACTTTTACATTTATTCGCAAGATTGGAACGACACAAATAGTTATAAATCGTGTGCTGGTTGGATTTTGTCTCCACTTTCCTTTCCTCTTCTTTTTAACTTATTTCTACCTACATTTGAGAATGGTTTTCACAAGAATCTTTCGATTTGGGAAAGCATTTTTGTAAAAATTTGATATATATATATATATAAAAAAAAATCACACTGAGCTACTTACTTGCCTGCACGCTCTCCTTGCTGCATTATAACAAGGCAATCTGAAGTTTTCGAACCAGGGCCTTGTGGACGACATCAGTTCACAGGTGACATTATTTTCGATTTTCAGTTCTTTGACAGTATTTCTGATGTGCTGTTTTGTTGATTTTTCCACCTGATCAACAACCTGTCGCGGAACAATTTTCAAAGTAAAGATCTTCTTAATTTTGGAATAGTCCTTCTTATCGCAGATACATTCGAGGGTGTCGTGCAATATTATGGACGGCAACCTCCAAAAACTCATCAATAGTTTTACTTTATCCCAAGATCTTTTAAACTCCGGAAGATTATTTCTAAAATTAATTTTTATAACAACAAAATTATTCTAATTCGTGAGTCCAATTATGCTTAGAATATTACCTTATCTCTTCACAATCAAAATCTCGTATATTTTCGTATTCAATTTCTTCGTCCGGCGTAATTTGTTCAACATACTCATTGAAGTCCCTTATAAGAATATTTCCTTCAGCATCCGTCAGATTCGCAACAATTTTTTCCATATCTTCCCTAATATCTGCGCTGGACGTCTCCGACTTTGTTATGGATACTTCAAAGTGCAAAATACCTACAAACAAGATTAGTTAATTCCTTAAGTTTGTTGTTTGTTAAATTTGAATACGATTTTTAGAATTTAATAATTCTGCAACTTTCTGTTCGCAAATAACAAAAAAAACGTGCTTTTTATAACTTGTGTATTCATTATGAGAAGACTCTACATTTTGATATTATAGGACGAGTTTCTCTGATATCTGTTTTTCTGTTTGTGTACATAAAATTCCTCTGCCGGAAGTTAATCTTTCTCTAAGCACAAGATTAAAAATTTCTACCAATATTTTGTTATGGATGTAATAAAATTCAAATTTTCTCTCACCTACGCATCCGTAAATCAAACACGGATATTTTTCCCCGATCCATTCCGATTCGCATATAACCACGTTATAAACGTCATAGAAAAAGATTTGAGTTTTGGTCGCTAAGAAGGCAGCCAAACCCCTACTTTTTTGATGATGCATGGACTCTATTACAAATTTTATGTTCACTGGTAATTGGATGCCAGAATTCTGGAACGCTTCTACTACATGGAACCACATCAACAGGGGACCTGCACAGGAAATTGAGTAGTTCTAGATAATCAAATCAAATAAAGACGGTGCTTGCAAACATAAGGTACATACGGATAGGATTTCTGACTCAATTTGCATAATACAACACCAGGGCATATCCATGTTGAGGAAGTGTTCGAAATGGTAACTACAGGCATCAAAAAAGAAGTACTCTTCAAATTGTGTTGTTTCCTTCTAATTGTTATTATTTACTTTTTTATTGTAATGATTATTACCAAAACTTTACATAATCGAGCCATCCCAGAGAAAATAAATTGCTCTAGTAATTAGAGGTGCCCTAATAATGGAAGGAATTTAACTTCATCGATCTAATTACAGAAAAACTTAAGTTTTTCTCTCAATACAAAACCGAAACTTCATCTAGTAGTTTGTAATCTATCAGCAAGGGCGCGGATTACCGAATACAGAACTCACCAATTCCATAGCAATTTTAAGAAGAAAAGTATTAAAAAGTACAAAAAAATAAAATAGTATAGTGCTTAATAAACGAGCAACTCAGGAAGTTCGATTACATTGCATACTATTCTTTTTCTGCGACAATTAGTTTTAGGGTATATTTTTGCAAAATAACATTCGCTAAGTGAAGTGGAGGCGACAGCCTGAACATCAAAATGTCTTAAACTGACACTTACACTTAATGTATTTTATTTAACACTATAATAAATGCAATTTTTGAAAACACAATCAAAATTACAAACAGTTATGTAATGAAGAATTCTTAAATTTCTGGCAAATGATACCTCCCAAAAGTCAACATACAAATTCAATGCGAAAAAAAAACAATATTTTAAATTCGAAATTTAACATTTAATATTTTCAGTTATACTTGGAGTAATTTCAACCCATACTGACTATAAAGAAGCAGTTAATGAACCTTTAGTGATGTCGTATTTTCGTAACCTTCTTCCTAGCTCCTTCCAAAAAGACTCAATAGGTTAAAGATCTGGAGATCTGGGAGCTGAATGCAGGTGTTTTGCTTTTGCTTGTTTTGAATCGTTGTCTTGTTGTGGACTTAAACCCGGATTTTCGAATTGAGGACAGTAGATTTTCACGCCACATGTTCAAGTATAGTTCATTGTATTTTCCATAAAAACCAATTTTCCCACCCCAGCCGCTGCTATAGAGCCCCAAACGATAACATCCCAGCCTGCGTCCTGCGGGTACTAACTTTTCCGGTTTCATTTCTTGATTTACTTGTCGCCATATTTGTTCTTTTGCTATCCTTGTCCATGTACTGTCTAGCGCGGTCAAGTCGTTTTTTTTTATTTCTCCTATGATATAAACTTTCTTTCTTAAAATCAACCATTCATAACCTCATAGGTATCGGTACTCAATTAATAAACACGCTGTATGATATAACGATTTAAGTTGCACCACGATTGCCACATACTTTCCACTGAGAAAAATTTACTATAATGGACATCATTGTTACCTAAAAAAATTTAGATGAAATATGTTAACTGTTAAAACATCAATTAAAATAAATAAGTTATTAAGAACCTTTTAAAACAGCAGATGGAGTAAAGAAAAAATAAAATTTCAAAATAAGATTTTCGATATTGACCGATAAACAAAACAAAACAAACGGAGCATCAATTAAATAATACAACATTTCTCCACATGCCACATCTCCCTTACCACATGTGTGCGCCCTTCTACATGGTCACCAACACTTGGCACACCCGATGGCATACATTTGCATTAAATGACTTAAGACCTAGTAGGGCTCGAAAATAAAACTCTTTTTAAAATATTTGGACATCCTAAAGGTTGCGTTTGGGAAATACATTGAAAAATTCATCTCTTTCGTATGTACCGCGTGTTTAGGAATACTCAATAATTAACCTTTGCCACAACAAGTGCCGCATCCGTAAAACGTGTTATTTTTTTGAGTAAGATCCCACGGATTTTCAATCCATGTCGACAAATCAGGTTCCGGTACGTCGAGATGAAGGTAAGCGCAGACAGTTTTCTTTTTAGGATCGTTTCCAACAGACGCTAGGATGACAGGAGGTAATCTAACTCTAGTACCGTCCACATCGTGAAACCCGATATTGAAACATTCGTATTTAACGTTGAGTTTGTTCAACCATTCTTCCGTGAATCTGATCATTCGAATAATTTCATCTCGGTATTTCAATTTATTACTAACTGAACGAATTTTCACAGCTTCCTTAATGTTTTCCAAAAACTGAGCGCGGTTCGAATCGATGTACTGCAAAATTTTCAAAAGTGCGGGTGAAATGGCGATCTTTCTGCTTTGCCTGCTCGCATAGTAATCGCCGTAAACGCAATTGGTGGTAAGGGTTTCACTGTGCTCCGTCCTGTATGTATGCGGATAAACCATTTTTTCTTAAGGGTCGTAAAATAATCACACGACAATAATAAACACGTGAAATGACAAATGTCAAAAACTTGTGGTGTGGTTTTAGTTAATTTTAGCGCAATTGTTAAATAAAGGATAAAGTGAAGAACGCACTGTTTGAAGAATATACTGAGTGTTGCAAATTGGTCTGCAAAGTAATTAAACAACGGGAAGACCTCCATTTAAAGAAATAATTTTTATTTTTTTATTATGGTATCCCATGTTAATTTGAGAAAAAAATGTCAGCAAATAAACTCAAAACTAACCAACATGAACCCGTTATCAATAATTATCGCGTCTTATCGGTGCGAATATATAAATAAATGATACCAACGACTTAAAATAATTTGTTTGGTTGTCTGGTTTCCAGATTATGATAATTATAAGAAAGTGCATTAAGAAGACAAATCGCTTTATGACAGATCAAAAATGGTCTCCGTAAGCGAAATTTTATTTGGTTTGGGACTGGTTCTTCTAATTGTCTATGGATCAACTTTGTGGAACTGGTACAAAAGAAGGAGAGAAATAGTCAAAGCGGTAGATGCGTTCCCAGGCGAAAAGTGGTATCCGATCATTGGAACTTCATTGACGTTTCTTGTGGCACCGAGAGAAAGTAAATACACATAAAAATTTAGTAATAATTACTAATAGATGTAATTATTATTACTTGACAGCAACTATTTTTGTACAAAAAATAATACAGTCAAATTATTGCCCCACGTAAATTGAACGAAAATTCTTTATGTTCGATTGAACTAAAATATTCTGATTGATTTGGTAGCATAGCATTTTATTACACTTTTAGATTCACTGCTTTCTTCTGATAATTCAAAATATCACATCACCGAAACTTTAATTTGCACTCACTCAGTGCTAAATTTTGGTTGCCGTTTGCGAAGGCCTTTTATATTAGATTTACCCAGGATTAATGTTTTCAAATGGAACGCCCTGTATATTATTTCAAATTCTGAAATAAAATTGAGTTTCGCTTTTCTAAACCTTATTGGTCTAGTCCTGATTCTTCTAAACATTGTTTTTTTAGCATTTGTAAATCGTTACGATGTAAAGACAGAAAATTGTTCGACTTCCTTAGTATTCTTTTTTGTGGCTTTCGTATATAATGTATTTATTTTCCTGTTTTTCGTGTTTTGGCAAAACAAGAAAAATACTAAAAGTTCCCAAAAAAAGCGCTGCAATGGACTTATTGATTTCATTCCATACTTTTCATTTTACTAGAACGATGGAAGATATTTAAGGAGTTACAAAAGCAATTTGGTCCGACCTCGAGAGCATGGATGGGAAATATTCCCATAGTTGGGATTAGTAAAGCGGAGCATCTCGAGGTAAGATTTTATAACTATTTGCTACTGTTATATACTGCAATTTTGCTTTTAGTTAATTTTTAAAAGCAACGTAAGCATAAATAAAGGAATATTCTACAACATATTGAAACCTTGGTTAGGCGAAGGACTAGTGACAGCGCATGGTAAGACATAGATATTTTGAAGAATCGGCTAATAAGTCTATATTTTATTGGTAATTTATGTTAGAATCTTTTGTGGATTAAAATTAAATTAGAAAATGTTCTGCATAGAACATCTAGGATAGTAAAAAAAAATTAAAATTACGTTTTAAATTCCAAATTGAAGAACAGAGTCGAATTAAATTGTACTTGCTCTTTGCCAAAAAAAGACAAAAATGCTTTTCAGGGTTCAAATGGAAGGAACATAGAAGACTATTAACTCCAGCCTTTCACTTCAAAATTTTGGATAGATATACGGAAGTTTTTTCTGAAAAAGCTATCGAACTTGCTCGTATCCTTGAAGAGAAAGTTGGCGACGAATATTTTGAAGCGAGTGTTTATTTTACTAGATGTGCCTTGGATATTATATCAGGTATATTTTCGTATTACTCGTATTATTCGTATTATTACAGTTTCTGAAATGTGAGCTCAATTAACAGTAACAGTAATTGTAAATTTTTTAGAAACAGCCATGGGTGTAAAATTTAATGCTCTCCGAGATCCGACTTGTGAGTATGCCAATGCTATATTCGGGTAAGTGCACTTTCAAATTAATGATCCAAAGGTGATGTTGCTCTCGATTTGTGAAAACTATTTCTGACTCCATTTCTAATAACTCAAAATTTTTTAGACTATGTGAAATTATATCACTTAGAACTGATAATCCACTGTTGGGCTTGGATTTAATTTTCAACTGCACTAGCGAGGGAAAGAGATTTAGTCGGCATTTGAAGACGATCCACGACACCACGAATAGGGTAAAAACTAATCGTAAACCTGTAGATACAGGGTGGTTCATTCAAAAAGTAGGACTGCAAGGAAAATTTATTGTCGACCAAAAGTCTAATCCCCTTTCGTATATTTGACAATCCGACGAAGGAGAGTCAAGTCCTCATAAAATAAATAGAATTTTTATTTCGGCAAAAACTCCTCTTGCCATTTTTCTTGTTATCAGTACCTTTTTATTGTTCCACCCTGCGTCGTCAAAAAGTACCGACAATTTAAATTAGTTATTAGATTATTGAAACGCGAAGAGAGGAATTTAAAAAGAGACAAATTGGAACGGGCACCGACGATCTAGGTAGAAAGGAAAAATTTGCCTTTCTAGATATTTTGCTGGAAAGCGAGAAAGAAAACAAATTTACCAATAAAGAAATAGCCGATGAAGTGAACACATTCATGTTTGCGGTAACCTAAAAGCGTTTGCTGCCTAGCAGAAGTGAAATGGGCTTCATTTATAGGGCCAAGACACTACTGCGTCTACTGTCACTTACACACTTTTTGCATTAGGGAATTATCTGGACATTCAAGTAAAGTATTTTGATGAGCTTAATCTATTGGTAATTTTAAAAAATTTGAATTGTCCAGACAAAAGTGCAGGAAGAATTAGACGCAATTTTCCACGGCGAAGAGCGACCGATCTCACCGCAAGATATTTCAAGTATGGAATATCTTGACAGAGTCATAAAAGAAGCTTTGAGGATGTTTACTTTCGTGCCATATATTTTTAGAGTTCTTGAAGAAGATGTAGTTATTGGTATGTTTGCAAAGAATTGAAAATATTAAATTAAATGGATCTTTAAGCTCGTTTACAATGAGCAGAACTGGATGCTAATAAATAGGAGATCCCATAAATAGACCAACGCTTTTTCTTTCCCCTATTTTCAGATGGACATCGTATCCCGGCTGGAGTAACAATGGGGTTGTCACTTTACGACTTACACCACAACGCGGAGCATTGGCCAGATCCGGAAAGATTTGACCCAGATCGTTTTCTCCCTGAATTTGCCAGCAAAAGACACCCCTACGCTTTCGCACCCTTCAGTGCTGGACCTAGAAACTGCATAGGTATTTTCTTGGGAAATATTCACTTTTGGAGGGTTTAATCTACGCCGAAAATGTGTCAGAAGTTTGGAACAAGGAACAGTAAAACGTTACTGGCAGCAATTTTAAGAAAGTACAAAGTGAAATGCTTGGAAACTCCCGAAACACTAGAAGAATACGCAGAAATTGTATTAAGGCCACAACAAGGTCTACATTTGCAGCTAGAATTGAGAAAGTAGAATAATAAAATGAATTTTATCGTATTTATTTTGTTTTACTATGACATTTCATTCTTAAATCGAAGACACTGGTTGTGCGAATTTTTTGGGATTTTATTTTAACGCCGTAAAATTGGTAATTCAACACATACATACAAGCCATTCAAGGGCGAAGTCTAGCTGACTAAGTCCCAACACCATTAATGTATATATTATGCACCTTTTTGACAATACAACATGTAACAAGATAACCGATAGTAAAGAAAAATAAAATAAAAAAAGTAAGTAATAATAAAAATAACGCTATGATTAATTAAAAAACGAACAACCCAGTCAACAATTTATGTATCTAATAACACCCCTTCAATGTTCTTCCCAAATAGTTTTAATGTCTATGCCGATTAAAAGTTTTTACCGCATTTTAACCATAGCGTAATCTCCATATTTACATTATGGGTTTCACAGCGAATAACTAGCTTTCAAATAGGGAGGGCTAGGAGATTTTTTTAAAAGGCGTAGACAGTCAAGGAGCGCTAAACATGGATAAAACAATACACACAGTTTTATCCTAACTTTAAGGTCTTTAAGGTTCAATCTATGCTTATTGGCATATAGTCTTAAGTAAAAGGTAAATTCTTTTATTTAAATTTGAAATGTGCTCACTAAATCTTAATGATACGTCCACCGCTACGACAAGGGTTCCCCACTTATCGCAAGATGCAAGTATCTTTTCAGGAAGTGCATTGCAGTGTCGCGAACAAAGAGTAGCACCTGAGTTTTAGTCGCATTTAACCTTAAAGCATGTCTCTCATAAGTGAAAACCTGTCGCAGATCAAAATTAATATCTGCTTCGACCTCATCATAATGGAACGGGTCAAAGAAAATAAACAAGCTGGGTATCGTCAGCACATGACTGAGATTGGCAAATCTGAGGAGCGGTACCCAAATCAAATATATACAGTAAAAATAATAGCCGCCCCAAGATTGATGCCTGATACCACTTCAACAACTTTCGACACACTAGCTATCGTCTTAACAACTTGTCTTCTATTTGCTACTATGCCGCTTTTACACCCCTTAATGAGAATAAAGCAAAATTGCGAAAGTGCTTATAGGTATCCCAACTGGAAATTGATTTATTCCATTTAACCCAAGGACCATCAGTCTCACGGAAGGGCATGGCTATCGAATATTTTAACCAAATTCGTAGTAAGAAACTCAATTTTAATATCAATATAATTCATATAATAGGCTTCGTCCCATTTAATGTTGTTTATGTCATAGTAGAAAGCTGGGTTGTCAAAATGCTTGTACATTATTTATTTTCGACTTTTAACTGTAAGTGAGAGCTCACAAAACGCCAATACTGTGATCAGACATTAAATCTGTATTCAACACTCCATGATCTTTCACATACAATATATTACTTATGAAAATAGGATCCGCAAAACATATTATAACAGTCAAAACAGCTGCTGATAGGATTTGAATAAGTTCACATTTATATCGCCGACAATAACTGTGCAGTTAAATGTTGGATAATATTGTACGATACGAGTTTACGGATTCCCCTACTCTGTGGGCAAACGATATACAACTCCTAGACAATTTTTTAATACTAAAATTGACCAGCACAACATAGCATCAGCATAAATAGCTAGCCCGCAATAGAAGGGAGTGAAGACTAACAATTAGGACACTTATTTGCGAGTAATAGCGTAAAGAAGAGTTTACTTATCCTGTACTCCGCGCTGTACAAGATCATTGGCGTGTCCCAAATCATTCATGCTAATAGCGCGATCCCCATCATTTTTCCTGACAAAAACATGCCAATTGTATTTGTAGTCTTTGGTCTTCAATTTCATAGCATTCACAGCTCATAAGTTGTTTTACACAACTCTTCGTTGATAAAAATTTTATGTTTTAGGTTGTTAATGCCAAAGCACCTTTTTATTTTTTAAGGCGCAAAAATTCTGTAGCCAGGTTCTTCTCTTTTAAGCTAATAAAAGTCGATGGTCGCCTATTCCTAGGCCTGATAATTTTTAGATTTTCAATACTACCTTCGGTTATGCGACTATTTACTTTTTATTACTTTTAAGGTTTTCTTCTTAATCGCTGTGTGGTCACCATGATCGTCATATGCTCCATTTAGAAGTAGCTTCATTCCCAATCTCTCAACTTCCATATTATGTAATTGGAGTTGAAGAAATCTATCCTTTATAGATCTAATTCCTTTATAGATAAGAATTCCTGTTTAAGGATTGAAATATCATTCTTAAAATCAAGTATTAATAGACAAAGTGACTCATCATTATCATCACTGACAACACCCTGGTATGGCTTGTATTTATATTTGAGGAACACTGTGCTTCTCCGAACGATGATGCAGTCTTCCTCCTATATACCCCACGTACCCTAATTCTATTTTCTTCAGCTATCACTCGCAACTCTATTTCGCTTAATTTTGCAAAAATTAAGTGATGCCATTTGCAGTAGCAAGATACAGTAGAACACTGTATCTTGCTACATTTCTTGGATACACCTTTCCCGAAACCAATAGGGACCGTCGACGGAAATCGAACGCTCCAGGCTCACACATTATAAAAACACACGTGCAGTTCTGGCAAAAATTGCCCAGCCGTAATGTATAACAATACCTTTACACATCTTTTTAGAAATTATTTACAAGTAAAATTCCCAAAAAATAGCACTTAACTACTAGATGGACGAACTACCAGATCTAGGAGTGGTGACTATATTTATTTGTATAGTATTCACTTACTTATTAGGCTTACTCTGTCTTATACCACGATTGGAACGACAAAAAAGACAATCTGAAGAGTCTTGTGGACGACATCAGTTCACAGGTGACATTATTTTCGATTTTCAGTTCTTTGACAGTATTTCTGATGTGTTGTTTTGTTGATTTTTCCACCTGGTGAACAACGCGGAACAATTTTGAAATTGGAGATCTTCTTAATTTTAGAATAGACCTACTTATCGCAGATACATTCGAGGATGTCGTGCAATATTATAGACGGCAACCTCCAAAAACTTATTAATAGTTTTACTTTATCCCAAGATCTTAAACTTCGACAGATTACCTCTAAAATTAATTTTTATAACAACAAAGTTATTCTAATCTTGTTCGTGAGTCCACTTATGCTTAGAATAATAGTTTATCTCTCCACAATCAAAATCTCGGTATTTTCGTATTCAATTCTAATGTGCGCTACACACTCATTAAAGTCCATTATTTCCTTCGGAATCTGCCAGAATCGCAACATTATTTTCCATATCTTCCCTGATATCTGCAGTGGTTGTCTCCGACCTTGTTATGGTTACTTCAAGGTGCAAAAAACCAACAAACAAGATGCTTTTATTATAAAAAAAAAGCTAATTCTTTAAGTTTGTTATGGACGTATTTCATAAATTGTTAACTCTTGACTTAATTTCAATACGTTTTGTACGTTTTAGAATTTAAGAATTACAGCAAAAGCTCTATATTACGCAACCTTCTGTTTGCAAATAACAAAAAACCTATGAAATAAAGACGGTGCTCTTAAACATAAGGTACATACGGATGGGATATGTACTTGTATAATACAACACTAGGGAATATGTTGAGGAAGTTTGTTGGGTTGTTTCCTTCTTATTGTTATTATTTACTTTTTTATTGTAATAATTATTACAACAAATTTACATGATCGAGCCATCCCATAGAAAATAAATTGCTATAATGATTATAGGTGCCCTTATTATGGAAGGAGTGTAACTTCTTCGATCTAATTACAGAAAAAGGTTTCATGATTTTCTCTCAATACAAAACAAAAACTTGATCTAGTAGTTTATAATCTATCAACAAGGGCGGCAAATTACCGAATACAGAATTCAGAAGTTACATACTTCAGCAATTTTAAGAAGAAAAGTATTAAAAACTACTGTTGGGGTTGGTGATGAAGGACCACCCTGTTTCCAGGGACGAGATTGACGACAATTCGAGTGGATTGTAATTACTGTTTTATTTTTAAGAAACACTTAGAAACGAAGAAAACTTAATAACAAATTCGCTTCTTCGCTTCTTTCTTCCGACCGTCTCTGTACACGTCTCGCAAAGCTCTCTCGGCTCTCGTCGTGCCGCCCCGCAGTCGCACTAGTTTCGCACTGTTAGCCTTGTTGCCGAGTCTTTCACAAACTCCAACAACTACGATAAAATAAAATAGTATAGTGCTTAATAAACGATTAACTGAAAAAGTTTGAATGTGTTGCATACTATTATTTTTCTACGACCATTAGTTTTAGGGTATATTTTTGCAAAATAACATTCGCTTAGTGAAGTGGAGGCGACCGTCTAAACGTCAAAATGTCTTAAAGTGATACTTACCGCTCCCTAGATTGGATTGTCGAATTGCGGGCAGCAGATTTTCACTCAAAATATTGTTGTATTTCAATAAAAACCAATTTTTCCTCCCCAGACGATGCTATACTTCATTTCTTGGTTTACTTGTCGCCATATTGTTTCCTTTGCTATCGAGTCCAAATATATTGAATTTACATTTTTTGGAAAATCATAATTCTTGTCAATATACTGTCTAGCGAGGCGAAGTCATTTTTGTCTATTTCTCCCATAATATTCCTTCTTAAAATGAAGCATTCATACCCGTTGGTATAGCATTAGACCAGGCAAACCTAAGCGTCAAGAAACAACTATATAGAAACTGCCACATTAAAGTCAAGGTCGGCCAAAATATGTCCAATGTATTTACACCCACCCTCTTCAAGATATATCTTGAGCAAGCGTTAAGGACATGGAAGCAAAAATGCAGAAATGTTGGCATCAGCAAGTCATAATGGCGCAAGACTACGATGACGTAGAATACATGATGCGAAAACTGATCGAAGAATACAAGAAATGGGTGTTGGAGGTAAGTACAGTTACCAAAGACAAAGTGCATGTGTATCGGTGGAGCACAACGCGACCTCCTGTTAGAGGACGGTCAGACTATCAAAAGCTGCGAAACCTACAAATACCTGGGAATGTATATATCCAACAGTGGGACGTTAGACTACGCCATTAAAGAACAAAATAATCAAGGCAGAAAGGCAATTACTATGCTGAACACCTTCTTGTGGGACCAAAAAATCACGAGACGAAACAAACACCTAATATACAATACGATCATTAAAAGCATAGTCACATATAGCAGTGAAGTTTGGCCACCAAAAGAAAGAAACATGAAAACGCTGGAGGCAACAAAGATGGACTTTTGGAGAAAAGCGGCAGGAAGGTCAAGAACCGAAAGAGTCCCAAGCGAAGCAATTCGCACAACCATGAAGGTGGGCCACACGATTTTAGACGAAATAAGAACAAAACAGTTAAAGTGGTACGGACACGTCCAAAGAATGGAAGAACAGCGACTGACTGGAGAGGACTGAAGAGGACCTATGGAAGGACAGAAATCGATGGAGATTGGAAATCGGACGACGTCGGAGGACGTTATAAAAACCGATGTATTTTCTATTGCTGCCACATACTTGACACTGAGAAAAATTTACCATAATGGACATCATTGTTATCTACAAAAATTTAGATGAAATATGTTAACTGTTAAAACATCAATTAAAATAAATAAGTTATTAAGAACCTTTTAAAACAGCAGATGGAGTAAAGAAAAAATAAAATTTCAAAATAAGATTATCGATATTAACCGATAAAGAAAACAAAACAAACGGATCATCAACATCAATTAAATAATACAAGTCCAACATTTCTTCACATGCCATATCTCAACACTTGGCACACCCGACAGTAAAGGTCGTACCGCGTAACTATTTTTTCGCATTTGCCTTATTGATTTGAGACCGAGCGTAGCCAGAAAGTAAATCTTTTTTTAAAATGTTTGGATTTGGATTTCGCGTTTGGGAAATGTAACGAAAAATTCATCTCTCCCGTATGTACCGGATAATAAACCTTTGCCACAGGTGCCGCATCCGTATCTCGACAAATCGGGTCGCGATTCGTCGAGGTGGAGGTAAGAGCAAAAAATTATGGTTTTTGTTAATTTTAGTGTAATTATTGAATAAAAGATTGAGTTAATAAATTGAAGAACGCAATGTTTGAAGGAGTGTTTTGTGAAATTGGTCTGCAAAGTAATTAAACAACGGCAAGACCTCATTCTGTCATTTATATAAATAGACACAACTTTTTTCATTAGCCCTTCTGCGCTATCGTAGGGTTCCATTTAAAGAAATAATTTTATTTTTTCATTATGTTATCCCGTGTTAATTTGAGAAAAAAATGCCAGCAAATAAACTCAAAACTAACCAACACGGACCCGTTATCAATAATTATCTCGTCTTATCGGTGCGAACATATAAATAAATTATATCAACGACGAAAATAATTTGTTTGGTTGTCTGCTTTCCAGATGATAATAATTATAAGAAATTGTATTAAGAAAACCAATCGTTTTATGACAGATCAAAAATGGTCTTCCTAAGCGAAATTTTATTTGGTTTAGGACTGGTTCTTCTAATTGTCTATGGATCAACTTTGTGGAACTGGTGCAAAAGAAGGAGAGAAATAGTCAAAGCGGTAGATGCATTCCCAGGCGAAAAGTGGTATCCGATCATTGGAACTTCATTGACGTTTCTTGTGGCACCGAGAGAAAGTAAATACAAACAAAAATTTAGTAAAAATTACTAATAGACGTAATAATTATTATTTGACAGTAACTATTTTGGTACAAAAAGAATAATACAGTCAAATTATTGCCCCACGTTAATTGACAGTCGATGGTAGCTTAAAAGTTTGAGGAGAACAAAAATTCTTTATGCTCGATCGAACTGTTGATTGATTTTGGAGCATAGCATTTTATTACATTTTTAGATTCACTGCTTCTGATAATTTCTAAATATTAATATTTTTTTCTCCAAAATATGACATCACCGAAACTTTAATTTGGTTGCTATTTGAACTCAATGAGAGCTAAAGTTTTGGTTGCAGTTTACGCAGGTCTTTTATATTAGATTTACCTAGGATTAATGCCTTCAAATGGAACGCCCTGTAAATTATTTCAAATTCTGAAATAAAATTGAGTTTCGCTTTTCTAAACCTTATTGGTCTAGTCCTGATTCTTCTAAACATTGTTTTTTTTGCATTTCTAAATCGTTATGCTGTAAAGACAAAAAATTATTCGACTTCCTTAGTATTCTTTTTTGTGGGTTTCGTATATAATGTATTTATTTTCGTGTTTTTCGTGTTTTGGCAAAACAAGAAAAATACTAAAAGTTCCCAAAAAAAGCGCTGCAATGGACTTATTGATTTCATGGTAATGGTCTTAGTCCTCATTTTTCTAAACACTATTTTTTGCATTTCTAAATCTTTATGCTGTAAAGACAAAAAATTGTTCGACTTCCTAATTATTCATTTTTTGTGGCGTCCGTATATAATATATTTATTTTCCTGTTTTCGGTGTTTTGACAAAACAAGAAAAATATTAAAAGTTTCCGAAAATATGCGCTGCAATACACTTATTGATTTCGTTCCATACTTTTCATTTTTCTAGAACGATGGAATATATTTAAGGAGTTACAAAAGCAATTTGGTCCCACCTCGAGAGCGTGGATGGGAAATATTCCCATAGTTTTGATTAGTAAACCGGAGCATCTCGAGGTAAGATTTTATAATTATTTGCTACTTTTATAAACTGCAATTTTGATTTCAGTTAATTTTTAAAAGCAACGTAAGCATAAATAAAGGAATATTCTACAACATATTGAAACCTTGGTTAGGCGAAGGACTAGTGACAGCACATGGTAAGACATAGATACTTCGAAGAATCGGGTAATAAGTCTATATTTTATTGGTAATTTATGTTAGAATATTTTGTGGATTAAAATTGTATTAGAAAATATTCTGCATAGAACATCTAGGATAGTAAAGAAAACTTAAAATTATGTTTTAAACTCCAAATTGAAGAACAGAGTCGAATTAAATTGTACTTGCTCTTTGCCAAAAAAAGACAAAAATGCTTTTCAGGGTTCAAATGGAAGGAACATAGAAGACTATTAACTCCAGCCTTTCACTTCAAAATTTTGGATAAATATACGGAAGTTTTTTCTGAAAAAGCTATCGAACTTGCTCGTATTCTTGAAGAGAAAGTTGGAGACGAATATTTTGAAGCGAGTGTTTATTTTACTAGATGTGCCTTGGATATTATATCAGGTATATTTTCGTATAACTCGTATTATTCGTATTATTACAATTTCTGAAATGTAAACTCAATTAACATTAACTTATTATTGTATTTTTTTAGAAACAGCCATGGGCGTAAAATTTAATGCTCTGCGAGATCCGACTTGTGAGTATGCCAATGCAATATTCGGGTAAGTGCACTTTCAAATTAAGTGATCCTGTTCCGTCCAATCGGAATTGTCTTTGTTTTATTTTTCCTCTTTAGTTTTTGATAATTCGAGCAAATTGAAATTGGTTTTCATTTAAGTCGTTGCTTAATGTGAGAGCATCTCGAGTGCCGTCAAGCATTGCGAAACTGTGCTAGTCAACAGTCAGAACTGCATCTAGGTAGGCCAAGAAGAAAAGAGATTGTCATTTTTCGTCTCGTTACATCAATATATTATTACTAAATCGCCGCGTTATTTCTAGCTTCAATTTATAAAAATTTACAGTCCAACCAGATCCAGATTACTACATTTAGAGAATTTAATCAGATTTCTTCCTATTTCGAAGCTAATGATGATAAAAATGCTTTCAAATAAAAAAATTGCCACAAGTAGTAAAAACCTATAAAAGTTGATAGATATTAAGGATATCGAAGAATAACAGCTTTGAATACCAAATCGTCTGGGCGCCCTAACTGTGACATTTTTAGTTGTCCCATACCATACGATTCAGCAATCAGCACAGTAAATAAAATGTTTAGTGTATTAATAAAAGAAATCGTATTTTTTCAATTTAATCATTTTGTAATATTTTTCACTAACAGAGGGCATCCACCCACAGAGGTACGAGCTAATGTGATGTTGCATTCGATTTGTGAAAACTGTTTCTGACTTCAATTCTAATAACTCGACAATTTGTAGACTATGTGAAATTATATCACTTAGAACTGATAATCCATTGCTGGGCTTGGATTTTATTTTTAACTTCACCAACGAGGGAAAGAGATTTAGTCGGCATTTAAAGACCATCCAGGACACCACGAATAGGGTAAAAACTGATCGTAAACCTGTATATACAGGGTGGTTCAATAAAAAAAGTAGGACTGAAAAGAAAATTTCTTATCAGCAAAAAATCTAACCTACTTTCGTATATTTGACAACCCGACTAAGGAGACTCAAGTTTAAAGTATTATTGATATTATTGTCCTCACAAAATAAATACATTTCTTAATTCGGCAAAAACTCCTCTTAGCATTTTTCTTGTTATCAGTACGTTTTTGTTGTTCCACCCTGTATCGTCAAAAGGTACCCACAATTTAAATTATTTGTTAGATTATTGAAACGAGAAGAGAGGAATTTAAACTGCGACAAGTTGGAACGGGCACTGACGATCTAGGTAGAAAGGAAAAATTAGCCTTTCTAGATATTTTGCTGGAAAGCGAGAAAGAAAACAAATTTACCAATAAAGAAATAGCCGATGAAGTGAATACGTTCATGTTTGCGGTAGCCTAAAAGCGTTTTCGGTCTAGCAGAAATGAAATCGGATTCGTTTATAGGGCCAAGACACTACTGCGTCGACTGTCACATACGCACTTTTGGCATTAGGGAATTATCTGGATATTCAAGTAAGGTGCTTTGATGAAATAATCTATTACATTGGCAAATTTACAAAATTTGAATTTTCTAGACAAAAGTGCAGGAAGAATTAGATGCAATTTTCCACGGCGAAGAGCGACCGATCTCTCCGCAAGATATTTCAAGTATGGAATATCTCGACAGAGTCGTCAAGGAAACTTTGAGGATGTTTACATTCGTGCCAAACATTTCTAGAGTACTTGAAGAAGATATAGTTATTGGTATGTTTCAAGCAATCGAGGAAAATTAAATAGACGGGTCTCTAAGCTCGTTTACAATTTCCATCTTGATGAGCAGAACTGGATGCTAGTAAATAAACCAACGCTTTTTTTTCGGTTATTTTCAGATGGACATCGTATTCCGGCTGGTGTAACAATGGGGTTATCACTTTACGACTTACACCACAACGCGGAGCATTGGCCAGATCCGGAGAGATTTGACCCAGATCGTTTTCTCCCTGAGTTTGCCAGCAAAAGACACCCCTACGCTTTCGCACCCTTCAGTGCTGGACCTAGAAACTGTATAGGTATTTTCTTTGAAATTTTATTTTATTAATTTTTGGACGTTTTAATCTACGGTGAAATGTTTATAAATTTTTCTCAGGTCAGAAGTTTGGAACGAGGAATAGTAAAACGTTACTGGCAGCAATTTTAAGAAAGTACAAAGTGAAATGCTTGGAAACTCCCGAAACATTAGAAGAATACGCAGAAATTGTATTAAGGCCACAACAAGGTCTACATCTGCAACTGCAATTGAGAAAATAGAACAATAAAATGAATTTTATCGTATTTATTATTGTTTTACTGTGAAATTTGATTCTTAAATCGAAAACGCTGGTTGTGCGAATTTTTTGGGATTTTATTTTACTGTAGTAAAGTTGTTTCAACACATAAATACAAGCCATTCCTTTCTATTGGGTAAAAAAATAGTGTTATTGGTTTAAATAGTTAAGCAACAACAATACAAAACAATTAAGGCTGCCAAGTTAGTAATTGTTGATAACATCATAACGAACTCAACAAAAATTAGTCGATGTCATCTACTGCTATGTAAGATATCTAAATATCAAAAAATAGTACTAAACAAGAAAATTTTCGATAATTCTCTCAAAACAGTGGTCCCTTTGATAAATTTGGGCGTTATTTCCCACACTTAAAATTAAGCTTAAACTATTCTTAGCGATAATTAAAATCACTGCGACCTAAATTTACTTTAGTTGAAACCAGAAGGAGAATATAGTGCCTGTAAGCGTATCAGACGAAATTGAAAGTCGGCTAGGTGTCCGCAGCATTACTTTTTGCTCACAGCGCATAAAGCCTACTAGTCTACTAGAGCTTCTTAACAGAACAACACAAGTCTGCGACAAAAACTCATATTTATTGGCAAACACCGGCCTATTCTTCATAACCTCGTTGAGAAGCTCGTCTATGTGCAAACTATCATTAATGAGAACTGGAAGCATATAATGGAGATAACATGTCGGATCGAGATAGAACATCATTCTTAAACTTAAATGAAAGTCTTCATTTCAACCTACCTCACTAGATTATTTAGGGGTTTCGTGTTTACTATACTTCTGTACGGCATAGAAGCTTTGACTCTGAAGCTTCACTAAAAAGGTGCAATGCCAAATATTTAACAGTATAGTATGCAACATGATGATAAACTTCTTAGGTTTATTAAACACAAACTCCGCTCGTACCAAAACAAACCACACAGAGAAATTTTTTAACAACGAACGTTACGAAACAACCCACTACAACAATAAAATTGCGTTCACAGAAAATAAGCTTTTGTTAAGACAAAATTGATTATATTTTTACTTTAATCGTCTTAACTAAAATATTTAATTCAATAATCCATAGTTTTGTAAATTATATTATGCAAGTAAATCTCTAATTTCCGGAAGCATTATCATTGTCAGCCATTTGTATTGCCCCCATGTTATAGGCTGACTGTGAATGTGGATAATGGATAAATTATTATCTGAAGGGGGAGGGCAACATCTTTTCCGGTATTTCAAGGTGTATAGAAATTAAATTATTTTATACTTAATAGATCCCTCAAACTTAAAAAGTGGAAACCTAATATTGCTGAGTCTATTGAAGGAAGTAAATTTAGAGTATGACTTATTGTAGACGTCTATTCAGATCAAAGGAGCTATAAGTACTAAAAGAGAAAAAGTAAAAAAATATGGCAAAACATTACAACCCTTTACCATTGTAGAAGCTCCCACAATGACAAAGGTTACACCCACATTGCTCTTGGTCATGCAAACAAATATCTCTGGATATTGTAGGTTTTAGACCACCACGACCACAACAAGTAGTTACGCGAAGAAACCTACCTGAACATAGCAAATTTCATTTAGCCGAAACGTCAACTTTCGCTACATTTCGTTCAATTCAATATACTTCCTTATAACGCAAATTAATTTTACTCTGGTTGAAATAAATATTTCACTTTTGTTACTTCAAAGAAAAGTTTTCGCAAATAAATAATAATTGTTCTTAGTATACCCACTTTCTTGAAAATAAAGTAGAATTGTAATAATAAAAACATATTTCTTGTAATAGTGTAAGACTTATCCTGGCAAATAGAATTTTCTTGCAACAAATATATTTGAGTTGAGATACTAAAAAAAATATAATTCCCCGAATTTGATATTTAATTGCTGGATACGAATTAAATTATTTAATAAGAAAAAATATGCTTTATTTTCAGGAACTAATTTTTTTCTCTGTGCTGTATCTAAAGTATATGTAATATACATTCTTTTTGTTGGCGTTAGAGTTGATAAATATTAAGTTTTGTTAAATAAGGTTTCTAAATAGAAGCTTTGATACAAAGGTTTCGAAAAGTTTGCGGAAGCAAATCAACATTGATTTCGCAGCCCATACTTAAGAAATATTTTATATACATATAAATTTGCAACAGATTCTCAGAGTGGGGTTAATTTTTATTTCAAAGAAGTAAAGAAGTTAAGAAGTTAAATGTTAGCGATAGTATATACAGATAATCCAAAAACAAAAAATACAAGGAGTGTGCTGTTTCAAAAATAAACTGACAAAATTGTTTAACAAGGACTTGTCTAAATTTTTTTTAATCATTCGGCAGACTTAATATAACATCTACTGTGAACCACCCGGTATAGAATACTAATTCTAATTTCACAAACGTCGATCGTTTTTAATAAACCTTTTGTTAATAAATAACGCAAAAAGTACGATCACTTCTCCTTATCTGGCAGTGAATCATAAAATTAAAAACCTAATTCTCCGCGTTGTCTCGTTCAGTGTGTGGCGGCGCGACTGGATTCAACTGAATTTTGAACCTTATAACAATGTAACATCAGTATTTTTCTTTGAAGCGTCTATTTCGCTAGATCTAAATATGAATTATTAACGGGGATTACTAATTATATATGGGGCAGATTACCCTATGTCAAACCAAGTATAGAATATCCCCTTATTTTAGAAAATCTAACTTTATATCTTCAGAAAAAATTTCAGGCAGTTCTAAACACTATCACAATGTATGAGATTCTGGGGTTATGCTTAGACAAGCACTAGTATTGCAAAAGTGCGTGCATTTATTAAAAAATACAGTGGAGTGTCTAGTGGTTTAGTATTATACACCACAGAAGAATAAAAAGCCCCAGACTAAAATTATTTTATTATTTCAGATGGTCATCGCGCGTCCCATCAGATAAATATAGACGTTATCGATTCCGATTTGATATATAAAAATGGAGTGTTTTGTAGCATATTTTAGTCTCGTTTCGTGTCTTTGCGAATTTCTGAGCGCCAAAGTTACGCTAATTGGTTAAGCATTAGTGATTTTATGAAGGGACATTGTCATCTATTTATTTATTCGCACAACCATAACTAGTAAAGGTGTGTATTGCTTTTTGGTATGAAGTTTTATTAATAAATTTGGCAAATATTAAAAATCTAAAATCTTAATTTCCCTTTTTCTACTCCCTGCTGTAAAATAGCCAATTATGCACTCATTAAGAGTACGTAAAATATCACTTTAAGACTTCAGCTGTTGCTAGCCATTTCGGATGTTTCCGGTAACTTAATCACAGCTCACCATCGATACATTCTTGATTCTGACATTCACGTCACACGTGACCCAGGGAATCTATTCGTGCTGTTTTGCACATGGTGCGTAAACAAATAAACAAGATTCATATCACAATGTTTACACAAAATTCAAATCCAGACATCTCCACTGTGTACACAAAATGTGAATGGAACATATATAAAGTCTGCTTTGAAGTTTTTATTGATTCGTTATTTTAAAATAGTTCAAATTAGATAAGTGAAGTTTTTTTTTTCCTAAAATTTACAGTCACAATACCATCAGGGTTTAAAATCCACCGAAAACATTCGATTACACCTAACCCATGACTAAAGTACCCAAAACACTCGGAGTGACTCGCGACAGTGTCTAGTGAACCTAAGGTTTTAAAGTGAGATTTTACGTACGTACGATCACTGCGTAATTGTTTACTTTAGAGTAAGGAAAGAAAAAAATGATGTTTAGGTACTAATTTACTGTATTTTTATTTTGTATAATATTTTAACTCAATTTTTTCAAGGCTAGATATTGACAATTAAGCATTTCTTTTAATTTTTCTATTATTTATTTTCTTAATTACCATTTAACATTTTGAAGCGGTGTTTAATTATGAAAAATATATATAGAATATAACATATAACATATAACATGGATTCGGAGATTCAGCCTTTGGTTTGGGAGTTTAATTTAATTTTTATTATTTATTGTCTACCACTGTATCTAGATATAGAAATACCTGTACCTATAAGATGGCTTAAACAATTTTACATGTTATTTTGCCATGAAGGCTGTGAAAGTTTTGACGATTGAACTGCTGGCAGCGGTAAATGGTTCGCAATAACTGTACCTAATTAAAATTAGCAAGAATTTTACTCGTGTCGATGCTTATTTTAAATAGCACACAATATTCTTTCGAGAATTCGAGACTTTAAAATGTATTCAGTAAATGCAATGCGATTTAATTTTTCTGGCAGAGAGCCGAAACCTAGAGTCATATTCTCAGTTAATGAAATTCCAAAATAATTTGTGCGTCTTTGTTCGTCGGAAATATCGCAGTCAGAGACATGAAAGAATAAAATATTTATCCACCGCATTTATCTACAATATTTGTTGTAGATCGAAAATGGGATCCCTATTTGACATTCCGCTAGGTATAGGCGCAATTGTTCTTATAGTTTATGGGTCGGCTTTGTGGAGTTGGTATAAACGGCGAAGAGAAATATCCAAAGCCATAGACGTCCTTCCAGGCGAGAGATGGTATCCTATCATTGGAACCACATGGAGGGTTCTTAAAAGTCCGAGAGAAAGTAAATATTATGTAAACTTATTTAACAAAACAGATTTTTTCTGCTCCAGGATTTTCAAATTTTAGTTTTCAAAATATTAGTTAACATTATATATTAGTCCTTTTGTCCGTATGGGATTTTTTATTTGTTAGTTTCTTGAAAATCTTTCAAAATCGCAGTGCATTACTTTTGAAAACCTGCTATTGCTACATTGCCTTGTTTTTATTAAATTAAGAACGGAGTCTTTCAAAAAATTTAGTTATCCTGAATAAACTTATTTTTTGCAGATTTTGCAAAAATGTTTAACACAAATCTACCACAAGAGTAAAAGTTTTTAATTAGTTTTCAAATTTGTTTCATTGTGAATGATGATTTTGTTTTCAACATTTCAGAACGATGGAATGAAATGAAGTTGTTGCTCCAAAAATATGGACCCGTCTCAAGAGGATGGACTGGGCATCTTCCTATGGTCTTCATCAGGAAACCGGAACATCTCGAGGTAAACAACTGCCTATTAAATAAATGCCATATCAATATCCGTGATTTTAGCTGCTGTTTAAGAGCAACGTTAACATAAACAAGGGAGAGTTCTACAACTTACTATATCCATGGTTGGGTGGAGGACTACTTACAGCACATGGTAAATGATTCTTCGCCTTATGGTTATGTAGAATATGAAAATCGCAATCGTGGGATTTAGTTAATTTTTTGCTAATATAATATACAGCGACTCACAGCTTAAATGATGCAGCCGCTATAACAAAAACTAACTGGTTTGAATGTCTCTTTATTTGAAATTAAGTTAGTAAAGAGCCTTCTAAAAATGTGCATTACTTTTTGTCTTAAATATGCCTTACTTAGTTAACAATAAAGAATTAAATAAATTATGCAAAACAAAATATAACCAAATCAATAGAGAAAAACAACTTGATAATTTGAAATATTCCTACTAATATTTAGATAACATTTTGTGGTCTTTTGGGTATTGATTCAACTCATTTTCTAGTACACTCCGGGGAAATTATGTTCCATACTTCAGTAATTTTTACCTTTAAATCATTCTTGTTAGATATGATGGCACTACTTACTTTGTTTTTTAATGTCACAAATTATCAATTACATTTAAGCCTGGTGTCTTAACAACATTTGGGACGTTATAAAGCAACCAACTGCGGACCCGAAATGACGTGTGCTTTAGATCATTGTCATGATAGAACAGATAATTTTTACCCATACTAGCAACCAGATGCTGTCTTAATATATCCAAATACATACATTGGTTCATATTTCCTTCAATGAAATGCATATTACCTACTCCTGCAGATGACATACAGCCCCATAACATCACTCCACCTCTACCGTGCTTTACCGTAGCTTTTAAATTTTTCAATTTTAATTCTTCCTTAGGCTTTCCCCATACTGATATTTTTCCAATCCAAATAAGTTTATTTTGAAAAATATTACTGAATTCCAAAAGTTCAAATCTTCGTTCGACCATGTAAATTATTTTTTCGCAAGATTCGTCGAATTGTTTCGGGGTTTCACCTTTTTCCAAACTGTCCTTCCACCTCGACACACATCTTTGGAGCACTTTTTTTTAGATAATTCGATACCTCTCTTACATCTTTCTTCACTTTCATTGAAGATCTTATTTGGAGCTTCCCTTGACTTATTCTCGACCCTACTTTCGTTACAGTAACGCTCAATGATATACTGAACAGTTTACTATTTTGGCTATGTCTCTTTGGCTGTATCCATTTCTGTGATGAGTAATAATTAAATTTCTCTCAGAAATTGTAGTACGTTTTACTGAATGAAAAATGAAAAAATAAATTAAAGCCGCTTTGGTAAATTTCTTCTAAACTTATAAGTTTTGACTCTAGTTATTATTTTTGTATCATTTAACCTGTGACGTTAATATTGCATAGAATTATCTCTTTACTAAATTAATTTCAATAAGTCGTTTTTTGCCAACTAAATAGACATTCAGACCAGTTAGTTTTTGTTATAGCGACTGCATCATTTAAGCTGTGAGTGAGTGTGTTTTGACATTTTGATGTAGCTGTCTTAGTAAACAGGTTTTATTCTCAGACACGATAAAGGGTTTAATCAGTTCAGTTTATTAAACAGAAGAGTTATTGATTCAAAGCACTTTTTGCTGCAAAAATGTGGGAAGTTGTGCAGTAGATCATACAGAAATTAATTATTACTTAAAGGGCGGATTTAATACGATTAAAATGTGTGTGCCAGTGCGCCACTCATGAGCACGACTGAATTTTCATTCTAACTTTCAAGAATGTAGAGTTAACCATTTTTTTTTACAAAAACAAGACGTACAACATTGCAATCTGTTTTGTCAATAAAAATTAAGTATTTCACAAAAATTTCAAACCAAATTACTCTATTTGGAATAATTTTAAATACTGGAAGTTTTAGTTAAGAATATTAAACATTTCCGTCATTACGCAAGAAGGCTCCTTCACGCGATCTAATATTTTGAGATGATAAAGGATAAATTTTTGCCGTAAAAAGAATAATGACTTTTTTTTCTCATATATTTCTTTCCATTCGTAGGTGCGAAATGGAAGGAGCACAGAAGACTGTTAACTTCAGCGTTCCATTTCAAAATTTTGGATAAATATTCGGAAATATTTTCCGAAAAAGCTGCGGAACTTGTTCGAATTTTGGAGGAAAAAGTTGGAACTGGCTATTTTGAAGCGAGTGCATATTTCACGAGATGCGCTTTGGATATTATTTCGGGTATGTAAAACGTATATAAATTAATAATGAAACAATAACGTGTTTTTTAGAAACGGCAATGGGTGTAAAGTTTAACGCTCTCAAAGATCCGACTTGTGAATATGCCAATGCCATATTCGGGTAAGTGTGAATATGGATATGTGAATAAAATACAGAAATGTCCAAAAAAACAAAATTCCCTTTATTAGTAATGTTTTTATATTTATTAACCCATCTTATTGAAGACACCCCACTAACCTAATTTTTATTATTATGTAATTTATTTAAACAACAAACTTTTTTGAGTCGAACTAAAAGTTATTTTACAAAAGTTACACATTCGTGAATAGAAATCGTTTCTACAAAAAAGTGAAGTAGTATAGATTAAGTATGGTTGCCCAAATGCTCTTATCACAGAACTTTTGGGTATTTTGTCTCCCGACAATTTTTTAACTAAACGCGGCATTCCCTCAACCAAGTAATCACCGTCTTAGCAGGTCTATGAAAACCAACAGTAACTAAAAATTTTAAGAATACACAAGGACATCGTCTAAGCCATTGCCAGATTGATGCAATGGAAATAATTGAACGCTTAACAATGCGTTATTAATTCACAAACAAATCAGAAACAAATTTAACAATACAATTGGTTGTTAAATAAAATAAAAACAATATTATTAGGGTATTTTCTTTCTTTCGGAGGACTCTATATAAAATATGTTAAATATTGATTGATAATAATAAAATATATAAATTGATAAATGATTGTAGGCTGTGTGAAATCGTGAGTACTAGAATCGACCATCCGCTTTTGAACATCGAATTAATATTTAAGCTTAGTAAAGAAGGAACTCGATTTAAAACCTATTTAAAAACTATTCAAGATACTACGAATAAGGTAGAAAACCGAACTAAATTATCTTAAATACGTAATTGTGATCGGATTTTTAGATAATCGAAAAACGAAGAGCAGAATTCGAACAACGCCAATTTGGAGAACACATCGATGATCTAGGGAGAAAGGAAAAATTGGCGTTTTTGGATGTTTTGCTGGCGAGCGAAAAAGAAAACAAATTTACCAACAAAGAAATAGCGGACGAAGTAAATACGTTCATGTTTGCGGTAAGACAAGAAGTCTTGCGATTTGGAAGAAATTAAACATGTAAGACTTTCAGGGTCAAGATACTACAGCATCAACTGTCACTTACGCCCTCTTCGCATTGGGTAACAATCCTGATATCCAAGTAAATGTTTCTCTTTGGCAAAACGTAAACTTGTTGTGGTTGCATTTTTCATATGTTATGAAAAATACAACCTTTTTGGAATATAGTTACTTCTGATGATTTTCCTTACTCAGGTGAAGGTACAAGAAGAATTAGATGGCATTTTTGGTGGCGAAGAACGAACTATAACTCCTCAGGACATTTCCAACATGGAATATCTGGAAAGGGTCATCAAAGAAACGTTAAGAAAGTTTTCGTTTATACCGTTAATCGGCAGGTTGCTCGATGAAGAGTTAGTTATTGGTAAGGAATATTATTTATGTATTTTGAGAATCGATATGCAATATTTTAAAATAGGTGTGATTTTCATCTCTTATATTTTCTATTTATATTATATATATATTCTATTTATTATATATTCTATTTATATTGTATGAAAACATTTATTCTAATTAATTTTGTTTAATAAATGCGCATATATTGCAGCCGTAATGATTGTGCTGGTTTCCTCTTTTTGTTAAATATTTTGTATTTATTCGCTAGCTTTAAATTGCTATAATTATTGCTGAGAAGATATTTACTTATATCATATATAAATATGTTATTTACAGGCTTTATTTTAAGTATTTATTTATTTCTATTTAGATGAAAAATATTAAAAATAAGTCGGAAACCTATTTACATAGAACTATAAGTAATATATATATATATATATATATATATATATATATATATATATATATATATATATATATATATATATATATATATATATATATATATATATATATATATATATATATATATATATATATATATATATATATATATAGAGAGAGAGAGAGAGAGAGAGAGAGAGAGAGAGAGAGAGAGAGCGAGAGAGAGACACTAACAACACAAAGTATTGTTAATGATCACCTAATTATAACGCATTTATATATGCTACCTCAATTTTAGACGAACATCAGATTCCATCAGGAGTTGGAATTGGAATGTCGATCTATACTCTGCATCACGATCCTAATCATTGGCCAGAACCAGATCTATTTGATCCTGACCGTTTTCTACCAGAGGTTGCTGCCAAAAGACATCCCTACGCTTTCGTACCATTCAGTGCAGGTGCTAGAAATTGCATAGGTAAGTCCCATGTTTGCATAGATATTGCATTATAGACTGAGAATGGTCACCATCCACGATTATGAAAGAAATTTAACAAAAAAAAGAAACAAAACTAAAAATTTATGTCCAAACAATTCTACTACAATAAACGGTTTGACCAAGACTAGCAACTAAATTTGGTTGGTTGTCGAATATACCAGCATTTTTACAAAACTCCATTATCGATACATATAAATTGCTTAGTTGCACGTGGCGGTTCGAAAAGTAACATTTATTTGTTCAGGTCAGAAGTTTGCAACAAGAAATAGCAAAACCCTGTTAGCAGCAATCCTTAGGAAGTACAACGTGAAATGTTTAGAGACTCCAGAGACGTTCCACGAGTACATGGACATTGTATTAAGACCCCAGAAAGGCTTACATCTACAATTAGAATTTAGAAAATAATGAGCACTGTTTTATATGTCACAATTAGTTATATTTATTTATTTAATGTTAATAAATCTTAATAAAATAGTAAACCTTTTTATTGGTATTTCGTTTTTGAAAGAAATTGACAAACCAACGATGTATAACTAGTTAATGTCATCTGCTGATGATACTCAAAGGCTAAGGTTAATAAAAGATTTAGGCAATTTCTATAGCATTTAGATTTGTAGTGCTCCATTGTGTAGTACACTGAATGAATCATTATTCCCACATTAAATAGGTAAGTTCCTTTGTAGTAAATGCAAACGTGAATGGAAGTGCATTTGCCAAGATTCGTAAAACTTTTGACCTATTAAAGGAAAGCAGATACCGCGGAATATCATCATGGAAAATCCATTCTATCGCCAGAACCAAAGGAACCCAACCATTCATTAATATTGTTTTGTATTGGCTAACGGTCATGTGATTACCCTTGGCCTCCTGTCTGTTAGGGCAAGTGAGTTGCGGAGTTGAGATATCCATTGAATTATTTCTACCTTTTTTCTAGCTTCAGGTTTACAATTTTTCAATACAATAAATGATATATATTAATTTTTCAACTCATTTGTATAAATCATTCAGAAATAATGGTTGAATGATTGTTATTGATATTTTTATAAATTAAAATAAATAATTTATATATATTAAATTATATATTTTTATTATATGAGCCCTGTTCGTTCCTTTTACTGAGGCTACATATTTGTGGTAAAAAGTGAACATTAATATATTCAATAAACTTTTTTATAGATTTTTGTTAATTCCTTTATGCCATTTAAAATTAAATTAAATATAATATCTACGTTTGGATAATAAAATGGACATCTAGCACCTATACAATATCCCATATTGGTGTATTTAGTGAGTTCCATTGCCTTCGAACTGGCCGCCGCAAACACTGAACATATTTAAATCAAACGCTAAGTTTAATTATGCAATTATATTTTACTGCTATAATTTTCCGTATTCACAACAATTTCCTCGTATAATGAACAAGTAATTTTAAAATTTTCCAACGGCGGCTACTGCGCGCCTGCTAATATTTATTATATCTGCATTCATCAGCGGAGATCATTTTTAGTTCTACTCGTGGGTCGTGGGTGATCACACGCTCTTTACGGAAATTTAACGCTTACCGCTTTTGATTTATTTACGTCTTTATGTCCTGATTGAGGTAAGTTTTGCGCTTATTCTACTGTGCAGTTTTGATTGAATGGTCAGGCTATGTATCTTGTTGCGGACTAACTAACGATAACCAAAATCGTTATATGTTTCTCCAAAATTTAATTTTATTATGTATCTACGAAAAAATAGTTCGGTTGAAAATATTTTAACAATAAATAAATGAAATGATTTCCGCATACCGCGTTGTTAATTACTTAATATATAATTTTAATAATATTTATATTTACAAACTTATAACATTTAAAATGGTTGTCTCCTTTAATTTTACTTCGTATCTTGTTAATATTTCATGAACAAAAGGTTAGATAACATGTTTCAAATTCACGAATCGTTTTATGTGATTCCATATTTACCACACTTACTACCATTCTTACCATTTACATTCTGATCCCACCAGGAGAATGTTTTAAGGACATCAGTAGAGAAGAATATTATATACAGTCTCGCACAAACACGTTTTGCAATTTTTATACATATACTTGATTTGCTGTAATTACAGTAAACTGTATAACATTAAATGATCATTAATGGTATGTTGTTGTTGTTTAATTGCAGCATGGATTCGCTGCCGGACATTTGGGTTGCCCTGGGAATTATTTTGCTCACTGTAGCGGTATATTTGCCAGTTTGGAAATTTTACAAAAAGCGAAAGCAATTGGCTGAAGCTGTAGATGCTTTTCCGGGGCCCACGTGGTATCCTTTAATTGGTACTGGCTGGGATTTATTGGTAGCGCCAAGAGAAGGTAATTACATGTTTTTACATAATCTTCGTTTTTATATTTGAATTAAAGGTCACCCAATAACTCTAATTGTATTTAACTTGATGGAGACGTACTAATTGATAACATGGCTCATTTTAAAACTTTTGTTTAATATATTAAGCATCAAAAATTGTATTTTGAGACAAATTTTATTTTCCAAAGCAATAGCAAAAAAAAACAAAAATATATTAGTACTTTTCCAAATTTTTCATGTGATTATTTTCGAATTTTAGTTTATAGCCCCATTCATTGTTGACATTGTGATTGTGTTGATTGTGAATCCTGTGGTATAGACTTGTGAAAACAAATCCCACAAATGTATGCTAAATTTAATATAACAATCTATTTGAACATCGGATTAAAATGCATATTTTACAAGGACATTTAAAATTCAAATGGATCACAGTGCCTTCTTAAATAAAATTGTTTTTGTTTTGCAAAATATTATTGTGGTATAATAGAAATTTTAAAAAGACTGTTAATATTTTCGAATTATTCTTTGCCTGATTTAATCGAATTTTGCAGACAGATGGAACATAATAAAAAAGTGGGGTCAACAATACAGTCGTGTGATGCGAGTATGGGTCGGATTTAACCCCATTGTCGTACTTTCCAAACCTGATCATCTTGAGGTAAATGAAACTAAAAATTCGATTCGATTCGAAGTGACACGTGGTATGTGAATGTTGAATTAATTTATAATTGTAATATTAGAAATTCTTGCACAATATTGCCAAAGTTGAGAGCTTAAAAACAATCAAAATCACATTTTAGTATTTATTTTCTGCAGTCGTAGAAAGATAATCGTATACAAGATGTTTTAAACTGACCGTTTATGCTGCTAGTTTCCTAGCACTTCATGCGTTCCACAAGTAATTATTTTGAGATAAAAAAAAGCGGCTTTTCGTTGTAACTTATTTTAAACGAAATCGATACGAAATTTTCAGATCCTATTCAAAAGTCACGTTAACGTAAACAAGGGAATATTCTATCGATACATGATGCCATGGTTAGGAGAGGGATTAATTACAGCATCAGGTGGGTAACCAAAGTTTTACAAAAAAGTGCACAGCAAATTCCCGTCTTCATATCCTTTTAGTTTTCAATTAGTTACAAACATTTGTTGAAGTCACCATCGTTATTGAGTAAAAGGACAGTGAGTGATCCATAGAAATATTAGACCTCCCCTCTAATTTAGTTATTTTACATTTTACAAAAAAAAGTTTAATACAAAAGTTTGTGGTTTAATGTGTGGATTGAATTTTACATACTTATTTGTGTACAAAATTGTTAGCTCTGTGTATTATTCCATTCCGCTGATTTCAAAAACAAATATCATTTTATAATTACTTTTTACCTTAAGGGCCAGAACTAGTCAAAAATAAGATCGTCATTTAGTTGGTCATGCATCGTGGCGTCACCCGTCTTTTGTTTAATTATGACAATTGTGGCAAATCTTTAATAATATTATTGTTTAGAAATGAATAATCGTTGTATAAAAAAAAAGAGAAAAATGCAAATAGAGTCCGCAAATATATTATATAGATAATACAAATGCAATAAAAAGTAATTTATTTATCTAAAGCTTTAATTATTCAGTAAAGAAACAAATCATTAATATTATTAGGTCACTCCTAATGTTGTCAATATTATTTTTTTAATACTCCCACAATGAACTAGGTGGTAGGATAAGAACTGGGCTATTGCCTGGCCCTATCGCCCAATCCATGTTGGATATGTATTCAAATATCCTGTTGCCAGATGCGCTAATTTATTGATTCTGATGTTTCTAAAAGATAGGTTCTCTTAAAAATCTTAAATAAATAGATTTCTGCAGTCATTGCCGAGTTATAAAAAATGGATTGGATAATTTGTTTTTTTTTGAAACCACATACTAAACGTTTAAGGATCAATGTCTAGAATGTTTAACAACTAAATATTTTTCCGAATTTTATACCGACCAATAAGTTTTTTTGACTGGGCACTTCTGCTGTGGCGAAAGATGATTCGTCAGTTCATAAAATTTCGGGACCAAAGATATATCTACAAAACTACTGAATTTTTTCAAATGTTTTCCAAATTCTTCTAAAAATCGATAACACCTTCGAGCTTGGAATTTAATAGACTTTCTAAAAATATTTAAAATGTTATGTTAATCTAATTCGCTAAACCAGTTGTTTAACAAACCTACCTAAGTAATATAAAATTTGTTATATTTAATTTTCTATCAGGATTTGAGAAGCAATGCTTTGTTTTTCTCTCCATGTATGCCTACCCTCCCTATGTATTTCCTTCTATTCGCTTCCGAGCCTATTTATATTTTCAGCATTTTCAGCGAGTGAAAAAAAAACCTTTATTGAATTTCGAATAATTATAATATTCAATGTATGTGATAAGTAAATGAGGCCACGAAATAACTTTTTTTTTAAATCAACACACAATAATATATAACTCTGATATACTATGCTGTTCTGGCACACCTTGTATATAAATAAATATGTAATATTAGTAACTCTACAAGTTATATATTAAACTTTTATTTCTATTTCTAAAATGTAAAATAAACAAGTTACAGGAGGATTATAATGGATTGCCCCTGTACCAGAAATGATATGAAACTCACAATACCTGACTGGTTGTTAGCACATATCTTCTTTTATACCATGCACAAATTGCTTCCTTACAGCCTTGCTCTTTCATATACTGCAGCGAATGACATGAGTTAACTACGTTTTATTCAATTTAAGGCAACAAATGGAAAGAGCATAGGAGACTTTTGACTCCTGCATTCCATTTTAAAATTTTGGATAAATATTCGGAAGTCTTTTCTGAGAAAGCCTCAGAACTGGTGGAAATATTTGAAGAAAAGGTTGGAAAAGGGCCTTTCGACGCCAGTACTTATATTACTAGATGTGCGCTAGATATAATTTCAGGTGAGAAAGCCTGTATTCTTTGTATTAATCTTAGAGAAACATTAAATGACTCCCCATATTCCATAATGGTTTGTTGGTTTCGGAAGATATGAGCTACTTTTCAGTTACATGTTTTTTTAGAAACTGCGATGGGGGTAAAATTCGATTGCCTCAAAAATCCAAGTTCCGATTATGCCGTTGCTATATTTGGGTAAGTAGATAAATAGAATTAGACTATATTACATACATTATACACCAAATTATTATTATTTTCATTAACATTTAGAAGCGCCCAAGCATGCATTCTTTTAAATCAGTGTCTAACATTTCCAATAATTTAATTTATTAAATTCGCTGAAGAAAAAACTCGTTTCATCACGTGATAGTAACCGTATTATATTTACAATTTTTGAGTTTAACTTGGGCTTATTTTAATTTATGTTGAGTGTTTATCTGGGAAAAACGGTACAAATGAACCAACCATATTAAACATATTGTCATTAAGAGTTTTGGTACTGCAAAAAGAGAAACGAAAGCCGTCATTTAAGAAAAAGGGAATAAAACATCATAAATAAACTGATGAAATAATTCTTAATAGTTGAAGCCCTTGTAAAGTATTCCAATAAAGTATAATAAATTACTGTGCATAATATACTCGCATGAACGATATTATCTGCAACATAAATAAAATATCATTAAAATCATATTTGATATGAGTACATACCAAAACAAAAATTATTCTTTGTACTGTCTAATAATTTACAATGTTTAATTGCCTACCAAGAGTCGATGCACGTTTTTGTAGTTAATTTTGAACTACTTAAAGATTGTTAATTTCTACAATTCTTTCATGTCTATTTTGTTAAATTGATAAAGAGATAACTTTGGAGAAATACCAATATTTTATATTTCAATATGTCTAAATATTCTGTAGTAAGATCTACGTTTAAAACAATTTCGTACAATAATTCTAAATAATACAATTATTACCACAATTCTGTGTAGGCTATGTGAAGGAGTGGCCAATAGAGGAAACAATCCATTTTACGCATTTGACTTTGTCTTCAAATCTAGCAAGGAAGGAAAAAAATATTACAGTTGTCTAAAAACTGTCGAGCAAACCACGTACAAGGTAAATTACAACCTGCTTTCATGTAGATAAAATTATATAACGAGACACCTAATTTTAGATAATAAACGACAGGAGAACAGAATTCCAGAAACATAAAACTGAGCAAAAAATCGACGAGCTAGGCAGAAAGGAGAAGTTGGCGTTTTTGGACATTTTGCTAGCCAATCAACTAGAGAATAAATTCTCTGATAGACAAATTGCCGATGAAGTAAACACGTTCATGTTTGCTGTGAGTTTTGCAAATCGAAAAATATGGGCACTATCAAAATTATTGTGTAAATGCAAATAATTTTCAACAAAATATAACTTTTTCAAATTTTGAGATATGATTTGATATGATGCACCCAATTTCCGCTTAAATCTTCCGACTGCTGCTTTCTTCGGTCATAATGCTATGCACAATTTTCTGCATAGACCTCAAATCTATATCCAGCGCTTATATTTCCTTATAGCAGACACGTCTAAATGACAGAAATATACGATATAACTTTCAGGGTCAAGATACAACTGCATCTACGGTGATGTATACCCTTCTCGCTTTAGGAAATTACTTGGATATCCAGGTAAACGAAAAATATTGAATTTGTATTTTCACACATTATAGTGCAATATTCCAGGCCAAAGTACAAGAAGAGCTGGACGGCATCTTCAACGGCGAAGAAAGGTCTATTACGCCACAAGACATTGCCGACATGGAATATCTCGACAGGGTGATCAAAGAAACTTTAAGAAAGTTTTCTTTTGTTCCTTCTATTGGTAGAATTTTGGAGGAAGATATCACTATCGGTATGGATTTGTCTTCTATCTACGTAAGTCAAAACTTTTGTTTTCAGATGGACAACGTATTCCAGCAGGGGTCGGTGTTATCTTGTCACTATATAAATTGCATCACGACCCCGAATATTGGCCTGAACCAGATCGTTTTGATCCGGATCGCTTTTTAGCTGAAGTGGCAAACAAAAGACATCCATATGCTTTCGCACCGTTCAGCGCTGGTTCTCGGAATTGCATAGGTATGCACTTAAATCTTGAAATAACCAACCTTCCTACACGTCGGAGCTCAAGCGAGATCCTTGGTGGTCGTTTAATTTTTTTTTCAGTGAGTTTTAGTAACGTATACTCACTTGGGCAGGCTCTTTCTACATCTATATAAAAGTCTTCATCTATTGTTATTGCATTATTTCTTTATCAACTTCGTTGTGCACAGCTTCGCCTTCAGAGATCAATTTAGAGGGAATGTAGTCGGCCTATTTGCCTCTTGTTTAGTAGGCAAACTCCGCTCTGGTAATGACTTTTTACAATAAAATGAGAATGGAGAAAGATGAAGTTCACAATAATATAAATAGATAGATAGAACAGCAGTTTTACTACACAAATATTAACATTTCTCCTGAAGAGTTAGATTCCTATAAAATTAAAAAATTGGGTACTGTATTTTTTTTCTTTTTTTTATATACTTAAGTGTTTCTCTCTCAAATGTTGTGTGTTGTTTTTCTTTTAATATTGTTAATCTACAAGATAACAATCGAATTGTACTTTTCTGATTGCCGATTTTATTATTCAGCCCTTCAATACTGCCAATCAATAATGAAAAGTCAACGCGTCATATAAAATGCTTCGTTTTTGAGAGTGCCATAGTTTTATTTTTTATATAATGTCGATTTCTGAAAGAAAATGTAATGCCTGTGGGTTTTATGAGAAATTTGACTTTTTTTGGTTTATGGGATTTCCACTGGAAATTGTAGAAGCTGGCGAACAGCCTCGTCACCCTTTATTTTATTACATTAAATCCACTTAATACACAATCGACAACCTTGTTTTCTAAAACCCTACCCTAAAACCGTGTGATATGCCTTCTGTAGATCTATGAAAACAAGATGAGGAACTAAATCTGGTGCATATTATTATCTTATTTGTCAAACAAGAGACATTATTCCAATGTAACTACATCGTTGGATTCACAATAGTGGTTAATTTGTACTAATTTAGAAAAAAGAATGCCTCATAAACTTTTTCCTAGAGGACTTAAAAAAGGATACAAAAGAAATTAAACCCACTCAGTAATTACTCAAATGTTATCACTTACATTTCCGTAAATCAAAATGTCCAAAATTATCATAATTAAAAAACCAAATGCAAGCAAAATATCGGCAAGCGAAGCACTCTGGCGAATTTACTTAATTTTCTCATTGTTTTCTTTTTTTGTTTAAGGTCAGAAATTCGGGTCAAGAAACAGCAAGACTCTATTAGCGGCAATTTTAAGAAAATTTACAGTGAAATGTTTGGAAAATCCGGATGATCTGCAAGAATACGATGAAATAGTACTTAGGCCCCAGAATGGCGTTCGTTTAGAATTAACACTAAGAAAATAATAACTGTTTTAAAACTGATCAATTGTATGCGATTAATGAAATTAGTCTAAGGTTGGGATTAGGCAACTATGTTTTTTTGCAATTTTGAATCGCAAACGTATTAGCAAGTTTAAAACATCTTTTTCCAATTTTTCATTAACAATTGACACTTGACAATTTTCAGTTTTGCATAAGACCATTTTTTATGTATTTACTTTTTAGAAAATTGTGTATTGGACATTGGGATCTGTTCAAACCAATAGGTCGTATTTTAAAATATAATACTTTTAGGATTTAAGGAATTGTATAACCGATCTTATTTATTATCTATTTAGTATCTCAAATTATGGATTACGAATTGAGAATAGGAAATTGCCCAATCCGGGCTTAGATTTCTAGACATAAAAAACCGGGATATTTTCAATATATTCAATAAATTACGATATGTTTGAGTGTTTTTTTAACCAACAATAACAAAATTTACTGGAATTAAATGGATAGAATTTTGCAGAAATGTATAACAACCTACGATGTTTAAACGGCATTCGTCGTCTGTGGAACTATAATCTAAGCTTTGTTTACAAATTTTTCTCAATTTTGAAGTTTGGAACGAGGAACAGTAAAACGTTACTGCCAACAATTTTAAGAAAGTACAAAGTGAAATGCTTGGAAACTCCAGAAACACTAGAAGAATATGCAGAAATTGTATTAAGGCCACAACAAGGTCTACATATGCAGCTACCATTGAGAAAATAGAATAATAAAATGAATTTTATCGTACTTATTATTGTTTTACGATGAAATTTGACCTTAAATCGAAGACACCGGTTGTGCGAATTTTTTGGGATTTTATTTTACCGTAGTAAAGTTGTTAACACATAAATACAAGCCATTCCATTCTATTAGGTAAAAAATAGTCATTGGTTTAAATAATTAAGTAACAACAGTACAAAACGATCAAGGCGGTCAAGTTGGTAATTGTTGATAACATCATAACGAACTCAACAAAAATTAGTCGATGTCATCTATTGCTATCTAAGACATCTGAATACTCAAAAATAGTACCAAACAAGAAAATTCTCAATAATTCTCTCAAAACAATGGTTCCTTTGATAATTTTGGGCGTTATTTCCCACACTTAAATTTAAACTTAAACTATTCTTAGCGATAATTAAAATCACTGGGACCTAAATTTCTCACGAATAGTTTTGTTGAAACCAGAAGGAAAATATAGTGCCTGTAAGCGTATCAGACGAAATTGAAAGTCGGCTAGGTGTCGGCAGCATTACTTATTGCTCACAGCGCAAAAAAACCTACTAGCTTACTAGAGCTTCTTAACAGAACAACACAAGTCTGCGACAAAAACTCATATTTATTGGCAAACACCGGCCTATTCATAACCTCCTTGAGCAAACTATCATTAATGAGAACTGGAAGCATATCATGGAGATAGAATGTAGGATCGAGGCCAGAACATCATTCTGATACTTACACGAGAGTCTTAATCTCAACCTACCTCACTAGATTATTTAGGGGTTTCGTGTTTACTATACTTCTGTACGGCGTAGAGGCTTTGATTCTGAAGCTTCACTAAAAAGGTGCAAAGCCAAATATTTTTTCTACTCCCGTCTGTAAAATACCTAATTACCCACCGATCTAGCGTGCGGGAAGCGTCACTTTACCACGTCAGTTTCGTTTCCCATGAATCCGAGCCACTTCGGACATTTCCGGGATTTTACCGCACGGATTTGAAGGAACACCACAAATGATCGAATGTTTAAATGATCGAAAATCCCGAACGACGTTCGGTCCAGTTTCGGAAAGACACGGTGAATCTCGCCTAGCGAGGTATCTCGATGTAGCAGATGATCAAAAGGCAGACTTTGCAATTTGACAGTTGATGCTAGATAGATTTAATCCGAATACGAATTAAGAAAACGGTGCTTGTTTTAAAGATACAGGAGGTACATCGGTTGCTAAGTCCTCACAGGACACATGAATTCCGGTCAATTATTGTTTCCAAAAAAATATAGGTTAATTTTATCGAAAAATGAGTATCTTTTAAATATTTTGTTGTCATTATCGCCCCCTATTTATTACAGCCACCGGCTAAGGTAAAAGTTGACGTCTATCAAATCAAATTTATAAAAATTTTATGAATGATAATGTCCACAACAAAATTCATTTTTTAGCAAAATAGGTAGGGTTTACAGCTGATGATGGGAATAAAACTGATTATAAGCTGACTGAATGCACTGTGCAATTTGTTCTAGCCAGTTGCAAGTGAGCCTTGGGATAACACACATTTATTACCCCTAGCCTACTTTACAAATAAGATAGGGCATTTCCTATAGCCACATGAGAATCACATAAGAATGTACTTATGGTGATACAAAAATACTTTAAATCTACAGCATCGTGGACCTGCTTTCTGGACTCACAGCCCCAGAGGGGTCCATAAATGTCCGTAGGGGCCCCATCAAATCTTTTGTTGTTGAATTAGTGTACCAGAAAATATTTGTACTGATTGTTCTCTTTTATGATGTAAAACTGTTCAAATGGTTGAAATGAAACAAAAATTTTAAGCACAAGCATTTTAATGATTATTCCCAAAACAGTATTTCCTCCATAATTTTTTTCCATCCACATTTGACGTACAATCCACAGTGCCTTGTCCAAGTAAAATACTATAATATTTTTGATTTTTAGGACAAAAGTAACTTCTACCTTATTAGGATTTGCCAGTAATTTTTTTAATAAATGTCAAATATATTTATTTAAGACTTCAAAAATTACCAAGAAAGGTTATATACGTATTCCACTTTGATATATATATTATTATTTAATATTTATTGGCGGTTCCTATTAACTTATGCAAAGGTAGAGGTTACCTACCCAAAAAAATATAAAATACTTGCTATAGGCTCTGTGTGGGGGGGCGTGGTCACGGAAAAATTGGATGCCAGCGATCCTCGTGAGCGTCAGTCGAATCTTTGCACTCCAAATTTTCGTACACTCTAATGAGTAGTGTGATTAAAAGTGAAAATATAAATAATTTTAAACGGTTTTTAATTATAAATAAAAAATGGTTTGAACGAGGCGATCAGGAAATACTTGTTGTGTTCCTATAAGTTTCAAACTTGATATCCCTATAAAAATCGCTGGTTCTAACCTAAACATTCTGTCACTCGATCACGTATATGTCACGACTCAGCTGTTGGCGGATCGGCTGTTACAAACCACCCCCCGACCGAACTCGAACGCCGTGCGGGATTTTCGATCATTTGCAGATTCGTTCATTTGCTACCATCTCGGATTTGGGAGCAATCGGATGTTTTCGGAGATATTTCCCACGTTTTGAATTTTGAAGTTTGTCAATTCTGACGGTCATGTCAGTGAATGTACTCGTGTTTTGCGAAAATGTACTCAAAAACTAACGGTCGCAGAAAAAGTATAGTATGCAACACGTTCGGTCAACTTTTAACTAACTCGTTTATTAAAAACTCGCTCCGCTCGTGTCAAATAAACTCGTGAGTCAAATGTCGTTTACCGCACTTGTTATAGTAACAGTATAGTATGCAACATTAAACACAAACTCCGCTCGTACCAAAACAAACCACACAGAGAGAAATTTTTTCTTGAGCTGAATTACATCATTTTAATAACGAACGTTACGAAAAAATTCACTACAACAATAAAATTACGTTCACAGAAAATAAGCTTTTGTTGAGACAAAATTGATTATATTTTTACTTCAATCGTTTTAACTAAAATATTTAATTCAATAATTTTGTAATTATATTCTGCAAGTAAATCTCTAATTTCCGGAAGCATTGTCATTGTCAGCCATTTGTATTGCCGTCATGTTATAAACTGACTGTAAATGTGGATAATGGATAAATTATTATCTGAATGGGGAGGGCAAGATCTTGTTCCATAATTTAGGTGTGTAGAAATTAAATTATTTTATACTTAATAGATCCCCCAAACTTAAAAAGTGGAAACCTAATATTGCCGAGTCTATTGAAGGAAGTAAATTTAGAGTATGAGTTATTGTAGACGTCTATTCAGATCAAAGGAGCTATAAGGACTAAAAGAGAGAAAATAAAAAATATGGCAAAACATTACAACCCTTTACCATTGTAGAAGCTCCCACATTGACAAAGGTTACACCAACATTGCTCTTGCTCATGCAAACAAATATCTCTGGATATTGTAGGTTTTAGACCACCTTGACCAAAACAAGTAGCTACGCGAAGAAACCTACCCGCCAAAACATCAACTTTCGCTACATTTCGTTTAATTAAATATTATTCCTGATAATGCAAATTAATTTTACTCTGCTTGAAATAAATGTCTCACTTTTGTTACTTCAACGAAAAGTTTTCGCAAATAAATAATAATTGTACTCAGTATACCCCTTTTATTGTAATAAATAAAGTAGAATTGTAATATTTAATTGTGATATTTAATTGTTCGATACGAATTAAATTATTTAATTAGAACAAATATGCTTTATTCTCAGGAACTAATTTTTTTTCTCTGTGTAGTATCTAAAGTGTGTGTAACATACGTTTTTTTTTGTTTTGTTAAATAACGTTTTTAAATAGAAACTTTGATTCAAATTTAATACAAACAAATCAACATTGATTTCGCAACGCATACTTAAGAAATATTTTATATGAACATAAATTTGCAACAGATTCTCATAGTGGGATTCATTTTCATTTCGAAGAAGTTAAGAGATTGGTATTAGCGATAGTATATACATATAATCCAAAAATAAAAAATACAAGGAGTGTGCCGTTTCAAAAATAAACTGACAAAACTGTTTATCAAGAACTTGTCTATTTTTTTTAAACCCGGCAGACTTAATAGAACATCTACTGTGAGCCACCCGGTATAGATTACTAATTATAATTTCACAAACATCGATCGTTTTTAAAAAACCATTTGCTAATAAATAACGCAAAACGCACGATCACTTCTCCTTATCTGGCAGTGAATCATAAAATTAAAAACCTAATTCTCCGCGTTGGCTCGTTCAGTGCGTAACGGCGCGACTGGATTCAACTGAATTTTGAACCTTATAACAATGTAACATCAGTATTTTTTTTCAAGCGTCTAGATCTAAATATGAATTATTAAGTGGGATGATTAATTATATATGGGGCAGATTACCCCATGTCAAACCAAGTATAGAATATCCCCTTAATTTAGAAAATCTAAGAAAAAAATTCAGACAGTTCTAAACACTATCACAATGTATGAGATTTTGGGGTTATGCTTAGACAAGCACTAGTATTGCAAAAGTGCGTGCATTTATTAAACGCTAGAAACAAAAAAATGTGGAGTGTCTAGTGGTTTAGTATTATACACCACAGAAAAATAAAAAGCGCCAGACAAAAATTATTTTATTATTTCAGGTGCTCATCGTGCGTCCCACCAGATAAATTTTTTTCGATTCCTATTTGATATATATTTGATATGATTAGTGATTTTATATTTATTCGCACACCAATAACTAGTAAAGGTGTGTATTGCTTTTTGGTATGAAGTTTTATTCATAAATTTATCAAATATTAAAAGTCTAAAAAACAATTAAAATTAAATCGAAACATCAGTTATTTCCCCGAACTTTCCCTTTTTCTACTTCCCGCTATAAAATAGTCAATAAAATAGCTCATTAAACTAGCCACTTCGGATGTTTCCGGTACTTTAACCACAGGTCACCATCGATACATTCTTGATTCTGACATTCACGTCACACGTGACCGAAGAAATCTATTCGTGGTGTTTCTTTCATGATATTATATTTACGCACATGGTGCGTACACAAATAAACAAGATTCATATCACAATTTTTACACAAAATTCAAATCCAGACATCTCCACTGTGTACACAAAATGTGAATGGAACATATATAAAGTCTGCTTTGAAGTTTTTATAGATTCGTTATTTTAAAATAGCTCAAATTAGTTCAGTGAAGTTTTTTGTTTTTCCTTAAATTTACATTCGATTACTCCCAACCCATGACTAAAGTACCCAAAACACTGAAAGTGGCTGGCGACAGTGACTAGTGAAGCTAAGGTTTTAAAGTAAGACTTTACGTACACCCGATCACTGAGTAATTGTTTACTTAAGAGTAAGGATAGAAAAAAAATGACGTTTAGGTACTAATTTACTGTATTTTTTAACTCAAAATTTTCAAGGCTAGATATTGACAATTAAGTAAAATATATAATATATAATAATATATATTGTCTACCACTATATCTAGATATAGAAATACCTGTACCTATAAGATTATTGAACTGCTGGCAGCGTTAAATGGTTAAATGGTACCTATTTATAATTAGCAACAATTTTACTCGTGTCGATGCTTATTTTAAATAGCACACAATATTCTTTCGAGAATTCGAGACCTTAAAATTTATTCAGTAAATGCAATGCGATTTAATTTTTCTGGCAGAGAGCCGAAACCTAGAGGCATATTCTTCGTTAATGAAATTCCAAAATAATTTGTGCGTCTTTGCGCGTCGGAAATATCGCAGTCAGAGACATGAAAGAATAAAATATGTATCCACCGTATTTATCTACAATATTTGTTGTAGATCGAAAATGAGATTCCTATTTGATATTCCGCTATGTATAGGCGCAATTGTTCTTATAGTTTATGGGTCGGATTTGTAGAGTTGGTATAAACGGCGAAGAGAAATATCCAAAGCCATAGACGTGCTTTCAGGCGAGAGATGGTATCCTATCATTGGGTCCACAAGTCCGAAAGCAAGTAAACATTATGTAAACTAAATTAACAAAACAGATTTTTTCTGCTCCAGGATTTTCAATTTTTTTTTTTTTACTTTTCAAAATTGGCCTTGCATGACTTTTGAAAACCTGCTATTCCCGCATTGCCTTCTTTTTATTAAATAACAACGGAGTATTTCAAAAAATGTAATTATCCCGAATAAACTTATTTTCTGCAGATTTTGTACCTGAATAGTATTTTGCGAAATTTAGGATGAAACAAAAATATTTGAAACAAATCTACCATAAAAGTAAAGGTTTTTAATTAATTTTCAAATTCGTATCATTGTGAATGATTATTTTGCTTTCAACATTTCAGAACGATGGAATGAAATTAAGCTGTTGCTCCAAAAATATGGACCAGTCTCAAGAGGATGGAGCGGACATCTTCCTATGGTCTTCATCAGGAAACCGGAACATCTTGAGGTAAACAACTGCCTATTAAATAAATGTCATATCAATATTGAGATTTTAGTTTTAGATTTAGTTCATTTTTTGCTAATATAATAGTGACTCACAGCTTTACAGCTATAACAAAATCTAACTAGTTTGAATGTCTCTTTATCTATTTGGAAAAAAACAACTTATTGAAATTAAGTTAGTAAAGAGCCTGAATTACTTTTTGTTTTAAATATGCCTTACTTAGTTAACAATAAAGAATTCGGAATATCGGATTCCATCAGGAGTTGGAATCGGAATGTCGATCTATACTCTGCATCACGATCCTAATCATTGGCCAGAACAAGATCGATTTAATCCTGATCGTTTTTTACCAGAGATTGCTGCCAAAAAAAGTAATTTTAAAATTTTCCAACGCCGGCTACTGCGCGCCTGCAAATAGTTATATCTGCATTCATCAGCGGAGATCATTTTTAGTTCTCCTCGTGGGTCGTGGGTGATCACACACTGTTTACGGAAATTAAACGCTTACCGCTTTTGATTTATTTACATATTTATGTTCGGGTTGAGGTAAGTTTTGCTCTTATTCTAATGTGCAGTTTTGATTGATTCGTTAAATTACAAAAATAAAAAAAATAAATAAATTACAAAGATAACCAAAATCGTTATATGTTTCTCCAAAATTTAATTTTATTATGTATCTACGAAAAAATAGTTCGGTTGAAACTATTTTAACAATAAACAAATAAAATGATTTCCGCATACAGCGTTATAATTACTTTATATACATAATTTTAATAATATTTATGTTTACAATTTTATAACATTTCTAAATATAATTTATAATGGTTGTCTCCATTAATTTTACTTCGTATCTTGCTAACATTTCATGCACAATGAATCGTTTTATGTGATTGTATATTTTCCATTCTTACCACACTGATCTCACTAGTAGAATGTATATATTGTATATACATATTGTATACAGTCTCGCGCAAACACGTTTTGCAATTTTTATACATAAACTTGATTTGCTGTAACTGTATAATATCAAATGGTCATTAATGGTATGTTGTTGCTTAATTGCAGCATGAATTCGTTGCCGGACATTTGGGTTGCCCTAGGAATTATTTTGCTCACTGCAGCGGTATATTTCCCAGTTTGGAAATTTTACAAAAAGCGAAAGGAATTGGCTGAAGCTGTAGATGCTTTTCCTGGGGCCACGTGGTATCCTTTAATTGGTACTGGCTGGGATTTATTGGTAGCGCCAAGAGAAGGTAATTACATGTTTTTACATAATCTTCGTTTTTATATTTGAATTAATGATCTCCCAATAACTCTAATTGTATTTAACTTGATGGAGACGTGCTAATTGATGGCATTTTAAAACTTTTGTAAATAAAAGTTATACTTGGGAAACGCCCCTCTCAAATGAGCATTTCTCAAACACATTGTTTAATACATTAAGGATCAAAAACTGTATTTTGAGACAAATTTTATTTTTCAAAGCAATAGCAAAAAAAAATTATTAGGATTTTTCCAAATTTTTCGTGTGACCGTAAGCTTAGTCAATTTTGGAATTTTAGTTTATCGCCCATGCATTGTTGACATTGTGATTGTGTTGATTGTGAATCCTGTGGTCTAGACAGTTTTGGAAAGAAATTGAATTGTTTGTATGCTAAATTTAATATAACAATCTGTTTGAACATCGGATTAAAATGCATATTTTACAAGGACATTTAAAATTCAAATAGATCACAGTGCGTTCTTAAATAAAATTCTATAATAGAAATTTTAAAAAGACTGTTAATATTTTCGAATTATTCTTTGCCTGATTTAATCGAATTTTGCAGACAGATGGAACATAATAAAAAAGTGGCATCAACAATACAGTCGTGTGATGCGAATGTGGGTAGGATTTAACCCCATTCTCGTACTTTCCAAACCCGATCATCTTGAGGTAAATAAAACTAAAAATTTGATTTTTCTCCGACTGCTACGCAAAGTGTCTAGAAACAAAAATTAAACAAGATCTCAAAATGACACATGGTGTATGAATTGTTGAATTAATTTATAATGGCAATATTAAAAGTTTTTACACAATATTGCCAAAGTCAAATCAAAATCACATTTTAATATTTATTTTCTGCAGTCCTAGAAAGATAATCGTATATAAGAGGTTTTAAGCTGACCGTTTATGCTGCTAGTTTCCTAGCACTTCATGCGTTCCACAAGTAATCATTTTGAGATAAAAAAAAAGCGGCTTTTAGTTGTAACTTATTTTAAACGAAATTGATTTTCAGATTCTATTTAAAAGTCACGTAAATGTAAACAAGGGAATATTCTATCGATACATGACGCCATGGTTAGGAGAAGGATTAATTACAGCATCAGGTGGGTAACCAAAGTTTTACAAAAAAGTGCACAGCAAATTCCCGTCGTCAGATCCTTGTTAGCTGTGTGTATGATTTCATTCCGCTGATTTCAAAAACAAATAGCATTTTATAATTAATTTTTACCTTAAGGGCCAGAACTAGCCAAAAATAAGATCGTCATTTAGTTGGTCATGCATCGTGGCGTCACCCATCTTTTGTTTAATTATGACAGTTGTGGCAAATCTTTAATATTATTATTGTTTAGAAATGAATAATCGTTGTATAGAAAAAGAGAAAAATGCAAATTGAGTCAGCGAATATATTATATAGATAATACAAATGCAATAAAAACTAATTTATTTATCTGAAGCTTTAATTATTCAGTAAAGAAGCAAATCATTAGTATTATTTAGGTCACTCCTAATGTTGTCAATATTGTCATACCGCCCAAAACAAATATTATTTTTTTAATACTCCCACAATGAACTAGGTGGTAGAATAAGAACTGGGCTATTGCCTGGCCCTATCGTCCAATCCATGTTAGATATGTATTCAAATATCCTGTTGCCAGATGCGCTAATTTATTGATTCTGATGTTTCTAAAAGATAGGTTCTCTTAAAAATCTTAAATAAATAGATTGGATAATTTGTTTTTTTTTGAAACCACATACTAAACGTTTAAGGATCAATGTCTAGAACGTTTAACAACTAAATATTTTTCCGATTTTTCTACCGACCAATAATTTTATTTGATTGGGCACTTCTGCTGTAGCGAAAGACGATTCGTCAGTCCATAAAATTTCAGGACCAAATATAGATCTACAAAACTACCGAGCTTTGGTAAACTTGGTGGAATTTATTACATTTGTAATTTTTCCAAATGTTTTTGAATTTAATAGACTTTCTAAAAATATTTAAAATGTTATGTTAATCTAATTCGCTGAATCAGTTGTTTAACAAACCTACCAAAGTAATATAAAATTTGGTATATTTAATTTTCTATCAGGATTTGAAAAGCACTGCTTAGTTTTTCTCTCCAGTGTATACACCTACCTTCCCTATGTATTTCCTTCTATTTGCTTCTGAGCCTATTTATATTTTCAGCATTTTTAGCAAGTGAAAAAATTATACCTTTATTGAATTTGGAATAATTATAATATTCAATGTATGCCACAACTGTGATAAGTAAATGAGGCCACGAAATAACTTTTTTATTAAATCAATACACAATAATATATAACTCTGATATACTATGCTGTTCTGGCACACCTTGTATATAATTAAATATGTAATATTAGTAACTCAACAAGTTATGTATTAAACTTTTATTTCTATTTCTAAAATGTAAAATAAACAAGTTACAGGAGAATTATAATGGATTGCCCCTGTACCAGAGATGATATGAAACTCACAATACCTGACTGGTTGTTGTTTTATACCTCAATTACAATACAAGTTGCTTCCTTACAGCCTTGCTCTTTCATGTGCTGCAGCTAATGACATGAGTTAACTACCTTTTATTCAATTTAAGGCAACAAATGGAAAGAGCATAGGAGACTTTTGACTCCTGCATTCCATTTTAAAATTTTGGATAAATATTCGGAAGTTTTTTCTGAGAAAGCCTCAGAACTGGTAGAAATATTTGAAGAAAAAGTTGGAAAAGGGCCTTTCGATGCCAGTACCTATATTACTAGATGTGCCCTAGATATAATTTCAGGTTAGAAAGCCTGTATTCTTTGTATTAATCTTTGAGAAACATTAAATGACTCCCCATATTCCGTAATGGCATGTTGGTTTCGGGAGATATGAGCTACGTTTCAGTTACATGTTTTTTTAGAAACTGCGATGGGGGTAAAATTCGATTGCCTTAAACATCCAAGTTCCGATTATGCCGTTGCTATATTTGGGTTAGTAGATAAATGTATTACATACATTATACAGCAAATTATTATTATTTTCATTAACATTGAGAAGCGCCCAAACATGCATTTTTTTAAATCGGTGTCTAACATTTCCAATAATTTAATTTATTAAATTCGCTGAAGGAAAAACTTGTTTCATGCTATGATGAGAAAAGCTTACAGATCACGTGATAGTAACCGTATTATTTTTACAATTTTTGAGTTTAACTTCGGTTTATTTTAATTTATGTTGAGTGCATATCTGGGCAGAACGGCACAAATGGACCAACCATATTAAACATAGTGTCGTTAAGAGTTTTGGTATTGCAAAAAGAGAAACGAAAGCCGTCATTTAAGAAAAAGGGAATAAAACATGATAAATAAACTGATGAAAGAATATAATAGTTGAAGCCCTTGTAAAGTATTCCAATAAAATATAATAAATTACTGTGCATAATATACTCGCATGAACGATATTATCTGCAACATAAAAATAAAATATCATTAAAATCATATTTGATATGAGTACATACCAAAACAAAAATTATTCTTTGTACTGTCTAATAATTTACAATGTTTAATTGCCTACCAAAAGTCGATGCACGTTTTGGTAGTTAATTTTGAACTACTTAAAGATTGTTAATTTCTACAATTCTTTCATGTCTATTTTGTTAAATTGATAAAGAGATAACTTTGGAGAAATAAAAATATTTTATATTTCAATATGTCTAAATATTCTGTAGTAAGGTCTACGTTTAAAACAATTTCATACAATAATTCGAAAAAATACAATTAGTATCATAATTCTGTGTAGGCTATGTGAAGGGGTGGTCAATAGAGGAGACAATCCATTTTACGCATTTGACTTTTTCTTCAAATCTAGCAAGGAAGGAAAAAAATTTTACAGTTGTCTAAAAACTGTCGAGCAAACCACGTACAAGGTAAATTACAACCTGCTTTCATGTAGATAAAATTATATAACGAAACACTTAAATTTAGATAACAAAGGACAGGAGAACAGAATTCCAGAAACATAAAACTGAGCAAAAAATCGACGAGCTAGGCAGAAAGGAGAAGTTGGCGTTTTTGGACATTTTGCTAGCCAATCAACTAGAGAATAAATTCTCTGATAGACAAATTGCCGATGAAGTAAACACGTTCATGTTTGCTGTGAGTTTTGCAAATCGAAAAATATGGGCACTATCAAAATTATTGTGTAAATGCAAATAATTTTCAACAAAATATAACTTTTTCAAATTTTGAGATATGATTTGATATGATGCACCCAATTTCCGCTTAAATCTTCCGACTGCTGCTTTCTTCGGTTATACTGCTATGCACAATTTTCTGCATAGACCTCAAATCTATTTCCAGCGCTTATATTTCCTTATAGCAGACACGTCTAAATGACTTTCAGGGTCGAGATACAACTGCATCTACAGTGATGTATACCCTTCTCGCTTTAGGACATTACTTGGATATCCAGGTGAAGGATAAACATTGAATTTGTATTTTCACACATTATAGTGCAACATTCCAGGCCAAAGTACAAGAAGAGCTGGACGGCATCTTCAACGGCGAAGAAAGGTCTATTACGCCACAAGACATTGCCGACATGGAATATCTCGACAGGGTGATCAAAGAAACCTTAAGAAAGTTTTCTTTTGTTCCGTCTATTGGTAGAATTTTGGAGGAAGATATCACTATCGGTATGGATTTGTCTTCTATCTACGTAAGTAAAAACTTTTGTTTTCAGATGGACAACGTATTCCAGCAGGGGTCGGTGTTATCTTGTCACTGTATAAATTGCATCACGACCCCGAATATTGGCCTGAACCAGATCGTTTTGATCCGGATCGCTTTTTAGCTGAAGTGGCAAACAAAAGACATCCTTATGCTTTCGCACCGTTCAGCGCTGGTTCTCGGAATTGCATAGGTATGCATTTAAATCTTGAAATAGTCAACCTTCCTACACGTCTGAGCTCAAGCGCGATCCTTCGTGGTCGTTTAATTTTTTTTTCAGGGAATTTTAGTAACGTATACTCACATGGGTAGGCTCTTTCTATATTTATATCAAAGTCTTGGTCTATTCTTATTGCATTATTTCTTTATCAACTTCGTTGTGCACTTGCATGGTTTAAACTAAAGATCTCACAGCTTCGCCTTCAGAGATCAATTTAGAGGGAATGTAGTCGGCCTATTTGCCTGTTGTTTAGTAGGCAAACTCCGCTCTGGTAATGGCTTTTTACAATGAAATGAGAAGGGAGAAAGATGAAGTTCACAATAATATAAATAGATAGATAGAAGAGCAGTTTTACTACACAAATATAAGCATTTCTCCTGAAGAGTTAGATTCCTATAAAATTTAAAAATTGGGTACTGTATTTTTTTTCTTTTTTTTTTAAATATACTTAAGTGTTTCTCTCTCAAATGTTATGTGTTGTTTTTCTTGTAATATCGTTATTCTACAAGATAACAATCGAATTGTACTTTTCTGATTGCCGATTTTATTATTCGGCCCTTCAATACTGCCAATCAATAATGAAAAGTCAACGCGTCATATAAAATGCTTCGTTTTTGAGAGTGCCAAAGTTTTATTTTTTTTTATTTAATGCCGATTTCTGAAAGAAAATTTAATACTTGCCTGTTTTATGAAAAATTTGATTTTTTTTTTGTTATGGTATTTCCACTGGAAATTGTAGAAGCCGGCGAACACCCTCGTCGCCCTTTATTTTTTTACATTAAATTCACTTAATACACTACCGACAACCTTGTTTTCTAAAACCCTACCCTAAAACCGTGTGATATGCCTTCTGTAGATCTACGAAAACAAGATGAGGAACTAAATCTGGTGCATATTATTATCTTATTTGTCAAACATGAGACATTATTCCAATGTAACTACATCGTTGGATTCACAATAGTGGTTAATTTTTACTAATTTAGAAAAAAGAATGCCTCATAAACTTTTTCCTAGAGGACTTAAAAAAGGATACAAAAGAAATTAAACCCACTCAATAATTCTATTTTATCACTTACATTTCCGTAAATCAAAATGTCAAAAATTATCGTAATTAAAAAACCAAATGCAAACAAAATATCGGCATGTGAAGCACTCTGGCGAATTTACTTAATTTTCTCATTATTTTCTTTTTTTGTTTAAGGTCAGAAATTCGGGTCAAGAAACAGCAAGACTCTATTAGCGGCAATTTTATGAAAATTTACAGTGAAATGTTTAGAAAATCCGGATGATCTGCAAGAATACAATGAAATAGTACTTAGGCCCCAGAATGGCGTTAATTTAGAATTAAAACTAAGAAAGTAATAACTGTTTTAAAAGTGATCAATTGTATGCGATTAATGAAATTAGTCTAAGGCCGGGATTAGGCAACTATGTTTTTTTGTCATTTTTAAACGTAAACGTATTAGCAAGTTTAAAACACCTTTTCCAATTTTTCATTTGTTGACACTTGACAATTTTCATTACTGCATAAGTCCATTTTTTTATGTATTTACTTTTTAGGAAATTCAGTATTGGACATTGGGTATCTGTTCAAACCAATAGGTCATATTTTAAAATAAAATACTTTTAGGATTTAAGGAATTGTATAATCGATCTTATTTATTATCTCAGTTAGTATCTTAAATTATGGATTACGAATTGAGAATATCCAATCCGGGATATTTTCAATATATTCAATAAATTACGATACGTTTGAGTGTTTTTTCAACCAACAATAACAAAATTTACTGGAATTAATTGGATTGAATTTTGCAGAAATTTCTAACAACCTACCATGTTTAAACGGCATTCGTCGTCTGGGGAACTATAATCTAAATTTTCATCTTCCAAGTCTGACGTCAGAATCGTCAGACAAGTAGTTATGTTTTACGAAATCAAGTCTCACAAAGAAGATATTGCAGCAAACCTTATTTTTTTATATTTTGTCTGCTATTTACTTATTATTTCCGTTTTTGAAAATTGCCCGGGAAGTGATACGCAAGCGAACATAGTACAACTACGGAACACACTTCAAAGAATGTCAGTCGGACAAATGTCAAAATCATATGATTAATCAGTCAACATTTTGAAATTTTAAATATTAGTGCTTTACCCTCTCTATCATGTATTTGTTCATTTGTTGTTTATACTCGTAGTTTGAATGTGGTGTCTGTTTGGAACTGCTCGGTTTTAGAAAATGTTTTCAAGCGAGTTTTTATATATGTGCCATGCTGGTAAATGAATGAAAAAGAAGCATGTCTTTGCCAGTCATTCAAAATGTATTTGAATTAAAATGCTTATTAGAAAATATTAATATAAAATTGTGTGCCTACTGCGAAAGCGGCGTTAAACAAATATTAGCACTGATAACAAGGTAAGTTAGATGCTAATTATTTATAATAAAGTATATGTTATTTATAAACCTTTTAAGTGACAATGAAATAGTATTATATTATTGCTATGGGGAACTACCCCCTACTGTAAAAAGAATCCCTTGGTTCTCAGACAGCCACAAACAAATTCAAGCCATTTGCTTTGATGCTTCAGCAACTTGGTTATTAATAGTTTGTAAGTTGTACAAACTATTTTATAGACTTAATATCTGCTCACATTTAATTTTTCAGCCCTTGATGGCTCTCTACACATACTACCGGCTTTAAATATAGTAGACAATAAACAAAAAATAGATTGCAAATGGTCCTTAAGTGACATTACCCAATTCCATAACACTTCACAAATATGCAGTGTTAGGCCAACTAGCTGTGTGTGGTGGCAGACTTTAGATTGTAATCAAAATGCTTTAGTTGGTTATGAAAATGGAGCTATTGTTTTATTCAGTTTAACTGATGGTAGATGTTTAGGAACCTGTAGCATTCCAGAACCTGTTAAAAAATTGTTCCTGTGTCAAGATAATACCCTAGAAACTGTTTCTTTACTGGTAAGTGTTTATTTTTGTGCAAATTTACATAAAAAAACAGGTGCTACTTGATATAGTTCTCAACAGGATAAGTCAAGCTTGTTTACAATAAACTTATGTTAACAACAATTGTTCAGACAAAATAAAAAAGAATTTTACCTTTTAAAATATGTGTTTGTAGATAAATAGTAAAGATGACCATCAGTGGCGCTTAATATTGGAACACCATTCAGTGGGATATTTATGGCCACCTGAATCCAATATCAACACAGATGATTCTTCAAAGTCCAAATTCAACAGCTTAAAGCAGTTAGGTGTAGATAAATTCTCTTCACTTAGACAGCGCTTTGCAGAAGTTAGAGGGAATCGCAAAGATAGTCAAAGTGACACCGCCAGTGAGTCGTCACACTCTGAATCAAATCATTCCATTTATTCAGGACCAGAGTTGTTGCCTCACTTATGTGACACATATTTTGCACCACAGTATGCAAGGAAACGATATCTGTTTTCTGCATTATATAAACCTACAAGCTTACTAACAGTATGTAAAGTTTTGATAATAATGTCAGCCTTAGTTTTGTTTGGTTAGTTAATTCCTAGCGCTTTATACCTAATGTGTAATTATTATTTTTTTTTTTAATTTATTTGCTGTCTTAATTAGTATTGTTTAATATTGCATTAATTACAACATTTTTTTGTAGATTCATGTTGCTGATATAGAGACTGCACCTTTATATGTGTATAAGTTGATACCAAAAACTAAAACCTTAATTTTAACAGACAAATTGATTTTTGCGGTTAGTGAGGACAATACAATATCAGTTATAAGCTGTCAATTATCAGAGAGTAGATTGGAAGGCGATGCTGTAAGGCATATTAAGTTTCATATCAGGCTTGTGAAACTTAATCGATTTTTCTTTTAGGAATTTAATGATGAAGCCTTGGTTCAGCAATTTTCAGTAAATGATGCCATTATAGAGGTTTTTAAAGTAGCTGACTTGTCTGCAGTAAATTCTTATAAAAATTATTTGGAAAATAGGGACCCAAACATTCAATTGCCAAAGAAGGCCACCGATATTAATTATCCCAGATTAAGAATAGACACCTGTCTAGTGGTTACTGACAGTGCCGTTTTCAAATTACACATCAGGTATTCATTAGGTAGTGCTGTTCAGCTCTCTGACATAAGTTTAAACTTTTTAGGAGTTCTCCAGTACAGAAGTTCCTGTACTATGTGACCGAAGAAAATGACCTAGAAAAGGCTGAAAAATTATCTATGATATTTGGATTAAATCTACAAGAACTTCTTGAATTATGTGGAGATTTGATGATTTCCAGGGGTTCTTTCCATTCTGGAATTATTTTATACAAACAAGCAAAGGTGCATCTTCTTAAAAGGGTTTTGAAGCTCGCGATTTCTGCCGACTGTAAAACATTACTTAAATTTGTACACTTATGTTTAAGTGCCAGTAAAGTGGATATGTCGATTACTACTAAAATTCATATTGGAAATGTAGCTGTTTTGGCTTATACTGAACTGATATTGAGGTCTAATGGTCAGACAAAAGTTTCTAATACCAAAGATTTCATGTAAGTGTTTTTATATTGCATTTTCTGTGCTTATTGGTATTGGGTTGTGGTAAGTTGGAAATCACAAATGCATAATAATTTAATATAACATACATACATTTATTAATTAATGATAGATAACACTCTACAATTGATTTTTCAATTAAAAAGTGGTCAAGTACTGTTAGAGAGAATTTATTATGTGTATTCTAGAAACTCTAAAATAATTGAAAGCATATGTTGCATGATTACTTTGACTACCACGTGACAAAAGCTGTCCTGCGTATCATGTGAAAAAGCCTAGATTGGGATTTACGACGCCTCGTCCCAAATTATTTAATCTGACCCCAACAATAGGAAAACCAAGAGTATCCATTTGTGCTGTTGTTAGTGTTGGTGTTTAATGTGTACTATACTTTCATACACAAATTTATAATGCAATGAATTATGTTTTTTACTTTGAGAAATAAATATAATTTTTGTTCTGTGGTGTTTACTGATTCTTTTGTTATAGGAAGTTTCTGTATTACGAATCTCACTATGATCAAATATTGGCTGTGAATGTCGCTTGTCAAGCTGGCCAATGGAATGTGATGACTTTGTTGGCAAAATCAAAAGGATTGCAACCCGAGGTCATAACAGCAATTGGAAAAATATTGCAAGGTGGCAAGGCTCCAAAACCTGATGATGTTGAGTTTCTTTATGCATTATCTGAGCCGAGTTTGACCCAAGGTTTGTTGGTATTGCCGCAATGGTCCCAGGTAGGTTAAATTAGTAATAACTGTTCTGTTTATGTGTTTCTCGGCTATATTTCAGTATTGTTCATAGATTGTGTCATTAGTTTTAAGACGTGAACAATAATGCTTATTTTTGGTCAATTATTTGCAATTTTTTTTTGCATTTCTGTTAAAGGCATTAAACACCTTCCAATTTTTAAAACTGCCCTGTCATAATTCATGCTATTAAAATTGTTTTATTTATTTATTGTATTATGTATCTTCTTGGCATCGTCAATTTACCCAAAAAAATTTTTCTGAAATGTTGGAAGTCAACCTTATTTGGATACATTGTATATGACCCTAATGACTAGTTTATAAACTACATTAACGGTTACATTTTAACCTTATTTAAATTACCTCTTTAAGATTAAGATATTTTTGTGTTTGAAGAAAACATAATTTATAATTAATGTAGCAAAAATTATTGTCATTAACTTCTTTCTTAAAAAGACCACTCCTATATAATGATTATTTATGCATTCCCGATTTAAAAGATCAGCATTGTTTGAATTTCCTTTTAAGCTACCATATTTGATTGCATCATAGGTGAAGGATTCTACTGTATTTATAGCACCTGTCATCTTTCACTTAATTGCATTAAAGTACTTTACAACCTGGAGTAAAAATACTTAAATTAAACCTTAAATGATAATTAATTCTTATGTTATATGAAAGCTTAACCGTTAAAGTAATTGATCAAATTGCATTAAGTATATTTTTAATGGCTTCTAGATAATATTTTGCTACATTCGTATGAACTTAGACGGCTTTCCAATTGAAATTTTGAAGAGACTGGCAGCACAATTGGATCCTAGTCAACCCAGTGCCATAGCTTTAGTTAATGCCATATTTAAGACGACTAAAAGTAATTCTAGTTTAGACACTAGCAATGAGTATTCAGATTTTGAACCCTCAGATAGCTACTGTGTTACAGCAAGAGACTTGGTAGAGACATTTCTTTATGTCATAATTTTTTTGATTGCAAAGCAAGACAACAATAGGTAAGAGTAGAAAATTTTTGCATTTCTGTGATAATAGGTCAAATGAAAACCACGGTCATTTGTTTTTGGCTTGTTAAGTTTTAAAACTTGATTCAACTTTATTTTTAGTTTCGAGTTAAGCTTGTTGGAAGATGTGCCTGATAAAATTTCTGAAGATATTTCTGTGATCAAAAATTTTCCAGATTTGAGATTATTGAGTTGTGGTTATGAACATGCTGCTGTTATTAGGAACACTTCAGTTTACACTATGGGTGTATCAAGTGCTGGCTGTTTGGGTATGTATGCTTCATTTGGTGGTTGATAATTGATTGTGCATAGATAATGAATTTCCGAATTTTCATTTAAAAATAAAACAATTTAAAATATACATAAAATTAGATACACACACTGAATGTATATTATTTATGTCTATAGTATCGACTCCATAGTTTTAGAATTTTTGCTCAAAAATCAAAATGTTATTTTGACTGTTTTATATAACAAAAATTGGCATGTTTTTGAATTATTTTAGGTATGGGTCCATTGCTTACCCACACCAGTCCTCCTCGACTTGTCAACACCCTGCGCGACTTAAAAGTTATAGCTTTGTCAATTAGTTGTGGTCGCAAACACACTATATGTGCTGCAGATTGTGGGGTAAATACGACCCAACTACAAGAATATATACTGAGTTAAAAACAAATTATATCTGTATAGGTGTATGCTTGGGGATCAAATGTCTATGGGCAACTTGGTCTCGGCAATCATGTTTATGAAAGTCCTTATCCACAAATTTTAACTGCACTGTCGTCTGTCAAAGTGATTGATATTTCTGCTGGCCAGTACCATAGCATTGCTCTGACCTCTGACGGCAAAGTATACACTTGGGGTTGGGGTATTCACGGACAATTGGGACATGGAAATTGTGATACTGAGTTTTTACCCAAGTTATTAGATTTTGATCAACCCGCTAAACAGGTTGCCGCAGGTTAGTTGCAGCAACATGTAGTAAACATGAGTTGAATATAACTCTTCCATAGGTCATGCGCATAGTTTGATATTAACTTGTGATGGAAAATTGTATGGTTTTGGTTCAAATGTATTTGGGCAACTCGAGAATTCTCAAATTAAGACTAAAAAAAGCACCACACCAATTTGGATATTGCTAATGCCTGATATGTATACTCCTGTAGAAAAAATTGCAACTTCGTACTTTCATAATGTAAGTTTTTATTATCTCCTGTTATTTAATTTTAAACACTCTGCTTTGTATTTTTTTGTAGATTGCAGTAACATCAGACCAAAAAGTTTACACTTGGGGTGCGAGCCCTGAAGAAGTAAGAATAGCCCAGTCAAAATTAAATCAAAAACAAAATGGTCTCGGTTCTTTAAAACTGTCAACTCCCTGGCGGTCGTGCGTCAATGTTTATACCGGCCATACTTCAAAACCAATCAAGCAAGTTGCCATAGGTTACCGCCAAACCACTATACTAGATAATGGAAGAATATGGTGGGGAAAAAATAAGGAGGAAGAACTGACGCAACCTCATATCAGAGATCAAATTTATATGAACAATGTTTTTACACAAAAATTTTGGCATGTCTCGTGTGGATTCGACTACACAATGGCAATCGATCATACTGGGCAGGTACTTGCCTGGGGCAGTCCTTCAATGATACAGGTAAGGGTTATGTGGGATAAAATATACTATTGCGAGTTTGATATGATTTTTACATACTAATGGAAGTGGTTATCAATTGGGTTAAAATAAAAAAGTTTCTTGGTAAAATTTATCTATTAAGAGTGGGGAAAATCCACCCAAACGTTCATAAAGGCTGAAGCGAAAGAAGAATTTCACAGATAGTCTTATTAAACCGCAATCTGATTCTGCACTGCTAAATGTTAAGCAGGATGAAAATTTTTGGATTAACATTTTTGTCTACCCTGATTTCTTCTTCCTACTGCATGTAGGCATGATTGCTTGTTTTCTTCACATCTTTGCCATCGTTCAGCCATTTGGGAGGTTGTTGCTCCACGTTTTCCTAGGTCTTCCAAGTTTCCTTTTTCCTGCTGGTGATTTGTCCCTCGATATCTCCACTATTCCTTCTGTCATACGATCAATGTGTTCATTCCATATTTTATCTTTCGATCCAACGCCCAGTCATTGATGTTATCTACCCGCACACTCGCTTAATATCTTCACTCCTTTCCCTATCTATCTACGCTATTCTTCGAACTATTTTCATTTCCATGGTCTCTACTATTCTTTTTATTTTCGAGGTCTTAGGTCAGTAGGTTGGGTAAGTAGCAATAGCAGTTTTGGCTAGTTATATATCGGGTCTTTTGCTGCAGTTCGGAGGTGTTTATTGTGCCAGATGGTATCGTTCAAGTATGCTGCTACCCTAGACGGCCTTGTAGCTTGGTTCCTTAATTATGTCTCAACGTCTCATTATATTTCAGTTCTTAAATATTTGAATTTTATTTGCTGTTGCTAACCACAAGTTTGCATCTGAACGTATATTAAATTGTTTGACTGTTTTGTTGAACTCGTACAGAAATCTCTGAAGATCATCTTCATTCTCCGCCACAAGAACCGCGTCATCTGCATAGCACAGAATTTTTACTATCCTATTTCCCATTTTGTATCCTCTTAGTTTGCCAACTTGTTTTATTATTTCATCCATTAAGATGTTAAAAAGAAGCGGGCTTAAAGAGTCGCAATGCCATTACTTGCAAATATTTGTTCGCCATTTATTTTTGATCGTATGTTATTTTGATGATGTTGAATGGAATTTGTCCATTGTAAAGAAGGTTCATTATATGTTTTAATTGTATTCCGATCGAAAGCTTTCTGCAAGTCGATAAAAGACATGAAGACTGGTCGGTTGTATTCCATTGATTTTTCTGTTATTTGTCTTATTACAAAGATTTTTTGTAATAAGACAAGTAATTTGTCTGCTAGTGTGATATATTCATTAATTTTGTTCGTTTTTTTTATCTCCCTTTTTGAATAAGAGAATCATAACGCTAGTTCGCTATTCATCTGGTATTCTATGTTGGGAGAAAATCTTCTTGATTAAAGCTATTAACTGTTGGTTAAGATTTTCACCTTCATACTTAAGTAGCTCGTTTGTGATGTTATCATGACCCGGGCTCTTTCAGTTCCTTAATTTTTGTAGTGCCATTACTATATCTTTTTTTTTCTATATCGATCTGGTCACTTGTTATTATATCTAGTGTATTGGGTTCAGTTTTGGCCTTCTCTTTATTGTAAAGTCCCTCCAAGTATTTCATCCAAGTATCCTTTTCTATGTGTATTGTATTTATGAATTCATTTCTGTTCTCTGCTTTTTTATTAGTCGCCAGATTTGTTTCTGTAGTCCATAAAAGTCACGTTCCATTCTTTTGTAGAAGATTTCCCAGTGTTTGTCTTTGGATAGTTTAACTAGTTTTGTTTGTTGTTTTAGTGTCGTTGCGGATTCACTTATATTCTTCGTATGCTTCTGCCGTTTTTGATGACATGTACTTTAAACAACAAACAAAACCACGGTGTTTTGTTCGTTCCTTGTTTTTACTGTTTTATAGTTCGTGTTCTGAGCGATTCCATTGCTGTTTCTATATTGTTCTCTTTTAGTTTCTTCCAACTATTGTTAATATCTTGATTTTCGTCTATCGGGTTTTTATTGATTTTTTGTGTTAGTTGATTTTGATAAAGTTCTTTTATGGTGGTGTCTCACATAAATTCGACATTTATTTTTTGTATATGTGTTCTTGTTTCTTTTTTCTTCCACCTCTGAAACTTCAAACATTTACGAACTTCAGTGTCCTTATTTCTTGTACCTGTGTCGGCTATATACACCTATTGATTACAACGTGGTCTATTGTTAATTGTTGTCCTCGAGAATTTCTGAAAGTAAATTTGTATTACGGTTTGGTTATTTTAAAACATTCTAATTCTATATAAAATTTGGGATTTAAGCGCTAACTGTTTATATCCTTTAAAACAGTTTAAGGACGTCATATTGTATTTGACCACTGCAATCAGTAAAAATAACTACAATTTCCGAAATAGTCTTTTTATATTAATCCGAACTTAAATTTAAAAGAAACCCGCAGCACATTATTTTGGGATTGAAACTTTTAACCTAAGAATTATATTCTATTAATGTTACGCACTTCCATTTTGTTGAGATTGAAGAAATACCGTTTTTGCGTTTCAGACAATATTAGGATCAACATCTGAGAGCGATAGAAAAAAAATTGAGGGAAAATTAATGTTATTAAGAAACACGAAAAGAGTTGTCAAATTCCCCAACTTGACCTCTAATTCTGAGCTCTACCCCGTAGAAATATCTGTTCTGCCATCCTTAGCATTCACATTCAACCAAACGAATCCCAAATTGTTACTTTCACATAAAATTACGCCATACTTTGTAATGGCGGTTGAGAATAATGACGAAATATTTTTGCGAAGAGTTGCAGTAAAAAATGGCAAACAGGATTTTCAACACATATATGATGTTCCCGACATTCATGTTGGACAGAAGACATTACACTACACCTTACAGACATTTTTTGGCTTTTTTGATGTCGAAAACGTAATTATACAGTGCGTAAATGTAAATAACTATCAGGCGGCCAGCAAAATATCATTCCTCGATGGCCATTTTGGAGATAGTTTCGGATTTATATTGGATGCTTTCAAGAAACATCTTGAAAAGTTAAATGTGAACCTGCAATCTATGTTCTTGTGCAAGGACTCTTATGATATGAAGGAGAAAGAGCAAGGAGTCGAAATCATAATAAGAAATATGAAAGAAAAGCAAGAACACAGCAGTTGTAGTTCTCCAGCACAAATGCTTAGTTCAAGCTCATCACTGGACAGCTTGAGGCAGTTTGGAGATGAAGGAGGCTGCGAGAGTCCTTGTGAATTGGGCGATATTCGTCAAAACATTACAAACTATGTTCAGTCCTTAAAAAAGTCTGATTCATCCCCTCTTCGAGAGGTGCCTAATAGTTTGTCTGAAAATGATAGAAACATTAATAAACTGCAAAGTGTGAGGAAGCATCACCATATAAAAGTCAAAGATAAAACTGCCAAAGAAATAATAGACGCGGCTTCATATTTGGTAGAATTTTACATAAAAAGTATTTATATTTCCGAAAATCACATTTTAATGCAAAACATACTACTCAGATGTATCGAATTTTGGTTGTCCCATAATTTACCGGTTCCAATTTTAGAAGATATACTCTTAAAAAATCTGGATAAGTACTTTTATCCGTTATCAATACTGTTATTTTGCAAGAATTTTTATAGCGATGAAGACTTGACGAAAGATGAACACCTCATCGAGCCGAGTTCATCTGGTTTTCTAAAGGAGTTTTCAACCAAGTTTTGCCTTCAGCTTTGTTCTATGGTATTAGAAAATTCAAATAAATCATAATGAATATGTTTTAATATTTTTAAATTAGTCGCCATGATCTCTTTTGTAATATAAGTGCTGAATAATTTATATAATGTTTCACTAATTTTTGGGTTGAGGTTGTTCGATAATATCAAAACTGCTTAAATTTTTAAAAATTTAAAGATTTCTTTAAATATTCTATACATATATGTTATATATAAGATATACAGGTTGTTTCAAAACAAATGCAATAACCTTAAGGGGGTGATTCCCTGTTTAATTATTTTTTCTATTTTATGTGTTATTTTGAAACTTTTCTCCTGTAATTTTTTTATAATACTTGCCGTTTCCGAATAAAAAAATAAAAGCTAAAATCTAGTGCATTTACTGTCAATTCTTAACGCCTTTCTTATCACTTAGTTTGAATACAAAATACTACTAATGGCAAGACTTTTTTTTCCTGGGGCGTCTTGCTTATTTGTTGAGTTTTGTTTAAATAAAATGTTTACGCAATTAGTTTTATAGCTGTTAAATAAATTATTTTCAAAATCTAATTGTTGAGAAGATAATTGATAAATGTTGGGACAAAATGTAATTGTTTTTCAACACCCAACTAAATTATTTTTCTAAAATATTTTTTCTTTCCACGTGTAATGCTTTACATTGTATGTTTTCATTTGGAAACCGTTAGTTTTATGAGAAAGTTGTAGAATACAAAACAGTTTCTAAATCAAAGATAACATATAAAAATCCTTTTTTTATGTCATAGCATAAGTTTTTCCTCAAATTTAGGCAGGAGGAATAATTTGAGTAGTTTAATTCCCCTCCACTCATTTTAAATAAATAAGATAAAAAATAAAAACATTATTTTTACGCCATATTTGATACCTCCCTAATGGTCGACTCTTGATCCAACGTTTTTATAACAAACTTCCCTTTATTTTAAACAAGGAATCACCTTTGAAGTATTATATATTATATAATCTATCTAAATATTATTGAACAGCCTCTACCCAAGAACGACCGAAGCATTATATGTATTTCAAAGTTAAGAATAAAAAGATGCTTTTTATTTATTTGTGCATGTAAAAAGTAAGGCCCCATGTAATAGAAAAGTGTACAGTGGCGTCATTAGTTCCCAAGCAAAACATTGTCTTTTCTCTCAATTGGTTCTGGCCAAGCTGTGTAGCTCTACATTCCTACAAATTATAATAAATAATAAAGGACTGGAAGGGGATAATAATCAAATATTTTTTGCACCGAAGCTAATAATGTCACTGTAATCTTTTTTAATAATTTTAGCAGAGGAATGAATCGAGTTGATTGTATATGTTTGTATGTGGAGTAGACAAATCATCAAAGTAAATAATGAGACAAACGAAATATAAGGGTTCTATCCAAAAATTAAAGTAAACTGATATTTTAATTCTTCATTCATTCTAGGAATTTAATTATTGATGTTTGGTTACAATTTTGTATAAATTATTAGGTGCTTTCCCAATTTCTATTCGGAACAGGACATATTTTATCACAGCATGTGATGCAACTTAATAATAATTTTTAATTAGTAATGCACACCAGCATAAGCAGTGAAGGCTTTATTTCATTTTTGTGGTAATAAGCAAAGAAATTATTTATAGTTAATTACTATGAGTGTATGATTATAGAGACAGGTATTTTTTCAAAAATTTGAAATATTCCAAATTCAAAAGCTGATCAAAGAACGGAAGTTGTTTCAAGTTCTTACAAAGTTAAATTGCTACTAAATTAACAATTAAGTAACTTGCAATAAGATATTCATATAGGAAAGCGTCCGACGCTGGTAACTTGTGGATACACCATATAACTATACCTAGTAGCTATATGTGGTGCACTATTCTAAAAAACTTAAACCTAACATTCTGTTAAATAAACAAACACAAAAACGAGCAACTAACAAATTCTCTGTATAATCAGCGACTGTAGAATATTCGAGAATTGTTGTATGTGGGATACACCTTGCGCAAAAGCATTATTTTAAATTAGTGGGAATCTATTAACGGACACTTATTTTGTTTTAGCTGTTAATAAAATTTTTTTTTTATATTTTTGTAAGAATCGAAATATGATACCTAAACAGTACTAGTCATTAGTCATATCTAGATTAGTAGTGAAAAACTTAATTATGTAGGTCTTAATTTTACTGCAACCCAATACATTTTTTGAGCTCTAGTGGCACAAAACCGTATAGTTATATTAGACCCTGTTATACTGTCCATTAAATGTTAGAAAGACTTTTTGTGTATGAGATTAATAGCGTCAGACACCATTATTTTCATAAAATACTGGCTGTGATATTAACCAAATATATTACGCCATAATTTTTATTCATTCCTTCCATTTCCTCAGCTACCATAAAGATGAGTTCATTTAAATTTATATTTATTGTTGAAATTTTCTCCTAAGATGTGTCCAGGGAGTTAAATTACCTAGGCCAGAATGTTATAAAAAATCTTTCCATAATTATGCATAAAGCAAGTTACTTTTCACACTTTGATATAAAGTGAATATAAAATGTGTTTAAAGCAATAGTAAATGTTTTAAAATAAATACTGCAATACCATATCACAAGCACTCTATATTCATAATTAATTCAAAGCAATAGTATCAATAAGTATAACATCAAAATAGTAACCAAAAATAAATCTAAACATGCAATACAAGAAGCAAATTGTCACAACGAAAGGTTTACATATTCCTCAAAAACTTAATTCAATAACTGGTAACTCAATATCTTCCACCAATTCAACATCTTCATCAAATCCATTTTCCAAATACTTTGGATCCAAATCTCTAGGAACTTTTTGTGTATTAGGCACTTTGTCAAATGTTGGAGAAGGTGGAGGAGTTAACATATTCAAAACACAATAATTACGCATAACATTCAAAACGCCTTGCTTGTCGAGCTGTGTCGAATATGATATATCACTAAATGAATCGCAGACTTCTTTAAAAGAAAACAAATCATCAAACTTTAAATCTAAACTTGGAGAATTTTGTGGTGATTGGGCTTCCACCTTCTTTGTTGTGCTTTTTAGTCTATTTAACTCGGGAGATTTCCGATTAATGGTTTTATCGAGAAACGGTTGTCGTGAAAGAATATTGTTTTCAGGCTTTCTTTGTATCAAACTTTCCGCATCTAAAAATTTGAAATTGGCAAAAATTAATTAATAACAAATAAAAGCGGTGAACTTGAACCGTTGGGATTTTACAACTTACTTTCTGAATTAAAAATGCGGATTGCGGGTGAAGAAAACTTGTTCATATCTTTCAATCCAAATTGCAAATGGTACGACCAGCTTTTTTTTACTAGCTTTAGATTTTTTAATTGACCGTTACATTTATTTTAAACTGACACTAGTGACATATTTCGTAAGTTTGCAAATGATGTTATGATTATGATAGAATATTTGCTGTCTCAACTATCCTTTATATGATCTGTGATCTCCAAAATATATAATGCTCACAGTTTGTCGGTAATGGGCAAAGGTGTTTCGATATTGGTGCAACGTTGTTAAGCGCAAACGAAGTATACGTGACCTTTAACTTGAGTATTCCATAATGCTGCTCAACTGAAGGCGAGACCATAGATAAATTTGACTCCTACTCCAATGCAATTAAAGCAAGACCAATAATTAACATCAGGAACTTTTTTATTATTACATCTAGTTCTGGGTTTACTAGAGCGACTGTCGCCAAAAAAATAATCGTCAAACTATAATTCCATTCGATGCATTTATTATGGTTTCTATTATAACGTTACATCAAGGTCAAGTCGATTTAGGCATCCCTAACGACCAAATTGATTTCTATAAAGTTTAATTTCTATCCCCTAATTATTTATCTATAATCCATCGATCGTTTGCCGTACATTTAATTTTACATTAACCTAATCAGTTTTTTTTTATTTTTAAAATACTGCAAAATGTATTTTTAACCAAGCTCTAAATATAGACCAAGATATAAAACATCATCGAGAAGTTATATCACCCTTGCTTATTCATTAATACTCCCGTTCTTACTTGTTTATTTGATTTATACATCTTCAAATCATTGATTATTTAAATTAAGAATTAAAGTTTTCAAAGTACTATTGAGCCTTTAAGACAGTGGAAAGTAGAACAATTAATTTGAAATTTGTTTTTGGAGTTTCTTAAATGAACTTATTCAAAATTTTTAAACAGCTAAAGACTTGTTTGGAGTAGATATTTTTTTAAAAAATTGAACTTATTTTTGTAATTTATTTAATCTCTGCAAATATTATTGCTTGCCTTCACCACACACCAACACAATAAGGCACCATAATGTTTATACATTATGAATCATTTATATAATAGTTATAGAATGATATATACATTGGAGAAAAAAGTGTTACTATCTTCATGGTTGAGTCAACTTGGTGGCACTAGTTTCGATAGGGCGATTACTTTTTATTCACTTTCTTCATCGGAATCGCTCTCCTCTTCAGCGTTTTGCAACCACTCCACAAACTGCTTCATCTGGTCAAGGAACATCATCTTGCCCTTTACATTGTAATCTTGTCTGTACCATTTAAGTATAGTTTGTTCTGATATGACGTCCGTCTTGTAAAACAACATAATAATTTTATGGAAAGCACGCATAAATGTCATATTCGAGTAGCAATATTCTTGCACTTTCAACAGAAGGTTTAGTTCGGCTCGAGCTGACTGAGTGAAAGCTGAGAATAATGTGGTGTACTGCTTCAAATGACGGACAGCCTGATCTGTAACTAACTCCTCCTTTTTGGACCACTCTGGTATGTCCATTACCGTTGTCCAAATAATGCACACAGTTTCATGTTCTTGAATTGCATTCTGGGTAGAAATCTCTTTCAGCTCAGTCACAATGTCACGGATAGATTTATTTTCAGCTAAGCTGTCAGCCAATAAGATTTGCAACTCTTTTTTGGCTACCTGCTGATGTTGATCTTCATATAGTTTGAGAATTTCTTCAAGTCCATTGTCTTGAAAAGCATTACGAAAGTATGTTTGTGATTGCTTTGTATCTGGTATGAAGCTATTTAAATGCTGCTCCAAATTAGCTTTACGTATCGCTGTTTGCAGTGAATTGACGCCTCGTTCTTGGCGCCAATATTTGAATAAATCAATTAGAAAATCAAATGCAAGATGATCTTTTATTAGATGTGAGTTATTTAATACAAGGACGGCTGTAAATGGTACACTACCATTTGAGATCCACAATGCTAACATGGCCGATAACTTTTTTCGTTGTGGTTCATTGAAATATTTAACAAACATCAAGATCTTCTTGATTTCATCTTGGAAAATTTTCTCTAGGTACTTATACCTCCTCATTAACTTTGTAAAAACCTGTTCCCAATTTTTCATTTCTTCCATATTGATTTCATCCTTGGTGTTAAAAATACAAGCATCTGTCTTGTGTGGGCCATCACCTTCCTGGGATAATGTACCTCCTGGTACAAGAATGCCGCCGGCAATGAGAATGTCAAATAAAGATTCTCCATAACGGCGATAGTCAAGTTTGTTTCCAGCACCATCCAAATATCGGGATATTGCTTCGAAATCGTTAGCACATTTATCGAGTCCAGCAATTACTGCATCTCTAAAGCCAGTTGGGTCATATCTCTCCCTTTCATCCCTTTTTCTGGTCTTTATGCGCTGACCCGATAGGACTGGTTTTTCTACCTTTTGACTCATACAAATACCTGTTTTTACGGTTCTATAAAAACCACCTTAAAGGACACTCCAAAAAATAACCAACGTATGGTTTAACTCGGTGAAAATCAGATCGTCTTGCCTACTCTTTGCTCCTTGCTAGAGAGTGGAATCGATAAATTTCGTCCACGCTAGAAATTTGTAACGAATACCTTTATACTCCACGTGCTATTTTAATCACTTGAGATAATTTTTTAAACAAAAACTAATATTCAATTGCGGAAATAAAACTGCCACGTGCTCTCAACTAAACAAAAAAACCAGTGACTTTCTCCAGTGACTAAGACTTTTTAGACATTGCTTCCCCTCTTCTTTCCGTAAATATTCAATGGCCGCCGCCCGTTGACAGCATGAATAACAATGCCGTAATCCGCAGACCGCAAAACGCAATACGTAATCTATGCTGATTTTTCAATTTTAGATTATTAAAGCGACTTTAAAAGCCCTAAGGGATTAACTAAGACTAGATATTTTAATGTTATGTCGGTGTTATGTGTTGGTTTTGTTCTATTTAGGTGGAATATGATTTGAATTAATGATTAAATTATTTATATTTTCATGTAGAATACAATAAGGCATGTTAACCTTTGCTTATTATTAACTAATAAGAAGTTTCTCGATCAATTTGCCAAAGCCAAAGTTACGTTTAAAGTACACTGTCAGCGAAATACAAGTTCCGATAACACAATATGTTGGTCTATGCTTCTGTCACCTAAATCGCCGTAAACAACAAGAGATCAGCGGTTCTTTTAAATTACTTATAGCGCTGTTCCGCAATTGTTCATGTGGTGGTTCATTTAATAGATTTTTTTATTAAATAGATAGGCTTTAAACGAAAATACATAAAAATACTTAATTATATCGCCGTTATAATATTCAAATACGTTGAACATAACTGGGAATTTCCCAAATTATTTTTGATTCCTTTCATTGCTTAAGATGAGATACCTACTAAATTTTATTGCATAAATTATTTTGAAAGTAAAATAATACAAATGGCTATAGTTTTTTGAATTCTACAAATCTTCCAAATACAAAACTTTGCCTTACTAAAACACAAATCCTGAATCTGAATACAAGTGAAAATAAATACATTTTTTGTTTATTGATAACATATCTATACCATTACTAGTTTATATTTATTACTAAATTGTTTTTCATTTTTTAAACAATTTTTCGTGCACAACATTCCTATGAGGTCCTTTTGTGGGTTTTTTTTTTCTCCAACTTTTCGTTTCAATACTTAATCCTTATGAATATATTTTGTAGCAAAAAACATCTTGCTGGTTCCAATTCAATAGGGTGCCTTAAAAACGTTCAATAACTTTTTTTACTATTTTAAGATCCTTACCATCATTTCTCTTACATCTCTGAATCCAGATTTGTTGAAGTTATCTTTCAGGAATAGATAAAATGATATACTTTTATCAGATCGTAGTGCCTTTATTCATCATGTATTTCTACCATACATACATACCGTTTCTTCTAATCCACTATGGATTATTACTTAATACATTTTTACCCCAAAACGGCTCTTCTAAATATTAACGTAAACAACGTCTGCAATTGTAGCAACTCAATGGGGACTAAGTTTTATGCTGGGTCACCAATCGAAGTGTTGTACTATTGCCTGCACTTCCCCTTCACCCTGCCTCCAACTCGTCGAGTTGATTTGTGTAGGATCAAATTGTTTACCACTTTAATATCATTTTGGCTTTTGATGCTTATGGGAAGTAACTTAACTCCCGTTTTTCATTCTTGTTATATAAATTACCAGCGACTGAATGATGTATAGAAGGAATTGTTTTTTATTATTATTTTTCTTAACCAATTGTACATTATTTGGGCAACAACCTTTTAATTTTTAAACAAATACAAACTAACTTTAATTTTTGAAAAACTTTATTTCTCTGAATTCATTTATTTCAACTTTTAATTATTAACTACCTAGCAAACAGAACATTAGACATTACATTAAACCAAAGTGTATATGATTAATAATCTTGAGATTGAGATTTGGACTTTCCAGAAGCTGTACCACCAGATTTCTTGGGAAGTAATACTGCCTGAATGTTGGGAAGCACTCCACCCTGTGCAATTGTTACCCCAGATAGCAGCTTATTAAGCTCTTCATCATTACGAATAGCAAGTTGAAGGTGCCTCGGTATTATTCTAGTCTTCTTGTTGTCCCTTGCTGCATTGCCTGCCAACTCTAGCACTTCTGCAGCTAAATACTCCATTACGGCCGCCAAATATACAGGGGCGCCGGCACCAACGCGTTCACCATAATTGCCCTTGCGTAATAGACGGTGAATTCGGCCTACTGGGAATTGCAAACCAGCTCGGGATGAACGGGACTTTGCCTTTGATTTCACTTTACCACCCTTTCCACGTCCAGTCATTGTAATAACTCTCTTTTATAAAAATTCCAAACGACGCCACAAACGCGGGAAAACGCGTCCGTTACAACCAAAAGTACTGAAACGAAAAAGCCGGGAGATAAACCAGAAGAACGGATTCCTCCACAGAACATTGCAAGAAAGATAGTTAACGTTTTGGATTGGAAAAGAAGAGGGGCGACGGCAATTTCTGATTCTATCATTTTATTGGGAACGTAGCTGGTTAGCGCCTATGTGCATATTCTAGCATATCTTCAATTCTCCGACATACTAGAGACCTTTACACTTTTTTCAGTAAAATCGAATTTATATGAGGCAGATAAAATGTTTCTCTGGTAATGACGCACGCCCTTTGGTTTGGGCAGAGCTAACTGTTACCACTGCCAATAGCAAAGTTCCCTGATTTCGGATGTGTGACGAATACAACCCGTTCAAAGGTATCAGAATCAGAAGAAGTGGTTGTAGACCAAACTTGTGGTGTTCTTGCACAGAGATTGATAGTTAGACATTAAACTAACCAAAACTTCTTTTATAACCAATGTTTATTAGGATATGAAAATTAGAGGCAAAAATAATATCAAAAGGCATCAAACTTGTTTTGGAAGGGGCAGATGACGTCACGGCAGCAGCAAACGCTCGCACCAAATTAGCAAAAATGAATTGGTCGGGAATCATGTTCAAAGAGTTTAGAGGTGGCAAACCTGGCATGGCAAATTTTCAATATATTTGAATCGACAAATCCTAATGCAGTATTATCCCGTCCGTCGAAAGTATAACGTTTTGTGTGATTTGAACTTTAATAAGTAGTGATGTATTTTGAACTTGGGATTGGGATAATTGGAAGTTTCTATATTTGAATGTAATTAATCTATAATGGATCCAATAAACGTGTCCGGTACAAATAAAGGTATGTTTCTGCAAAAAAAGTTTTTTTATTAGTAGTATTTTTTTAGAAATGGATGTTGCTACAATATCTAGAAATATTTACATATCCTGTGACACTGATAATACGGACTCGGTTTCGGTTTCCAAATTGATCGAATTTATTAAGCCTTATATGACAGAAAATTTGTAAGTTTATATAAAATGTTTCATAAAATTAAATATTTGTGCAAAAAAGAAAATCGTAGTCTGTACTTACATTAAAAGCATCATGTTTGCGTATTGCGTATTAAATTCGTAGGAGTGCCCTGGAAGAGCTCCAGTTAGCGTTAGATCCGGATAAGAAGGATATTAATATTCCTAATGCTCTGTTTATGGAAGTAATGATTAAATGGAGTCAGAAAATGGCTGGTTCTTCAGATTCGGAACATGATTTTAACAGGACACCTAAGTAATTAATTTTGTTTTTATTTGGGCACAATATATGTAATAATCAATATAAAATATATAAAATATAATATAATACAAAACTAAATCGTAATGTTATATATAATTATATCATTATATAAATTGACTGGCATGTCCTACATAATAAAATTTCACACAAAATTATAAACACTTTTAATTATATTTATTTAAAATTCATAATTAACTGTGTAGGAGTTTCTGCCTAAGGTATTGGACGATTACATTGTCTATCATAAAAAGAAATTTTGAAAAATGTTTATTAATTTGTTATACAGTTTTTTAAATTTGCATTTGCAGCCACTTAATTGTATTGGAAGATAAGGACTTACCCTATACTCATTCAACACCTAGAGCAAGTTTAGGAGATAAACTTCTAAAGTGCAAAGATCTCTTAAATCTATCAAATGTGTCTGCGTATAGCTTGTCCACCAGTAAATTGGAGGATACAAATCCTGGTAAGGATAATAAGTTAATTTTTAAATTTATGTTCCTTTATTATGTTTATTATTAGAAAATTTCGTTCAACATCTAGCGTTATAGATTTATGAAGTAAAAACGCACCATAACAAGTATAAATAAATTTAGTCTAGAGGCCTTATTAATACTGATAACATAGATACTTTGATAGGCAACTAACATCAAAAATGCTATTGATGGATATATACGTATATAGTTGATTAGACATTTTGGGAAAAGATCCTGCTGAAAATTTGGTCAAAAAAGGTTTTTGTCACAATGTTGCTGCTGGTATTGAAAAGTGGTGACAACTTTGATTTTTTTAATTGAGCGACCAATATATTGTCACTTTCAGATCATTTTCGTAAAAAATAAAAACCTATATCCATGTCTAGCGGTTTTCGAGTTATTAATAATTTTCTATATTTAACCCCTGAAATAAACCGCAATTTAAATTTGTATTGCTCGCTTATTTGAACATTTAGAAAACCGAAATTTCTTTTATTTCACTTGCTTCGTTGAGTTACGCTAGTGCTAAGTCAAACTCTAACTGACTAAATAAATAAATAATATAAATAATGATTATTATCAATCTTGTATATGTATACTGTTAATCCTAATATCTAGAAACATGATGAATCATTGAAAAGGACATTTAATTGGACCCGTCCTTTAAAATAAATCAAAGGCCATTTTACCCGGATGGGAGCTTTACAATCAGAATTAATTTTCGGTTATAATTTTGGCTCTATCTTTAGCGGGCGGAAAAATTTTTTCTAACTTATTTTTCGTTTTAATAACAAAGTGGACCTCACAGTTCTCGAGGAAGAAGTTAAAAGGTTACAGCATCAGCTTTCAAAAACAGCGGATGAGTTGTCGATGACAAGACAACAAGTGGCGCTTTTAGAAGATCAAAATGAGGTGCTGCATGCGGATATCGTCAGGTTGAATAAAAAATTAACTTCGTGAGTGACTCCCATATATTTTTAGCATATACACTGTGTTGTTTTGATTGACGACAATTCAGTATTTATTTAAAGAGAACCTGATTTTTCAAATGTTTATCTTTGTTTTTTTCTTTCAACAATAGGAGAATCACAAAACTACCGCATACTTTTGTAGTCTATTTAGAAAGTAGATAACTGTAAAATAGGCGAACATTATTCAGAAGTGTTGAAAAGTACATATCCTGTACATTTATCGATCTTTTTTAATAACTTCAATCCCGTGATATTCTCACCTACTTTTAGTTACTTTTTTTTAAATATCAAATATCAAAACATCCCCAATAATGTGCTTTCATATGCGTTAAAGGGAGACTGATTTAATTTTTTTAGCGAACAACACATTTTGGAGCAGCACCAAAAGGACAAAATTTATATCGAAGGATTACGCGAGGAAATAGCATGTTCAAAGAAAGTTGCGGAAGAATATAAAAAGAAACTGATCGCTTCTGAAAAAGACACCTTCTATTTAAACGAGTTGTTAAAGAATATGGAGAAAGAAGTAGGATGACTCTTGCTTAATCCCATTGTGCGCTTGTCATAGATATTTATTTTTATGTGATTTTAGAAATGCGCTCTAGAAAATAAGAATGAGATGTTCTGTAAACAGCTGAAAGATGCATTGAAAGAAAATTTTGAAATGCATACCATAGTTGAATCAAAGGATCAGGGAATTGCCGAAATAAAACAAAAATATGATGACTTAAAGGTTCAATGTTCTAAACAAAGAGATTTTATTGATCAACTGGAAAATGCAAAGGAAGTAAGTACCATTTCTGTACCGATTTCGTACATTGCTTGAGCATGTGTTTGTTACTTTTTAATTTCAAATAGGTCGATCTATATTTCTTAGCGATTCAAATTCTACGCAACATCAGTGTTATTTAACTTTTTATCGCTGGTATTTATGATTCATTTTAAAAAATGGTGTGAAATGTTCATGGGAATATATATATGGAGATATTGTATCTAAGATTGTTGCTCAATGAAATAAGACAATGTGTGCTGATGCGTGATTTATAAAATTCCATGATCTCCCTTCTCTAAAATACACTAATATTTATTAATATAATGGTACTGCATAAGTACTCTATTCAGTACCATTATATTATTAAATATTTCTTTTTCAACAATGGGGCAGCAACTATGTAATATATACAGATAGTTTAGATATTGATGAATGTGAAATTCGTTTCGAAAATATTTCATTTCCCTTTATTTAGTTATAGTATTAACTTTATTTATTGCAATTCCAGATATTAGAGCACCAAAAGTGCACCTTAGAAAACACATTGAAGGAAAAGTCTACATTCAACTCTCTAGGTAATGCATCTCTGTCTGCAGGCAAATATCAAAAATTAATATCCAACATACAGATTCAATCGAATCAAAGTATACTGAGACAGGTATTGGTTAAACACTCGACCCCAATGAAATGTTTGGCACAAAATATAATTGGTAAAGATGAATCAAACCATGTGACAGATATTTCCTGTATTCTCCCGTCGGATGATTGCCATGTGAGTTTCGGGAAATCTCTAATTGTTTCTAATAATACCGCAGGATGTAAGGAAGGAAACGACAGTAGCGAAGAGGATGTTGCGTGGAAAGTACCAGCCGATAAATCTGAAGAATATAATGATGCACCTTGCACCACTAATGAAATTGAATCATTGGAAACTGAGCTGCAAAGGATAAAGGTGATTTTATTATCAATTAGTTTTTTTCTGTAAATCACCCTATACGACACTCCGCCCCTATTTCAACCCATATCGAATATTACAGTATACGCAAAAGTTAACAACAAATTATTAAAAAAATCCATTTCCTACAAAGTTGAAAAAATAGAAGTCATAGATAATATATGGCTGGAATATAAATAAATAATAAAATAATAATAATAAAATAAATAATTAAGAACTAGATAGTTTTCGTAAGTATATAATTTTATTTTATTTGCATTGACCATTATTCGAGGTAATTTTACTTTTAATTACTCTATCTTGTAGTGAAAAAGATTATCGTAATATGGAACTATTGTATACTGTAATTTGCATACTGTTTTTATAGGCTTTTCCAATCTCTTACCAACACAGTACTATTCTATATGAACGCGATGAGCAGATTATAGAACTAGAGGAGGAAGTAGACAAGTTAAAAAAGGAGATTGAGTATTTCAAAGAGGAAAGTGCAATTTGCGCAATGAATTTAAAGTGTCAGATTGTAAAGCCTGCAGAAATCCAGCAATCTATCATCTCGCTTGGTAATGAGGTTGATTTTTGTAAAGACAAAATCGATAAATTAAAGACCAAAATACCCATGACATGTAATAAAGAAGTTCAAGTAGATTTGTTTAGTGATGGGGACCTCAAGAAAGAATTAAGCGAAATCTCTATGGAGAAAGAACAAACTGAAAAGCGTTTTGAAGGTTTTAGAGAGGAGGCAAAGGTCAAAGAGCGCGAATTCAACGACAAAGTTTTAAATTTAGAAAATGATCTACAAAACTACCAAAATCTTGTTACGATGCTTCGTAATAATGTGTCAGAACTTCAAAACGTTAAACGAGAACTCGAACATGAAAAAAGCGAATTAGTGGTGAATTTGAGAAGGTTGGAAACTGCAAACCAGAGCATGTCAAAGGCATTAGAAGACACAACAAGTAAAATCAAATATTTGAGTGGGGAAATTGAGCGGAAGGAATTCGAAGTGAAACAGTGTAAGGAAGTTTGTGAGAAAAGATATGCAATAGAGTTTGAAGAAAGAACCAGAATATTTAAAGAGAATTTAGAAATAGAGTTGAAAAAGAAATTAGAGAAAGATAGGTCACAAAATCAGTTGCAATCAAAAATTGTGGAACTAAATAAGAAAATACAAAATTTGGAGATTAGTAAAAATACTTTGCAATCAGAATGTGAATCAAATAACCGGCTTAAGGACGATTTGCACACTATGCAGTTAGAACTTGCTGTTAAACAAAAACACAATGACCATTTAATTGAAGAGCATAAGAAATTGTCTGAATCCTATGAACAGTTGAAAATTGAGCACGCTCAGGCTGTGGCTTCTTACCATGCTGAGGTTAATATCGCGCAAGAGCTGAACGGGGAACTTTCTAAAGCAAAAAAGCTGTATGAAAAAAGTGTATGGCAGATTGAACAAAACGAGAAAGACATTCAAAAATTCGTTAACGATGTATCTTTGTTAAATGGGCAAATTGACAATCAATTCAAAGAAATAAACGGTATTAAAGTTGCTATGGAAAAGAAGAATAAAGAGTGTAATGCATTAAGAGATGAGCTGAAAAAAGTGAATGCAGTCAACAGTACGCTTGAAATTCAGTTGGAACATATGAAATTAGAAAATGAAAAGTTTAATGACATTTATATTAAATATAACAATATATTAGTTCAAATTGAAGCGCAAAAGAATGAGGAAAAAGATTTGGAGGGTGAAATCTCTGATAAGGATACGAAATTAGAAGAATTAAGAGCCGAAAGAGGTGAAATGGTCACTCGAGAAGAACTTGCCGCAGTTTCTGGAGTGAATGTAGGTAGGAGTAAATTAGTGAAAACTACTTCAAAGCAAGGCGGCAATGTCGAAAGAAAAACTTCATTCTCAAAGCAACAGGTGTTGATTGAAAAATTAAAAGAAAAACTTGAACGCCTTGAGACACAATTAGTGGAAGAAAGGGAAAGGAGTAATGAGTTGGCTAATAAGTTGAAACTAACCGCACCACCTCTCCACAATGATGTAGATGAAAAACTAGTTTTGCAAGATTTGGAAATGAAACTCTCTGACGCAGAACACAAATATGAAACGCTTTATACCGAAATTTTGGCAAAAGATTCTCAAATTGACGAAGCTAATGAAAAATACAAAAAATTATTGCAACTTGGCCAATCTGAAAACTTAAGAACGACAGAGCTAATGAAAACTGAAGAAAGAATAATGGTATCCAGTACAGAAGTGAATTTGTTTGATCCGTTCAAATTCACCAAAAGGTTAGTAGTAGTTTATATATATATATTTATATAAATTTATTAGTAAATTAACTTTTTTGTCGACATTAGTTCATAACTTTTTTCAACCTTAATTTTTAATTGTCTGACAATTGTGATTAAGTTTCCCATGGCGTATGTGGTTATTAAAAAAATCTTGTTAGGAAAAATTGTAGCTCTGAAATTAATTCAAAAATAAATAAGGATTTCAATTAATTTCAACGGGAGATTTTTTTGTTAATTATGGGTGTCATGAAAAACGCGATACGCTTCATTGATTTATTACCATATGACTTCATCCTTTTTTATTTAGTGATGGAAATTCCGTTAAGAAATTTGAAAAATCTTTAAGTTGTCCGTCTAGTCCAAATTCCCCATCTGAAGATGTTCTACACACAAAAATTGTCCAGCCAAATAGTGAACTACATTTGATTCAACTACCTACTTTTAAGTTTTCCGATTTTTCTGATCAGCTTTTAGAAGAAGTAGGTTCAAGGGAAGGAAGTCAGGGGTTAGTATTTACACAGAAATTATCAATCTTGCCAATTGCTTTGCTGCAATTTTAACGATGTTTACAGAAAGAAATTTAGTAAGAGTGAAATGGAAACGATGGTTACCACACTGGCTGTGCAGTTTCTTTCGAATTCGCGAGATTTAATGGAAAGGGTGGTTCATGAGACCAATAAATATAAATTGGAATATGTTGGTCTCATGTCACTTTGGTGGGAGATATCTAATCGTCTAAGGTGAGGAAAACATTTATTATTTTCTTAACATAATTTGAACTTTTTTATAGGGAACATCGAGGTAAACCTACAAAGGCGGTTTTTGTTTTGTTAGAAGAGCTAAAATTAAGAATGGGAGATTTATTGCAGACGACCGGGCAAGTGGGAATATTGCTCCACGAAAGTAGGATGAGAAAGTGTTGGAATTTGGCGACCAACTATATGACCACGCTGAGACAAGAAAATGAGAAATTGCAGAAGAACGGGGCCAGGTAAACTAATTTCTAACTGGCGATTTTTAATAAACGGATAAAATAATTGCATTCTATCACTTAATGAATGAAAAAGCACTCTTCTCTAATGCCTAATCTAATGTAAATCAGTTTGTTTTTTGAAGCGTATCCCTTTTTAATGCACAGTTGACGCCACTAACATAAATTAATCATAAATAAAAATTTCACAAGCAAAACTTTGACAGCCTTTTTCAATATTAAGGAATCGATAGGTTTTTGGGTTGGCTTTATGCAAAATCAAATTCTTATGCGGTCGTTAGATATTATATAGATTAGTTATAGATTACATATACTTAAAATCGTGTTGTTTATATACTTTGCTTCATTTTAGAACGCGATTTTAAGTGTTGTAATTTCATTTAGTGTCCTGAAAAATGTGTAATAAAAATGCCGAAACGCCGACCACATAAGAATTTGATTTTTTATAAACCCAGTTTAAAACCCAATTCGTTAATAGATATCAACATTTTGAAGCTTAAAAGTCCATGGCACTCAATTCAGTTGCAATTGGAAGAAAGAGTAAAAAAAATTGTCAAAAATTTTTAATGCAAATATAATTTTTTTTTTATAGTTTTGAAAATATGTCCAGGCATAATGCCTGTTCATCAGAATCAGATCAATTCAAAGAAAGGTAAAAGAAATTGTAACCTCCTCTTGGGACCTGTTAGAACTTTCATTGTCAATTTAAATTTTAGGACCAATTGCAAATCTAAGTTATTGGTAGCCATATCTATCGGAGCCCTGGCCCTTATATCCAGTTTATGTGTAGTGCTCCATCTGCATTGTAGACTGACTAGTTCCGAAATTCAGTATTGCCCCTTGGATGGAATTATAACTAGACAAGCCATAGGAATTCCGCCCATGTAAGGTCCACATTCTCGAATTACTAAATTATTCAAAATTATTTGTTGTAAATATTAAGAAAAATGTAGTCGTTTTTTGTTTTGTTGTTGATTTTATATTAGATATTTTTTATGGATTTGCTTTTTTGCCTCGTATCTGCGTTATTAGATTTTTTAAAAAACCCTTTTTGTTTTGAGTAAAGACCATGGATACTGTGGATGTTCCACTGATCTTTTCCAAAATCAGCCCTACTTCTGTTCTACCACTATACACAGATAAAAAACATTTTTCTCAGAGTTTTTATTTTGTGCTCAAATATTTCACAATAAATAAAATAGCAAACTAAGACAAACACAATAATAAAATTTTTAAACATTAAAACAAAATCTTAAGTAAAAAAAATGAAATACCGATGGATACATTGAATAGTTTATTTAAAGTATGATAAAATAAAATGCAGTAAAACTTAAGCATGGATACTCAAACGATCGCTACATATGCCAAAGTGGTTTTAGCACCCAATATAAAAACTTTACGAATATAACTTTTAATTATTATATACAAAAAGAATAGTGCGTAGCATCACATCAGCACACCTAAGCGATAAGAAGCTTAACTTAGGATTTTTTTTTTATTTCTTAGTAATTTTTCGGCGAATATAAACATAGTTAAAGTTACGCCAATATAAAAATTATGATTTTAAAATCAGCTTCCAAAAGAGAAACCCTGGACTTAAGTACCAAATGAATGTTATTGCTGAAGCTAAAAGGATGTCGATTATCAATCAAGTCCACTATGTTCTTACATAAACTAACTTTAGCCTTTTCAAATTTTACAGCCCGGTGTTCATCCACACCACTTAACCCAAACTTTTAAAAAATTAACACAGCTCTATAAACACAGTTAAGGGGTATAATATATATAGTTATAAAAAAACTAAAATAGGACTCTAACAGTTATCTAAAAAATAAATGTTAGTGCATTTATAAAGAGCTACACTTTCAGTCTGCATTATTGACACCTATCAGTGCACTTTCAACCGTTAACTTGTTATCAATTGGCGAGTTATCTTTTAAAAGTTGGCTTTCCAATTCATTCACCATATTATTGACTACAGTGATTTCTTCAGTCACAATTGTTGCAGAAACACCATTTTCTTTGGGCTTTTCTATTTTGGTGGTTTTCGTTTTGCTAACGCTTTTAACTTCGCCTGGCTTCTTACCTAACGTTGACTTGGCTGTGGTAGTTGTAGTTTTGGCGGCGGTTCGGTTTGTAGTTGTAGGCTGAAACAAAAACATCAATCAACACCAATTTAAAATAGTTACTTATTATTAATATATATAATATAAAAGGGGGTGGGGGGGGGGGCTGCTGCTGGATCAACAACAAAATTTACATACAGAATAAAAAATAATATCGTAATATTTTTTAATTTTTACCATAAGTACAATTTATTAATATAAAAAAATAATATATTATTCCTTGACATATTTTTTATTTCAGTAAATTTGTTTCGGTAAATTGTCGTTTTTTAAAATATTGCAAAAATCTTCACAAGAATTTGTCATTTTTCTCATGTCCGCACTTGATTTACTGTAGAAAAAACGCGTTCTGTCAGTCAGTCAGATGGTGCATATTCCACAATTTTTATTATATTATTGTATGGAACATAGTTTATTTCCAAATGATGAAATATTCCTAACCATTTGTTTCCTACTGTTATTTTTTCTGATGCCCAATATTTAAGCTTTTAGTATTCAATATATTTTTTACTAATGACACTTTATTAAAAAGATCATTTTCAGAAATATTACTATTTGTGAATTTTTGAGAATAATAAAATGATTTTTAATGTATCTCAACGACAGTGATCAATATCATTACATTATACCGTCCAGTCGTTAAGTTAACTTCATTTGCTACTTCGATGCCGACATTTTGTCACCTTCTGATATTTAATTTCCTCAGTTTCATAAAAATTTTCAAGCATTTCAACGCGCACATTGTACATATAGAACTAAGAATATATTTTAAGAACAATATTTTTCTAATCTACTGGAAACAACTCAGCAGCTGTTTGAATAGCGTTATGTATTATATGCGATGAACACACAACACCAATAATATTTTGATTCAGATCTTTCCTCGCTTTTCCTCCGTAATTTCTATTCCTGTTGTCTGCAGAATATGAAATAATTTTTTGTTTTAAATTTATTTTAGTTCTTAAACTGCATATCGGGAAAACACATTACGTGCAATTGCTTCGGTCTTTGTTCTCGCACAGGTAATTTTTTTATTAAACAGCTTTCTGAAAACTTGTGATGTACAATCCATAAATCTAAAGGAATGATTGTGATTAACAGCACGAAAATACGTAAGTCCTTCTGCTAACGCTAAATTCATTTCTTTATATCCGCAAGAAGTTTTTCAAAAAAATCCAGCATTTTGGAAGATGATGCAGAATTATTTTATGTTTCATGCAGCCGTGCAAAATACTAAATTCGCCATTACGTGTTTTTTAATAAAAGGAAATTCACCTCTTAAATCATCGTTGAATTTACATTACTCATTCCTTAATTATTTTGATAAAAATCTAAATTAAAGCAAACTATAAATTATTATATACACAAAAACACGCAAATAAATTCAAATTTTGAATTAATTTGTTATTCTGTGTTTTTTAGTGAACTATAATATTTATTATATGTCAATGAGAATTAATAAAAATACTAAAACACATACAGTACAAATATTCGTTGCACATCGGCAAAATTTCGCCGAATTAATTTGCATTAAACATAATTTACAGTTGTAACGAAATTAGTTTGATTGACTTAAAATATTTGGAAAATTTTATTAGTATATTTCTTTCTAAAATTTCTTTTAAGGTTTAGGTCGGTGATATACTTTTTGACATCGATATAAAACATGAAGACTACGAATATTTTAAGCCAAGTTTAAGAAAATTTAAGTATTTATGAAATATATAAATATATTACTTAACTTAATTATCTATTGTAAATAGCAGATTTGTAATATTTATTTGTTTAATTAGTTTGCTAGCACGCAGTACAAACACGAAGTGTATTATCTGAGAGACAAATAGAATGTAACTGGGTAGCAGCAACAGCAATGTTGGTCATCGTAGCCCCTAGGATTCTTAGAACACAACACAATGATTTTCGTAAACACAAAATTTAACTTAATTTTAAAAGTCGGGACTTTTGAAAAACCTCGCGGGACAAATTGTGAAAAATAGGGAGTGTCCCGCCAAAAGCGGGATGTCTGGTCACCTTACTTATTATTGACATACCAGGCCTGATGTTGCCAAATTATCATTCACTTAAACACGTTGTTCAACTGACGTTTCTACATAGGGGCAAGAAAATACTTATTATTACCTTAATTTCTGTCTTCTTTACGGTAGTGCTGGTCGTCCTGCTGGATGCACTTTGCGTGCTGGTTTTCGTTGTGGTTGTTCGTGAGGCCGTAAGTTTATTCGCGCTTTCTTTGTGTTGTTTTTCCACATCGGCACTTTTCGTTATTGTTTTTGTCAGAGGCACCCTGGGTTTTGGGGCGGCACTCGTTAGAGTTCTCGGTTTCGCCAAGGGAACGGTCGTAGAGGGTTTTGGAGAGACACTAAGTGTTTTCGGCGCAGCGGATGACAGCTACATGAAAATAAATATATTACAATATTAACAAATCGTTTTTTTTTTTTTAGTGTTTGGCACGCAATGCATTCCAATGATTTGTATTTGTTATACCGATATAGCTTGTTTTTTAATACGAGAGAGTAATAAAATGTAAATTGGCAATGACAGGGATCATTAAACAGGGTGGACAACTTAAAGGTTATATCGTAAAGTTCAGATCAATTGCAATGATAGTTTCTGATACACACACACTACACACCTCGAGTCGTACCTAAATTAGAGCCACACTAATTTGCACACAATAGAAAGACAACTTTTAGTGAATGAAAGTAATGTGACAGTACAGGTAGAACAACAAACAATAATTATACAGGATTATAGTTATAGAGATGGACAGATAATTGACATATTAGTTATGCTAAGAATTTATGTTGAATTAAGATTACAAAATTTTATGAGGTTAAAGTAACGTTCGGACTAGTCAAAAAATGTTTTAACTAACATCTTGAAATGTTTTTTATATTAAATTGTTATGCTTTATGATGTTCAATTTACTTATAACCCTCTTCAAGGAATATCCGAATAGGCTACTTAGTGATTTGGGGAATCCCAATATAAATAAATATATATAAATAAATAAATATAAATTTCATCTTATTTTTAAAATTATTTCGGTCAATTGTCCACTTTTTAATTGATTAGCCAATAAATGTTTTAAATAACATTTTGCAATTGTATAGTGTTGTCCATCATTATTTAATAATATTTATTTTATTTTATTTATTTATTTTTTAATTCTATATTAATTATGCATTTGTGATGTCCAATTTGCCCATAATCCTCTTCAAGAAATATCCGAATACAATACTTAACGATTCGGGGAATTGCAATAATAAAATTAAATCCATTTGGTTCCCAGAACGACGCGACGGCGACGTAACGCGCAATATAATATATAAAAATAAATAAATATAAATTTCGTGATATTTTTAAAATTATTTCATTCAATTAACACAAAAAAAATTTGGCCGGTCAATTACACAACGTTAGGTTAAAGTCATAGTAATATGGCGGAAGGCGAAGCATATAATTTGTTTTGAAGGGATTTTGTTGGCAACAATTTTTGTAAGTAAGCTAATGAAGGGGTCATTTTTTTTTCAACAAATTCAGAAACAGTAACCATTTTTAAGAATGAACTTTGCCAATAACTACCGCAAAGTAAATATAATTTCAAGTTTTACAGTCCCACAATGATTTATAACTTTCTCGCATTAAGGAACAGAGCCGAGTAATAAAAATTCAACATTTTCATCGACAACAATGTCATTTTAATTATTTTAAACATCAAGTAACGGTAATATTTTAATTATTTTTCAGATGCTAATGACATTTTTAATACAATTACAAAGAACTATTGAATCAAATTCATTATTGAAGAATGCTAAGATACACCCATTTAACAAAGATTTTTTTTATAACATAAATTAAAATTAAGGAAAAAAAAAAAAGGCAAGGCAGTTACCTTAGTGGGTGCACCGATTGAAGGCTTGCTGGTAGCGGTTGCATTTTTTGAGGTTGCTGTGGCTGGTTTAGGTTTGGCCGTAGCTGTGGTAGTCCCCAGACGAAGTGTGCTTGTCTTTGACAGAGGAGGAACAGTCTTGGGCGCGGTGACCGGTCTTGATGTCTTGACCAGACTAGGTTTCCCGCTTGATGGGGATGCCTTGGGCATTGCTTTAGTTGCTGCTGGTTCTCCAACTGGCTTTCTAGCAATAGCCGTTGTTCGTGCAGTGGCTGCTTTTGATTCTCCATTAGTTAATTTGGAATCGGATGTTCTTGATGTCAATTTCGCAGTTGTCGTTGAAGAGATTGTCTTTGGTTTGGGTGATGTTTTAGGTTGTGTTGTTTTCGCAACGGGTGGCTTAACAGATCTACAACAAAAAATCGATGTCATACAAAACTGCTAGACAGTCACAAACCGGTACACAAAAATTGTTGATTGTTTACAAAACAAAAAAAAATCATTTTGATTCACTTTGATGTATGAAAATTCATACAACACATATTGAAGAAATTGTTTACCCAGTCTTTGGGGGCACTCTTGGCGAAATTGTTGGTTTTGTTGGTGCTACTTTTGGAGACAGTGGATATTTTTGTGAAGTTTTAGAGGGTCCAACTTTACCAAGAGCTGGCTTCTTTGCTAATGTAGTTGATTTTTTCTCTTCGTTTTTAATCTCTTCTTGGATTGCCACCGTCGCAACCACTTCCTCTGCTTTTTCTAGTTCTTCTGGTTCTTGGCTTAAAGTCTCTAATATCTGCCAAAACAAAAAATACATAACATGTTCAAAATGGTTCAATGAATGACAACTTAATAAAAAAAAACTCGCCAGAGGTTTACCAAAACTTAATAAAAAAAACTCACCAGAGGTTTATCAGAAACTTGTTTGTTGTCCTCTTCTGAAGGTGTCAATACTGTTTGTTCTGCAAACTCCGGAATAATATTTTCAGTCTTAATTGCAATTTGCTCGCTCAAAGCTGCTTCCCCATTTGAAGAAAGGATATCATCAACTGGTTTCAAGGAATCCGACGTCACTGGTAAAATCGCTATATCCTGCTGCACATCCCCTATATTTGATAAATTCTGAAAATTGTTTTAGTTAGGCTTTTCTCAAATTTAAATTTTCGGGACGCTAAGTCAGTGTATAATTAGATGTTACAAAAGGGAGTAGAAAAACAAATTCGTGAAATTTTTAATAAAACATATTATAGAGAAGAGAAAAAAGTGAATATAGGAAAAACTTGTTTTGTTCAGCGTTAAAGTAGAGGAATGTCTTCAGGTACCAGGAACGAGGAACTAAAGAAAATTAACACAAAAATTACCTCAATAGCGGAAGGGTAACTTGAATGCACTTGAGCTTGCGTTTGTTTCTCTTCAAGATAGTCAACAGTAGTGGATGCATCTTTGGTAATAAATTCAGCTGGTGAAATATCATATATTGTATATTCAGCAAGCTCAACTTTACCACTATCAATCAATAAATCATCGGGCGATTTCATTTCATATGCCTCTACACTTGGGAAATGAGAAGCTTGTAAGTCGCAAGTCAATATGGGAGATTCGATAGGGATTGGCTCCAAATCTTCTGGAGGTTTAGATGACACTTCAGTGTCAAACATGTCCTCGGATCTATATTCACGGGGTTCCTCAACAGCGTCCGGTGTAACAGTTCTCACCGCGTCATCATCCAGTAATTTTTCTTTTGGTAGTTTATAGCAAGGAGAAAGTGATTCATTTTGGTCAGGAGTCTTTGAGGAATGGATTTCTGGTAAATCGGAAACAGGAGATTGGGTTTCCGGCAATTTTAATTGTGTAACATCAGGCAATGGCGAATTTGAAGAAGGCAACTCGCAAAGAGGTGAATCAGCTTTGGAGATTTCAGGAAGAAGAGGTGAATCTGCTTTAGATGATTCACTTAAAGCAGATTTTGACTCAGAGAAATCAAGTGGGCTCCGCGATTCTGTTCTTGGTTCAAGCAAGTCTCCCACTAGGTTTTCTGTAGCTTCTAGTAAAGGAGATACAAAAGGTGGTTCTAAAAGATTTTGAACATCAACCTCTGAATGAACAGGATGCGGTGATTTTGAAATTCCGCTTGCATCTATTGCAACTTCGGTTTTATTGCAAATAAAATCACCTAGCAGATTTTCTTCAGTAGGTTGAGGAGTTTTTGACAAATGAGATTCTTGCTCCAAATCTGGAATTTCTTGTTCCAACGGCGATGCCAACTCTTTCTCGTCATCTTTGGAAAGTCTATCGAAACCACTAGACCGAATAGCATCATCATTATTGAGAGGTTTGCCTAAAGGATAGTGTTCCGGCAAATCTGATATTGTTTCATCCAGAGCTTCCTCTTTTTCATCATCAAAATTATCTGGCAAAACTTGGACCTTATTTAAATCGAACGGATTACTGTCTCCCCGTTCCTCCGAGAAAGACATTGACATTGGATCGTTATTTTCTTTATTAAATGTTTCACTAAACGATGTATCTAAAGTGGCAACAGATTCGTCACCATACACAGCCTTAGTTGATAGGGCAGCTTCAGATTGGTCCAAAAGTTTTGGGGTAAATGGAGCAGCGTTTGGCCCAAAATGGAACTCTTCAGAGGCAGCGAGTACTTTTGTCGGCGTACTGCCGGGATAAAATTCTGGTATTTCATCGATGCTTTTGCCATTCAGCAAGTTTTCCATGTTATCATTTGGGGTAGTGTTAAGGTCCTACAAAAAACGAAAATTTATATTACAGCGTGTCAGGTAACAATAACGTAAATGTCAAATTATGTATTTTTTAAACAATGAATATGTCAGACTAACCAATGAAGGATGATGAACTGAAAAAAATTCACACATTCTAATCAATTTCTAATTAATTCTCTAAATAACGATTAATAGCCCTGGCCTCGAGAATAATTACAATTCTTTATCACAGTGTTTGGGAGATTTATTTATAACAAAATGTGTTTTAATTTGCATATTTTTTAAGTTTTCTGGGACTCTACAACTAGCAGAAACAGGTTGTGTTATTAAGTTCTATATTTGTTCTTTTATATCTTTTACAAATATTATTTAGAGATGTATGTATGTATAATAATGTTAAGTTCAGTTCGTGTCCGTTAGCCTAACACAAATAACAGTTTCGAAATTCTATTATGAAGCACTTGAGATGGGTTAAAATTACTTTGACAATTGTAGTACATGAAGCGGGTTATTTTTAAACGGGTTTTAAAAATTTTGATGTTAAATTTTTGCAAAAAACGTTTGGATATTAATTGGGATTAGAAAAGAGAAGAAGCTGTTAAGATAGGGCGTGAGATAGTTAATAATAGACCTAAAATTACTGGTGAACAGGGTCAACAACGAAAGCATTAAAATGGAGCTTACAATAAATACTGTAAAAATTAAATTCATGATTTTCTCGAAAAACTGCCAATCAAGGTCAGCTGATGATACAAGGAAAACTCGTAGAGTGCGTGGAAAAATATTGTTAGAAACCAGGGTAGGACCAGTTAAAATTATTTATTCATTGCTGGATATTTTTCGATATTTGCTACCAAAGTCGCTTCCGGTCAAAGAGAGTGCCAGCCCACGAAGTGTACTTGAGGATAAGGGTTCCCAGATGTTTATGTTTATCTTATGGCGCCAATTGGGTTAACTTGCCGCTTTCGTTGTTATATTCGTTGAATGAATTAAACGTTATTGGACTGCATACGTGCCTACGTCGATAGTGAACTATCTACTTGTGTTTTGGTGGGGAAAACCCCTTTGTGCTTGTGAAGAAACGAAGAGAACGATCTTTTAAACAAAAACAATTGACGATGGCATCCAATGATAGTGATGGTTCAACTAGCGCAATTTTATTGGATTTGGTAAAAGCATTGTAGTCTGAAAAATGTAGTGATTAGATAGATTGATTCCCGCAAATGGTAAGTCATGTTGATCATGTTAAAAAGAAAACTGGATTATCTGATGTACAAATTTTGATAAAAATTGCTCGCTATCTTTTAAATGATTCAGAAAGATGGTTCAAACTATGGGATGCAAGCTTGATTATCATAACCGATTATTAAGGTTCTCGAATAGAACGCAGACAACAGAATTCCAGAATAAACTTAAGGAAGTGCTGGACCACTTCGGCGGTATAATTAGAAGTGAAAACAAAGTAGGTGCAGTTAACAATGTCACTTTAAAGATCCAATTGCAAAAAAATGTTGTGATTAATCGTGCTCCATATCGATTTTGAGTCAGTGAAACAGAGGTTGTGCGTGGAATAACTGATAATAAAACAGCTGACCAAACAACACATGTCATCACGGTGGGACGAAGAACAGGAGATTGCACGGCGGTGTGTCATCGAGCATCTGATATCGAGACCGTTGCTAGCAATTTACAATCAAGAGTTGCCGATAGAATTGCACACAGATGCAAGCAGTTTGGGTTATGGAGGAATTCTTATTCAGAAACTTGAAGGTCAGCCCACAGTGGTTTCCTACTTTAATAAAAAGAACTACAAAGTTGGAAACTTTAGCAATAGTCCAGCTGTCAAACTTTGTTGTATTGTAATTCTATCAAGGCAACAATGGTCAAAAAGGATTTATTGCCCCGAATCGCAAGAGCGGTATGAAATAAAGAGATGCGACGTCAGACTGATATTCTCCCTGCTTGGGTTAACTTCGTTCGTTTCGTTGAATAAAAGTAAATCTTACAAACTTCAGACTTAGATCAAGATCAAGAAATAATTGAAGTTGCTAGGAAGTCTTTCGTAAGATTTAAAACACTATTCAGCGACAAAAATCTATTCCTTAAACTAAGATTATTTGAGGCCTATGTGCCTGAAATGTGCCTGCATCGCAAAAAAGTGTTAAGAATAGGATAAAATTAAGAAAAACAGCTTATCTTGGCCATATTGTAAGAAATAATTAATACAGGCTAAATACGAATTACTACAGACTACCATGCAGAGACGAGTGGATGGAACAAAACCAATAGGAAGAAAGAAGAAATCCTGGCTAAGAAACATCAGAGACTAGTACACAGATGAGTGTACGAGAGCTTCACGTTGCAAGAGACAAAGACGCATTTAGAAAAGTGGTAGCCAACCTCCATTAGGGGAAGGCACTAGAAAAAGAAAATAATTAAAAAGTAGTTGTTACCAATGCTTAGTTTAGAAAACGCACTGTGTAAGTGAAACTTACACTATCGCTCTCATCGTGACCATTGTCCAAAGCAGCGACATCGCTTGGTCTCGATTTCACCTCCTTGTCAAAATCGTTTTCGCTAGGGACATTTATATCCATATTGAGCGGCCTCTTTGGCGACGATTGGGCTATTACTTCGTCGTTGATTAGCGCCCTACAAGCCGGAGACGGTATGCTCCTCGTAGGTGAAACCGGAACAAATTCGGCAGCATTTGGGTTCAACTGCGACATCGCGTCCTCTTCTGAACACTCAACAACCTATAATCATAATGGACGTTACGAGTATCAATTACTAACCTGTTTAATATTTAGTTTTTAGTGTATATGTGATGTTATATTTCCGAAAAACAGAAAATTACACTCAGAAAGCAAACTAGAGTAGAGCTCCGCTAATCCGAACTCCACTAATCTGGACAAAATTTAAATATTACTTATTTACATTATGTATTCTATAATCCGGATTTCTTATTGTCTAGATCATGTGTTCTTCGATAATTTCATATAACTTTTATGGTGTTGTCTAGGTGAATCCCCTAATTATTAAAAAGCCGCAAAAGGCAATTCTTATGGGGGCACATGCAGGCAAGTCCGCGTGCAAGTGTGTCCAGATAAGTCCGCTAGCAAGTGCGAAACGAATTACGGCCACGCAATATTCAGGTAAACGTCGAGGTTCGTTAGTTGGTAGGACCTGTTGCTGTGCGAAAAATGAAGTTGGCTTTCGCACTTACTCTAAAAATCAGACACAATCTGATTCGCTTCGAGCCGCGCTTGGAACTGAACGCGTTGTGAGTTTTGACACATACACATTCGTACTTACTCGCGTGTCTCGACCTGTACAGGCAAGTCTTAACACTTGCCTGCACGTGTATAGGCCGCTTTAGAGGTTAAAAAGCATCATGGCCCCGAAGAGAGCACACGAAAATGCCGGTGGGTGTTCTTGCTAGGAAATGTTTACATTTTTCGTGTTAATAAATGCTACAACAATGTGTATTTGGTGAATTTTTATAGCTTTTAAAAGATTAAAATAATCCGGATGTTTCACTAATTCGGATTGCCCTCGGTTTTTATTAATCCGGATTACCGAAGCTCTACAGTATATAGGTATAGGACTTGAATAGAAATTGGAACAATATGGGATCCCGACACACCACGCAGCGGTTACAAGAAATGAATTTGATCACTCAACCTGAAAGCATTGCCTAAGACAACCATACAACGTGAATGGAGTGGGAACGCAACTATTGCCCATCTTGACTTGACATCTTTTTGCATTGGTGGCAACACAAATTCACTAAGTACAAACGGTACAGATCAAAAGTATTAAGAAAAAGCGTAAGTGAAAGTGTAACACGGAAAGTAAAACGACCCTCTACGGTGCATAATTTGTTAGAAGACAACGAGAACAAGCTGTAGTTTCAACTCAGATATAATCATATATTACGATGTTTAATGAATATTTTCAGAAAAATAAACACCAATAATAAAAACTGGAAAAACATGTACAATAAAAACAGTTTGGTCTGGAAAATTTGTTCCCAACCTAACCAACGTTTGAATTGATCTTGACAGTTTAAATTCGACCCTCAATGATTACCGTTTCGGGTTGTGAGGGATTGCCCTTTTTTGCTTCGTCTCCCTTGAAGTAGTTCCACTCGTCTTCAGAATCACTATCCGCTTGGTTTTCTTCTAAGTCGGTAGGACCATGAACTGAAACCAAATTATACATCATTACGAACAAGGATTAAGAGTTGAACACGACATTTTTAATAATCGTTTTTCTGCAATACAGAGAATTAAAAATAAAAGCAAAAATAAGCGAATTTAGAAGCCACACCTTGGGGTAATGTTTATTCTATCGCTACTGTACCTCAGACGTCGCCGCGATTCGTATCTTATCGACTGGTGAGAAAACATGTTGGGGTCGGTCAGGAGCAAATTCGATAGGATAGAGATAGACAGATATTTGTAAATATAATATGAAAAATTTAACACTAATTACCGCAAATTTTGAAAGTATTTTAATATGGAGCGTTTTTGAATAGCTTTGCGCATTTGTTGCAATTCGATTTTCAACATTTCAAAGTCGCAAATTTCTATCGTTTTCATTTTTTCGGCAACTAGTTAAAAATGAGTTTTACATCGACTGAGAATATAATAATCATCTGTAATTGAGAAGTTAATTCAGACACAAAATAAATTGTAGGGAGATGTAAACACTTATTTTAAAGTTCACTAACGAACGCGACGTCGCGAAAACGAACAATAATTTCAGAACCCATGTCGGTGAGCGACATAGTAGGCGTGCGATGCACCAGGCAACATGGCCTACCCTCGGATAATCGGCAACGTGGACCTGACGAAATTTCTCAGCTGTTCTGAGGGAAAATCGGGACCAAGGCGGGCGCGTTGCGCGGCGAACAGGTGGGTTATTACCGTGTAGAAGAGCCCGAGCACCCTCGTTGTGTAGACCAAGCAACACAAAGCGGCATTTTTATGCACTCGCAAAGGCCGCAAACGAAATGCTCGTTTTAAAAGAGACATTTTATAAGACCGTTTGATAAGGGGCGGTCAATTTTTCGACAATGGAAAAAAGAAAAACAAAGTTTATTCGGTAAATACATTTCTGTTAACAAGGGGTTTAAATTAAGTTTAAAGTTTTATATTAAAGAACGATCAGTCCGTATGACTTCGTTTTTGAACAACTGCGTGTTAAAATTTGATTTTTTTCTAAGGAACCTTTATTTTTTGACAAACAAAAATTATTTAAAAAAAAAATCCGGGAACTTTCAAGCAAACCTGAAAATAATTTGATCTTTTTTGTGCGTGAGTTGCGAAGAGTAAAACTGTTTTTGGAACATATGCTGGGATTCGCTGCACACAATTTTGTTCATCACACCAAATTATACCAGAAAAAAGCCACCGTTTGACGTAAGTCATGATAGAATATTTATTTACTGTTTTGTGACGTTACTCATGAAACATTGCCGTTCAGCGGCTTGAAAAACATTCTTACTTATTTCGTTCGAAATTACGTACTACAAACAGTAAAAGTAACCGCTTTTTGCAGGTTCTTAGACATTTTTACATTTACAGATATGGTTTTGCATATCGCATCAATTCAGCGAGTAAAATTCGTAGTATGTTATTTGTATCGGCGCTTATTTTTACAGAATTTTATCCTTGGAATAATGTAGGCAGAATGGAATTAAAACCCAAAGTGCTCCAATAAAAAAAAAAACAATTTAAATACGCCCCCGCCGAAGTATAATGCAAACACTCGGTGTATCTATGATCGGGATTATCTTTTTTGGAAAGTTAAATGTGGAATATTAAAATACATAAATAACTATTAACCCAGGAATTGTCTTCGAACCCATACTTTTTAAAGAAAAATTGAAATTAATGCTGTTGCGTAACAGTGTGGTATATTTTCCTAACAACTACTGACGAAAAATGTTTCACTCGTATAATCAATCATCCGTAGCATGAGCCCTAAGATTTTCACATTCGTTCGCACAAGTAATTCTGAGATTTGACACCCAAACAAGTATCGAACCTCCACATTAATTATTCAAAACTTTCTAAAGCCGCTAACTTCTTCATGTCATCTAAATAAAAATAATACTAGTTGAATATGCCAACCACATATAACATGTACCCGAAAGGCAACAACATCCGCCATTTGAATACCAATTAAGGAACCTATGCTAAAAGTGTTACAAAATTGGGAGAGTGGAATACCGATACTCCTCGATGAGTAACACCAATACCTAAACAATATACATATAAATATGCGGGTTGCCTTGTCTCAGAGTCGTTTTCATTGGACTAACCCACATAGGTACCATGAAAAAATGTTGAGAAGGGCCTTTTAACATGCGCATGCGTGGTCATTTCGAATCTCGATTGCAACAGAGAAGTCCTGTCATTCCAAATCAACTAATAAGACCTCTCGGTGTTCAACAACCAACATGGCTGACACTTCCTCAATTCGATAGTTTTCAGTTTGCCCAGATTCCATTAAATGTTTGGGGAAAACGAGTTAAGCGTGTGGAAATCGCTCCTTTGATAGAAAATGAAGCATCAGCGCATCACGTTTTACCTCCTTACGTTACCTAATAGTATAATAATAATATGGACTAACCAAAAGTAATCCCATCTCATACCAATTTTATCAAAAATCAGAAAGGGTGAGATGGGTGTAATTTTTTAACCGCAAATATTTCTTACTGTCATTTGTATGTAGGCACACAGTCGCCGTCATTTACATCTTAGGCCTGCCTACTAAGGCACGAGAAAAAAAAATAGTGGAGGAAGCGGTTAAATATTTATAGGAGCCGGTCTTGGGTATATAAATTTAAGCGGGAATTTTTCTTAAAGTTCAATTTATTGTCTTTTTCGCTCAGTGCGAGACCGCGTCAATAACTATGCCCACTTTAGAATGGCCTACACGAATAATTGTGCATAGCGGATTAGATACTACCTACAACCAATAACGCGTCTAAGTTTTATATTGGTAATAAATAGTAAAATATGGCGGAAAAACTAAAATTTTCGTTTCAATAATAATAATCCTCCATCTCAAATATCCTATATCGTTTTTCAAAACGACCATGCTTTTCACCAACAACAAAAATATACGCTTAGAAACTGTAAAACTTGAAATCAAGGTCAGAAATTGGAGTCTACGGAAGAAATTAAAAATTCATGTGAATAAAGACTGGGGCTTATTCGTTTCAATCTATAACTGACCCCACTGAGAGAAGATGGAAGACAAAAAGTCAAATACTGCTTCCGACGCGGTAAAAAATCTACCATTAGCGAAATGGGTATTGAACCTTTAAAACAAAACATGGCAGTTGTAAGCCCCAACATTTTACCTAGACGTAAATCTTGGGTAACTTAACCCGGAAACCTTTCTATTCGTTTCCACTAGTTTCTTGCACTTTTTTACCTGCATGAAACGAGAGAACGCGCAGTCTGGTCTGGGATATTCCTTTTATCAAGCGAACATTTGCTTGGTGGTTTCATGAAGGTCATGAGTGAATAATAAACAAACAAAATGTAACCACAATAATTAAACACCTCGACGCAAGCATTTCATATTAAGGTGATAACGATTTCATATTCATAAGGGTTTAGTTTAGATAAAATGCACTAGCTATAGGTATTAACGGAGCGAATAATACATGCACATATCACGCGATACTGAATATATTTAAAAATAGATTTTCTCACAGCGTGATTAAGATAGAGATAGTGAGAACTTTCGAAACATCAATAACTGAGAGGCGTAATTTTCAGCTTTCTCGATTCGCACTGTCCGAAACGATAACAGGGCTTCCTCGGCACGACCGATCCATCTTACGACTTTTTTAATTTAAACACAAAATAGAGTAACCTCGACGATTCATTGGCGTTGTCTTATTTATGATCTATTAATAACCAACATGACCGGAGAATAAAAATGTCAAGAATACCAGAAAATATTATGTTACCTCACAACACACACACGATGCGGTAAAATATATCACAGAACACAGGTTAGACTAAAAAAACGGTTAGTAATTTAGGCACTTTTTACAACAAACTTAACACTGAACGGCTCGAAGCCGGTCCACGACTAAACCGATCGGGCTGGGCAACGGAACGCGCATGTGTCGCACTCCGCGGGTTTCAGGTCTGGCAGACCTACTATGTTGATAAACAGTTTACGGAAGTTGTGCGTGTATTTCCAAAATAGTTTCCACTGCAAGTGATTACGAATTTTACGCTTAAATCAATCTAACGAATAATGTAAACTTTTATTTAGATACAGTCACTGAAAACTCGCTGGCACTAAATCCAGACGACATTGACGATACCATGTCAATCATACACTGGGTGTCCCAGTAAGGCCAACGTAATATGGTATTAGGTAAACTGACGGTCCTAGACATTAAAAAAAATATTAAGAGTAAATGGTTACCACAGCCGTAATTTTGTAATCTTAAATTTTAAAATTAAAATTTGTAATGCAAATACAAATGATTTTTGTTCTCCTAATTGCTCCATCTCTGCAAGGAGAGTTTGGGATGGAATATTTTCTTAAACAAATGCCCATATCCTCAAAAAGGCTAAACACATTATAATAAACTTCAAACAAGGGTCCAAAAACGCTGTGAAAACTACATCTCAACATTATCCTGACCTAAAATATGGTTAAAAGAAAACGCGAAAAAAAAATTGTTGAATTTTGCGAAAACTTTTCACTTAAAGGGTTACAATTTACCAAATAAAACGCTGACTTATTATTTACGATACCAAATGATATTTAAAATTAAAATAAAATTTTGTTTGTATCTTTTATTTTTTTACAATGTTCGCCAGCCAGTACTACGATTTAACAATATCGTGGCCTGTTTTTAATTAATTAATTATTATCCATAAGTTCTTCATTAATAATTAGGTTCAGTCAACTAACCAAAACTAATAAATTGTTGGATACTAACCAATTTTATTAATTATTGAATTATTTAAATAGAAAGATGTGTGGTCAGCTAAAAAAAAACGAAACTTGTTTTCATGGCAATTGGAAATGAATTATTAATTCTTTTCTTTCTTTCATTATTTAAGCAATATGATATGACAAAGTTATTACGAAGAAATAATGCCAAGTTTGGCGCAAGTCTAGCCTTTGGCTACTTTACTGAACCAAACAAACAAAC